TATTAAGGTGTTAGTATATTTATCTTTAACATAAATTCAACATCTCCAAGATAATATTTTCGTACAAGCATTATACTTAACATTTTTTGAATGACTTCTAAGTAACCACAAATCAAGTCCAACAAAATTACTATAACTCACTTTGTGGAATAATGAAAGGATCCTCTCGAACAAGGACATCATTTAAAATTTGTGAATCAGGTACAATTCTCTCTCACCCCGCTAACACATAAGTAAATTTCATTTGAAAATCACATGCTACAAATACATTTTGTGTTGACCAATATTTTCTTTCACGAGAGCATGGTGAAACAATCCTATAGGGGCAAAAAAAATATGAGTATAAGCAACAATAAATACATTATGTAAATAAACTGACATTTGAGTTTGGACTATATTATCTTAAAGTATGGGTAAAATTGACTGTTGTTTAGAATATGAAGTTGGACTTCAGTCTCGGATGGTTGAATTTAGCTTCCAACATCAATATGACATTCAAGACATTATGAAAATGTCTGGAAACAGTTTCCTCAGAACAATGGGAAAAGAATGAGACACTTATATTCTTCACATTATAGTCAATAATGTGAAGAAATTTAGCTACTTGTTCTTCAACAGTTGATCAAAATGCATATTTTACCAACCTAGTTGCCCTTAATCGTTCACATAATGTAATAAATATTTGAGGCCCCATCGAATAATGTCACGAGATTATTCAATGTGCACCAAGTATGACAATAACTTTTGACAATGACGTTCTTTTTGAGAAACAAACTCCAAAATATTTGGAGTTGACAAACGTAACACATTCAATGCATAAGCAACTATACAAAGGATTGTCACTGTTGCTATTTTGGTACGGAGTTTTATTTATTGTTATAAATATAAGTATTCAATTATCAAGATCTTCTAGAGCAAAAACCTCTGACTAATTGTTGTGATGTGTCATTTTACATACCCTCTAAAAAAAATCCTATAAATCCCATATTTTTATTAATTATATTATTAAGTAAGTAAAAATTAAAAATAAATTATAATATTAAATTCGATTATACATCGAATCACCTTATAACTCTAATTACAATCATTTAATATAGGAAATTTTTTAATTATAAATTAATGAAGAATTTATAAATTCATGTTCTGATTTATTATTAAAAAAACTAAATATTTCATTAATCTTTGGAGTTCAAACCTAACTTTATTACATATTATTAATAATCTTAAAAATAATAAAAACCTAATTTGATAAAATATTTGTTATATATTTAAAATATTTTAAGTTTATATTTAATATATAATATTCAACTAAATATAATTCATAATTTACCTAAATATAATTCATAAGTTTTATAACTAAGTTTAACTTAAATAATTACTCCTCCATCTTAATCTCATTTCTAAATTCAAATATTTACCACATAATTTAACTTAATTTAACTTAAAATCCTTATATAATATTATTATAATTTTTTTAGAACATATTCATATTAATTAAATGCATAAGCAAATGTTTAAATCTATAATCAATTTATTTCTAAATTGCAGCACCAAGAATGATCACCACCACATATCTAATACTACAAATGATAACAAGGTGATCAACACCACGAACTAACACCAAGCACGGCGGACAATAATCAAGAGCACCACTATCAACAACACCAACGAGCACCCACAACAGGAGAAACACCAACACCACCAACACGACCTCCACAACGCCATGAGCACCTACAACACACGAGAAACACGACCACACAGATGAATAGCAGGATGAGACCAATGAAACAAAAACTACCACACGATCAAGAGTTGTACCACCACCACGACGGGACCACGAGCACCAGCATCACGACAAAAGCACTACCACCAGCACCCGTCAGCGATCACCGCTCAAAACTTGTAAGAGGACAACACATGTTAATAGTTGAAGTACAACACAACTCATACACATAAGAATTGAATTTCGTAAGCGGATAATCAATTCTAGCCCTCTAGAATCGATTCTGCATTGGCTGATTGGTTCTCCCCACAGAGAATGGAAAATTCATGGAGATTCTCATTCATTAAAAATCAATTCTCATCAACGATAATCATCCTTCGTTAGCAAGAATTGACTACAACACCCACATCCATTCTCTCGGTCACTCTCACCCACTAACACACGACACACACCAAAACCAAACCATAACCACCCACAACCTCGATGCAAATGAGCGGACAATGTATCGTTGGCCTCCTCTCAAAGGTATTTAATGACAACCAAACTCCACCTACCATGGTTCATGCTCGCGGTCAACACAATGTGAGTCTCGTCTCCACTATGGCTAAACATGAATGCATGTGATTGTACAGTCCTCTGCAATAATTCCCTGACGCATTCGGACGAATATATGCATGCATGTAAAGTTTTTTTAGATAACCATTATTTCTGGATTTCGTGCATGGTGGCTTCATGTGGAGATGGAGAAGAACAAAAATGTAAATAGACATTCGATGAATTGTGTTTCTCAGGAAATCTGTTCATTCAAGTCGAGGAACTCTCATGTCACTCTCCCTCGAATCTATGGATGGCAAAACGGATTGGGCCGGCTGGCCCTCTAACCCGTCATAATATGGCGGGGCGGGTTGGTGTTTTCAGCCCACCAGCCCACTTTGGCCCACCCCGCTAAGCCCACCAACCCGACGGGCCAACCTGCGGGACGGAGCGAGCCAGCCCGCAACCCGTCTAATTAATAAAAAATAATTTTTTATTATAATAAAATTAATTATAAAGATAATATATAAAGTTAAAAATTTTAAAAAGAGAATTAAAAAAGTTTCACTCTCAAAAAATATTCTCCCTACTCGAAACATCACATTCTCTCCTGTTCTCCTTGTTCATCCTAAGATCCTGATTATTTTTATCTTTATCACTTGAATTAAAGATGTAAGAATTACTCAACCAATAATAATATGAAGTTTTATCAAATAAAAAAGATATAGGTATTTAAAATTTTCAATATAAAAAATATAAATTTTATAAGTTTTAACGTTATATATATATATATATATATATATTTGTTATTATTTATTATTATGTAAATTTTATTATTGTTCTAAATTATAATTTATTAAAACAATGTATTGATTTATATTATTAAATTAAAATAATATATATATATATATATATTGAATTATTGACAAACAAACAATAATTTTATTATTAAATTTTTTAAAAAAATTATTTTAAAAAATAAATTATTTTTTTCTAAATTATGGCGTGGCGGTCAAGGTCTACACTGTCATGACTATAACGGATCGATCCAGTCCCACTCCACTTTTGACGACCAAAGACGAGATAAACCAAAATAAAACGGGCAAAACGCAACTGATCGACCCGATTTAACATCCTGCTGGAATCACAACTCACATGTCTTCTCAAATAGAAAGAAACCTATATAATAATATTTGTTTTTTCATCACTAGAATCAACTACAACTTTAACCAAATGAAACTCGTAACCTACACCAACATAATAATTAGACGTTTAAGTCATGTTGTCACATAATGAAGAAGGCCATGTGAAATGCTACTAATTACATAAACATACAGAAATATAATAATAATTATACGTTTTAAGTCATGTTCTCATTAATAATGATGAACCTTATTTAGAAATGAGGGAATTATGTCTTTAAAAATTTATAACTTATATTAATATATATGATTTTTGTCTTTTATTATTATGAAAGTTTGGTAATTTTGATTAACATGTTCTTTAAATTTAATAATTAATAAATATACATAATTATATATTTACAAATTTAATATTTTATTTTTCACTTTTTCATATTTATTTATTATTTATTAATAATATATTATTTAATTCTTTAAAATCAATAATCAAGATGTGTTACGAAGCAGTGAACCGCTATAAATCCCACGTCCCAATTTGTTTTATTCTGTAGTCTGCGTTAGGAAGAGTTATCTTTATAAAAGTGAGATATACAATCAAAATTATATCATTATGCATTTAAAGATAAAAATTGAAACGAATATATATTAATCAAAGATAAGTTTAAATAATACTGATTGAATTATAAATCTCATTTTATAATTTGATTTTATAAAATTTAATTATATAATTTATTGGAGCTAAAAATAGTTTAGAAATAATTTTTAAAATATGCTAAGACATCTTTAAAATAATATCATAAATGTAATGATTGATCTAATATTTTTTTAAAATTAACATAGGAATAATAAATTCTATATTAACTAGAAATAGATATAGAAAAATATAAAATAATTAATTATGTTAAATTAATCCAAATCCAAATTAGAAATTAGCATAAAATTTTACATATAACCTATCATGTCAGATGTATTAATCAAAAGAATAACTTAAATCCTACGGACTAAAAATGTTAAAAGTAAAGTATTGAAAAAAGAAAACTTAAATCACATATGCTAAATGTACATCTGAAAAACATATATAAGAAAAAAAAATCTTAAATTTTACTCATGAATTTTTTTTTATTGTAATCATTTAGATATACACATTTATTTTATTTTAGGTTTTTTTTCTCATTTAACTTTAATATATCAAATAATCTTGGTCGCCGTAGAACTTAATCAACCATTACTAGAAAAAGAAAAGCACACTCTCCTGATTCTTCAAGATTTGCTGCGATGGAATATTTTCTTATCAATATTACCAACATTGATCTTAAAAGAAGAGAAAGAAGAGAGTAGGAAGAAAGTCTTAAAAAAAAATCTGAGATAATAATACAACACGTAACACTGACTATCATAGCATAGCAGAAAAGAAGCGTGTGAGAAAAGAAACCTAATAAACTATTATCTTTATAATAACAATAATGATGAGATAATTTTATCCGTTTGATGAAAGGAAAATAAACCAAAAATCTGATACTTTATACCAAAAAATTGGGTGTATCGCGAATTAGAAGAACAACGATGCCACGTGGGTAGCAGAATCGCTGCAACGTGTCTAAATGAGGTGGAGCCACCATTGGAAACGAAAGAAGCCAAAAGAAACTGTAGCAATCGCGAGACATGAAGACATAAACACTGGCCAAAACTACGACTTAAAGCAACCGCAATCTTCTGGCCAAAAGCCACACGCATTGCTAGTTTACTACACGCATCTTCTAAACACTCCCACCTATAATATTAATCCTACTCCTAAACCCGTTTTCCACTTTCATTGTTGAAGCTGACAAGCAAAGAATAAAGTAGATTCTCAAGCCAAGAAAACTTAGAACTTCCACTTATAAGCCTAAAACAAAAGCATAATAATTAATATAGATCCTATTCTGGATCAAGCTACTGTTTCATATTTGAATTGGTGACCTCAGATTATTGGAACAACAGGAGCATGGGAACTCTCACTACTGTTCCTGTTCTACCTTCTAAGATTAATAGTAAGCCTTCGTTTTCCCCACGCCGCAATATTTCTATCTTTCCCCATGGAAGACGGCACGGCAAGAGGAGCAAAGCAATGGTTCCTGTACGTGATTTTTTAGGGTTTTTGCGAAAAGTTTTTATTTTTATTTTCTTGTTGTTGGTTTTGTGTGATGGGTTTGGTTGGATTTGGATCAGATGGCTAGGTTGTTCGGACCTGCCATATTTGAAGCCTCAAAGCTGAAGGTTTTGTTCTTGGGAGTGGATGAAAATAAACACCCAGGAAATCTTCCCAGGACTTACACACTAACCCATAGTGATATAACCGCTAAGCTCACCTTGGCAATCTCTCAAACCATAAATAACTCCCAGGTATTATTTTGATCTCACAGTTTCTTCTTAATATTCTTTTGAATTTGTTGTTACGTAATATATATATATATATATATATATATATATATATATATATATATATATATATATATATATATATATATAGTAGAAAAGAGGATGCAGAAGTTGTCACGAAACAGAGGAAATCGGGGTATTCTTGCTGTGTAAGAGAACAGTTTTTGGGGAGAAGGGTGGGGAATCATTATAGATGGTAACATGTGAATTATACTGCCGACCAAATCAAAATATTTGATGGGTGTTTGGTTCAATTCGATGAATTTATTCTGTAGAAATATTCGTTTTACTCTCAGTTGTTTGAAAGGAAAAAAAAAAGGGTGATTATTTCGCATAATTAATTTGATACGAAAGTGGGAAACAGGAACGGATTGTTCAACACTCCAAAGTCCAATTCATTCTGATAGAAAATAAATCCGAGATCCTGTTTGTTGACCAATAGTATACTTGGTCAATCATACTAAAATAGTATCTGAGCGTGATTAATTGAGAAGGAGTGAAGAGTTGATAATGAATTTGGAATGATTGCAGTTGCAGGGGTGGTACAACAGATTGCAAAGGGACGAAGTGGTGGCGCAGTGGAAGAAGGTGAAGGGAAAGATGTCTCTGCACGTTCACTGCCACATCAGTGGAGGTCATTTTCTGCTAGACATGTTAGCAAGGTTAAGATACTTCATCTTCTGCAAGGAGCTACCAGTGGTAAGCCAGTTTTGCAAGCATGAAATTAACGAGTCAATGAACGAAAATTGAACGTAACAAGTATGCAATTGCGTGTGTGAATTAGGTGTTGAAGGCAGTGATTCACGGCGATGGTAATTTATTCAACAACTACCCCGAATTGCAGGAGGCCTTGGTTTGGGTATATTTCCACTCCAACATTCCAGAATTCAACAAGGTGGAATGCTGGGGCCCACTGAGGGATGCATATGGTGGGATCCACCAAGAGAGTGAGGAAGAAAGTGTTGGAAGCAAGGAGGGGTTGGCCATTCCACAGCCATGCCAAGAAGAATGCGAGTGTTGCTTTCCCCCACTCACCTTGAACCCAATTCAGTGGTCTCAAGAAGTTCCCAGCCACCACAATGAACCTTGCGATGGGATTGAGCCCCAACAAAATCTGTAAACAGACAAAAACTGAACGTCACAGTTGCGGGGTTTCTGGCAAATTAATATGTCGTTTCCCTTTCTGGATCATTAGGATAAATTCAAATATTCAAACCCACTTTCAATGTAGATAAGGAAACAAATGTTTGCAATTTTTTATTTTACTTTCTTCTTTCCTGGGAAATTAGATTGGTTCGTCTATAATATGTGTCTGCGTGCTTGGTTTAAGAATTCAAACGTGTTTTTTAGCCTCTGAAAGTTCGTTCCATTATCGACATGTGGAGGTATCAATTCCTTTATATATATGTTCTGTTATTGAGGATGTTTACAAAACTTATGTAAAACTATGTTAAAGTGATTTCCTTAAGGTTTCCATATTTAATAATATCCGTAAATAGCAGGGTCCTACGTTACTCTTTATTGATGTCATTCTTCTTAAGTTTTTTCACCTGTGTTTTCGCATCTTCTTGTATTTTGGACACGTATCCTTAAGATGAGGAAAAGTGTCATTGGTTCTATAATAGTAGCAGAGCAATAGCAATGAGACACGATCGAGTGATGTTACACTTGAATCAGGGCCAGTACCCGCTTCGTTGTATTAGATCAAAGTTTTAAAATGAAAAATTTATGTTGTTACACATAAATTCATTAAGTGATGGTCGTCCAGTGTTTACACATCAATTGCTGATTTAGGTTGTGTGTGGAATTTCCAATTCTGTTAAGGAATTGACGTTAAATATGTTTGGAATTCGAGATTTGAGTAAAATCAAACACATACACAAAGTTTCAAGCTTTATAAACATTTATAAGACTTTCGAAGAGAGTTTTCAAATATTAGAGAATTTTAAACTCTGAAATTTTTAGTTCAGATGTAATTTAATTTATACTATATAAAAAGTGATTTTTAAATATATGTTTTAAAATTAAAATTTTAATATGCTTTACAAAATAAACATTAGTTAATTTTTAAATATTTAACATTTTAAAAAAATAATTCACACAATATTTGTAGCTAAAAATATAAATAGTTACATTTTTTTATATTATTATTAATTGGGAAGTGATTGGAGACACATGTTTTATATATAAAATCTGCCAACCAAATAAAATATTGGCTTAGTGGTAAAACTCATTTTAATAACCAATAATACCTGAGTTCTTCTAGTCCAAACCCAATGCAAATTTTACTCATTTCTTTTTTCCTTATTCACATGATATTTATACTACTAACTTTACAACATAAAAAACTGTTTTTGAAATCAATAAACAACCATCGCCAGACATTTTCTTCAGTAGACAACTACCGTCGATCGAAGAAAGAGGATACCCTTTAAGTCAAGGCACATTTGACATTCCCCAAAATGAAGAGAAAATTCCCCGTCAATAGTTCATATTCACCGAAGTTTTCGCCTTAATTTGAGGGGATACCAAACTCACCCTTACACAAACTGTTTCAGTAGTCGGAGATCATTTGTCCTAGCTTACCAAAAACACCTGACTTCCTAATTTCTTAGTCTAATATATAGAAGCCAGATTTCTCTGATTATGAATCCCATGATACAGATCCAAGATTCACAGTACTAGATGTTCTTCTTATGTCTCACTATTTAACTATTTTTTGTAAAAATATTGATTGAGACATGACACTACACAAACTAACACCGGCGGAAGAAAGTATATTTTATATACAGAGGCTGTTCCATTACATGTAAAACATGTTTTTATGAATTTTTAATTTATCCACATAATGCAAGGTGCATTATACAGGAAAGAACACAAAAATTGGAGAAAACCAAAGTTGGCTTCAACTCCCTCAACATGTACAGATGAATCTAAGATGATACAGAGCAGGGATTTTCCACCAGTGGCAGCTATATCTGTAAATTCGTAGCTCCCGTATGCGTTTCACAATTAGTAAAGCAGACCGCGGTGATGTCTTTTACATACAAAATTTTCCACCGCCACGGTGTTCTTGTTCTGAAATTTCTTTCAGCCACTTTTGTCATATATGCAAGCTAAAGTCACCTGATGATAGTTCTTCCAAAAGAGGATGCTCCAATTTCACTCTCCGTATTCTGCACAATAGTCAGAGCCACATACCAATCTTCAATATATATATACAGTGAAACGAATAAAAGGATCAAGTCCCTTCTCAAAGTATATGCACATAGCCTACTTCACGCCAACAACATCAAAATGACTAAATGTTGCCCAAGCTATTTCTATAAAAAATACAGGACAAATAAAAATTATTATCAGCAGGGACGGAAACAGAGGAGGGATAGCCCATTTTCCAATGAGCCTTCACACACATGCATATTATGTGTGTAAGACTAGTAGTGTTCGTTGTTATAATGCAATAGTTAAGGTTACAGATAGTGTAAATTTGCGTAAAACTAGTTGTGTATGATTTATTACAGTAACGGTTATCGTTATTATCATTTAAAATAAAAACTAGTTCCAATTATGGGTAAAATAAAAATATATATATCTTTTGAAAATTATTATTTATTAAAAGTTAGATATTTAAACATTTACAAAGGATGAAGAAAAACATTGTAGTCGCCCCCTAAAATAGATTTCTCGGTCCATCCCTGTAAATCAAAGAGAAGAAAATGATGCAGCAGCTTACATTATAAACAATACATTTTAGCTGAATTCCTGCATCGACATTTACAATTAAGGGAATAGCAATGCAGTTGGATATGAATGACAACAAAATATTGAAACCGTAGTTAAGAGGAGCTGAAAACGAAAATAACACACTCTTTCCTCTATAGTTTAAGATATAGTTACCTGTGATTTCTGCGAAGGGAATACGTTCCAAAATCTAAGAGTTTCATCCCCAGCTCCAGTGACAATAGTCTAATACAGTACGTGGAAGTCGTCATCAAAAGGAAAATAACATACAATTAAAAAATCGTTAAAATCTGCTAATCATATAAAGTCTTCGAAAGAGTAATAAGTGAAAGAACAATTGAACCACCTGCCCATCTGGAGAAATAGCAAGATAAAGAACTCTGTAAGTATGGCCTGTAAGAGTTGCTAGCTGCATCAAAAGGACAAAAAAAATGGTAAAGAATGTTAAAGGTAATTTTAAAAAACTATACGTATATGCTATGACAACAGATTTTGTCTATACCTTTGACATGGTGGGATATTTCCAAACCATTATCTGGTTCTGGGAGTAGCCGTGTGTGCTTACCAATTCATTCACATTTTTAGACCAGACAAGATTACAAACCTGTCATCATGTAAAAGATGTAATAGTCATTTTATTTGCTAGAAACAAGAGAAGGGGATGGCCGTGTGGGGTAATAATCCTTGTCTATGTAGAGAAAATCCATGCATTCTAAAAGCAGTTCTTCAATACAATCTAACAATTGTTGGCATGGATATTGAATGTGAATTGGATAACATGTAAATTTAGTTTTTTCACACATATTTCGAGAGCCGTAATGGTCCATGATTCCATGAAACACTAAACTGATGTTATTTTCTGCAAATGAATCATCTCTATTGAATGATAAAGCAAATAAGAATTTCCATTGCACCACTTGAATAGGAAGTTAGTCATATTATTACACCCAACTGACATAACATAAGTATGGCTAATCAATTGTCTACTCTCCTATTCTTCCCTACTGAATGAAGGAATGCAAATTTACAAGGAAATAAATCTTTGAACAAGTTCCACGAAGATCCCACTAATACAGAGCCATGTCAATGTCAGTCTTTAATTTTGGAGTTTCAATGCTTCGGTATTAAGTTAGTAATCCCTTAACCTTTTTTATGTTACTTCTCTATTCGGAATAATTTTTAAATTATTATTCATATTATTTTCCATTGAGTACGGTTTGATTATGCTTGCCAGTTTCATGCTTTATCTGACTTATCATATTAATTTTCAACTGGAAACATGAATCTTCTGACAAAATAAACTCAATTTTTCATAAAACTATGGAATAATCAGACTTTAATTGGATCAAAAGAATTAAACCACGGCAAATACCTGACTTCCAGTGTCAATGCAGTTTAACTGGGAGTTTGTGGTTGTACTCCAGAATCGAATGCTTCGGTCAGCAGTACCTCCTCCAGATGCTAGCAGTCCATTTGTATGAGGAGACCACGTAATAGCTTTAACCGCTGCTGTATGGTCACAGAACTTCAAGATAGGCTGGGTTGAATTTTGATTCCAAACTAGTAACTGCAAACAGAGAAAATAAATTATTAGTAACCAATGCCAAGTAAATATTATAAAAGGTAATAGTGCAGTGGCACAGTTCATAAAGATAAAGCGACTTGCAATTGTGTACCTTATTGTCATTTCCACCCGATGCTAACTCGCGGTTATCATAAGACCACTTCAGTCCACAAACCTTAGAAGAACCAAAAAGGGGGGCAATTTAATCTTTAAGTCATACACAGTAGGTAGCTAGTTTTACCAGATAAGGCCACTGGCACTGCAAATAAAAGCAACACTAACCTCTGACTTGTGCCCAGACAGTTTACTGACAAAATCCTCCTGTACACGAATATCTCGTTGGTAAATGTTTTTATCTCGGCTTCCAGAAGACAAAAGGGATGAACTCCAGGCCAAGGTCCCAACACGTAATCGATGACCCTCCATAGTTCTTATTGACTTGCCTTGAGATACATCCCAAATCTACATAATGAATGGTTACGAGGAACGGGTCAACTTAGACTGGTCAGCAATATTGATTGTGTAAGATTGAAAGGAACTTGGCAAGTCCCAGGGATGTGATTTAAAAAATATATATACAACAGCACAAAACAAGAAAGTAGATGTAACTTTTGAGACGATGTTTATTGAAAGGCAGTCAAAATATCAGAAATTAAGAATGTTTAAGGTGGCAATGATGCACTGGGTACCTACCTCTAGGTGACTGAGTAAGCATAAGGACTCGAAGCTAAGTTTCAACCAGCGGGCAAATAAAGTTTCTCTATGTAAATTGAAAGTAGAACACATCATGTGCCTAAGGACTACATGAATACAGAACTATCAAATGAATAGAAGTCACCGAAACAGGAGGATAAGTTTTAGACTCACTAACAGGAAAAAATCATATTTCCTAGACCACCTAGAACAGTAAGTATCATGTTAAGGTAGCAGGATTTGCAATTAACAATCAGTAGTACATCACTATCTAACATTTCCTAGCACAAACAGAATAGGGGAAAAACTTGATTGTGCCATTTAATAAATGGCCGTTAGTCTGGCACCACACTAGACTCACACTTAAGCTGGATTTACTCTCCTCTTATCCGCCTGGGCTTTAAGTTTAAGTGAACAGCTCTTTCCAACCAATGGAGTCAAAAAAGGAGCATGGGTCCAATATCAGACAAGTGCAAGACATGGATGGAACTCACACTTGTAGTCCCCCAATAGCAACCTAGCTTTAGACGAGGGTTCTAGTCCAAATTATTTAATTTAAATTGCATTAAATGTGTTCAAAAATCTATTAGTGGAGAGCATTTTATTGGCTGAATAGTAGTGTCTAATATCAGCACAATTACATCAAAGCCAACTTGAAATATCAATTACATGACATTTGAAAGCAATCCCATTATCAACAAGTAGTATTAATTTGGCCTCATCATACTTTCATTAGTTTCAGCTTTGTACCAGGTTAAGTGGGTGCTTTGGTACCCAATAAAATGGAAAAATAAAGAAAAAGACCCATCTTATCCTGAAGTTTGATGTGTAATAATGAAGAATGCACCGATAGCTGAGCCATAGATACAGACTACAAAGACAAAATACAACAAGGCATAGGCATGTATACTAGAAATTAAATATACAGAGATATTTGATGCCGACACTTAAATATCAGTTATAGTTTTTGGCCAAATGATAATCGCTTGATCCAACAAAAAATATCTTAAAACATACTAAATAAGCCTAAAACTAGCCTAGTGTGCAACAAAACACATATCTAAGCAAATAAACAAGAAGAAAGCACTAATATTAACATATTTTGTGAATAAGAGAGTTATATGATGGATTCACTGTGTTAAAATGTGTCATGAAAGTTATGTAGAAAGCATTAAGATTATTAACATTTTGTTAACAAGTGTCCTACACAAGCAAAGTGTGCAATACAATTAGGACACATATATCTTCATTTTTTTCCATGAATGCTTTTGAATACCAATGTAGCTCCTTGATAAGTAGTAGACATACAGGATGGCTACCACCATCCAATTGGCCACTTTCATAGCTATCTTCCCATGGCATCATATCCACTCCTGCAACTTTATATTAATTCCTTGAAAATATTTTTCATAGCAAAATAAAATACATAATTCAATCATTTACATTTACCAAGGGTTTCTACTCCACTCCTTTTCTTCTTAGCTAATGGTGTGCTTACCAAAATACGTTGGTATTAGAATAACAAATTACATCTAGAATTCTCATGGATTTCAGTGTTTGTCATTAGCACATCCTATATCAAATGGTACTGCTTCTGCCATGCTTATACAGAGACCTTTGCGATATCAAATGTTATGCTACTGCCAATCCTATACGGAGAACTTTCCTAGCCAGCAAAAGTATGCCTCTGCTTCTTTGAGATTTATAGCAGTACATGGCTAGTTATAGAAAACTCGACACAATGGGTACAAGGACTCTCTAGAAAGAAAGAAAATATACCAGAAAAACATCCTCGACAGGCAGGGGGCACAGAATTAGCTAAGTATACCCGTAAAAACAACCCTCCTTAACCTAGGACATTTAAAAATTACTGAACAGAGGTAACTGTGTTTACAATTGCATGAGATTGGTTTACCATGTAAACTCTTACCTGGACTTTTCCACTGTTTGATCCAACAGCCAGGTAAGTACCAAGCGGAGCCCAACCAACTGAACAAACAGAGTCGCCAACCCCCAAATCGCATAGCTTAGTTACCTGCACATATGTCACTTTAAATATGCAGCTGCATCTCAAGCACACCGACAGATAATCTAAAACCCGCAAACAAATGGAAATAATAATAAAAAAAAAAACAATTTAAATAATGAAACAGAATATCTCCAAGTAACATCGTCGACACGATAGCTCAATTTTATTTTATTTTGCATCCCACAAGCACCCTCCTTTTAAAACAATCCCAAACAAAGTGCAGACTCACACTGAATACGACCATATTTCCCGACAAAAGTTCAAACTTTGGTTCGCATAAGAGACTATGTTCTTCAGTTATGCCTAACCCCCAGTGGTATGAAAGCTCAATATTCATCAGAGCTTTAAATATGAGTAAAATTCGGGTAAGGATTAAGGATTGATCTCATAACAGACACAAAAGACCAGCATTTGCGAGGATGTCTTGGTCCCACCAGGAATCAAAGGGAAAACAAAACATTAAAGAAAATACAAACCTTGCTGCTAGAAGCATTCCACAAATAAACAGAGTTTTCCAGAGCCACAGCCAAGACATTGCTAGAGGACCAATCCACGAGATTCAGATAAAAATCGTCCTGCAGAGCCGGTGCATCCAGAACCTAAAACACAACATTGCAATTATACCCAACAACCCAAAATAAAACCTCTCAAATGAAAAAAAAAATCAAAACCTTAAATGAGGAGGGAGGAATCTTGCGAGCGCGCTTGAAAGGTTTATGATTGTAATCATAGCCATGGAGATGATCATCGTGGGAAGTAAAAGGAGTGTGAGAAAGAGAGTGCATGGACTGTCGAGTCTCCGATTTGAAATGAAATATATTAGGGCTTTCGAATTTGTCGGGTGTGGCAGGTCCGAATAATGCCCTCCGCAGCGCGTTGCCGTAGGGACTGCAACTGCAACCATCTTCCTTGGACGACGATAGGTTAAAGAGAGCAAATTTGGAAGCGGATCTGCTGGGTATGAAGCGGTCGGAGTAGATTGTTTTGGAAGGTGACTTAAACCGATCGGAATTTAACATTCGTTTGACGTGGTTGTGCTGAGAAGAGGACATTGGACGAGGTGGAGTGAACGATTCGTCCATAATAATCAAACCCTTTTCTCTTTTCCCTTCTTCTTCCTTAGATTTGTCCAAGAGGAAAGCCCTCAGAATTTTGCCGGGAAATAGACCCCTTTTCGCGGGAAAAAAAAATGGAAATGGCGCCTTGGCTTTTTATCATATTATCTCTTCCGGATAACACAACCAAACCACACACACAACTATGTAACATAATTTGTCACTTTTACTTTCATTCCTTAATTTTAAAGTGGTATTCATGGCTGTTGAAAAAAAAAAAAAAATATATATATATATATATATATTTAAAAATATAAATAAACCCTTTTTAATATTAATTTTAACTTATGTATTAATTAATTTTATTTTATTAAAATATTAAAACTTTTATCTTCTTCTACTTAACAAGTTTAGACAAATTACCAAGTCAAACTCAATCCCTGTTAATCTTGCAGATATTTGTTAAGAAAAATATTAATGAGAAAATAAAACATTTAATAACTAATATCTTGAGATAGATAACAAAATGTTATAAAAAATACAATTTAAATATTAGTTGATAATATTTTAGGAATTACTTTGCGACTCAACTCTACTTAATTTTATATAAAAAATGTTATAAACAATATTGAGTTCGTTAAATTTGTTTATTTTATTAATAAAACATTCGTTTAAATCTGTTTATTTTATTAATAAAACGTTCTTTAAGAAGAGGAGCTTTTATTTCAATCTATTTTATATATTTATTTAAATAATTTAAATATTTAAAAATGTAATATTTTAAATACAGCGACTTAGTTCAACATGGCTAAGTAAAATCAATTTAAGGGATTTATATTTTAAAATGGATAAAAAAATTCTGATTACAACAACAGATATTTTTTACCTAATTAAAAAAATATATTTATATAATTTTTTTAATTTTATTTAAAAGAATAACATATATTCATTTATTTATCTAAAATTAATTAATTAATAAGATAAAATAAAATGTAAAAACAAATTATCGTATTAAAATGATTGTAAAAAAATTATCATATAAAATTATAAAATATTTATTTTTTTATATAATAAAAAAATATTAAAATTTTATAATATAAGTATTATAAAAGATGGAATATTAGTTATATAGTCCATTTTTTTTTCAAAATTATCATGACAATTAATAGATAAGTTATCATTGGAGGTGCATGTTCTTTAATGGAGTATTCATAATAATTTTCATAATTTAAATAATAAATGCTATTTTTTATATTATTATTCTTTTTAAATTATATATATATATATATATATTATAAACTAATTTTAGGTTGACGTTAGGTTGTTTTAATTATATAATTTGTTAAATATATAAATAAATTTTCTAAGTTTGAAATAATTAAAATCTGATTAATTTAATTGTATTAAATTTGAATTAGATGATTAATTACATTTATAATTAAATAATGTTTATTTTAAAATATTAGTTCTAATGAATTTACTACGACTAACAGAAAAACACAGGTAAATGTGTTGAGTGTATTTTTATTATATTTTTTATTTTTATTTTTTAAAATTAAATTTATATATATATATATATATTAAATATAAATAATAATTTTTAAAATTACAAATTATTGGAGATAAATAAATATGATAGTTAAAAAAAAAGACAAACTAAAGATAACGTATAATTCAAGGAATAAAAAACAACTGATATATTTTTTTTATTTGAGCAAAAATAATGAAAAAAACTATCATAAATATAGATTAATATTTATATTATTTTCTCTTCTCAGTAAAAAAAACAATTACAAAATATTTTTGTAGTTCAATTTTTTTCTAAATAATAATAAATGATAATGTAATACTTATATGAAAAATATAATTTAAAAATGTAAATATTATATATAGCATTTATTACATAATTATTTCAATTTTAAACTTCATATTTGTGATTGTCTAATGGTAACACAGGAAACTAATATTATTCAATATTCAATTTTTTTTCTATCCTTTATTATATACTTAATTTAATTACAGGTTCATATAAATGAGTATTTGAAATACTAAACTAGTAATATTTAAAATGGCAGTAATATCTATATGTCAGTTGTCATTGATGTGAAATATCTACTTAACTGAATTAAGTTTTATTAAATCCAACATTTATCTTAAATTTTAGATCCGGTACAATACACACAATAGGTCAAAATGTGCATCTAAAAATCACAAAACTTAATGCTCACTTCCCTTATCACAAATTGCAATCAATGTCCATAAAGATGTCTTATAAATTAGTTTTTAAGTAAAATATTAAAATTATATATTAATGTGGTATGTTGATAAATCTTATATTGTTTAGAAACTGAAAAGATACAAAAAGCATTTAATATATATACATTCTCTTTTTCAACTTATCAAGATCACAACTCATATCTACTAATATAAACTTTATATTAAGATTTATTATCATGTTTAAATTCTAATCCGTTGGTTAACAAAAATATTGTTGATAACTTTCCATAACCCAAAAGGATATACTACAAGACATTGATGTTCCTTTAACAACATCAATTCAACGTATATTTTTTACATGTTACTGTGGCTAATTTCAGTATAAAACCAGATTACTAATCATGGAGTGGATTAAGCCATTATTTTGACTGAAATTTTTATTGCAAATTTTCAGGCATGTGGAACTTTGTGGAAAGGATGATGAACTTCACTTTAATTAAGTTTGTCAAACTTACAAAAAGTGACAGTTTGTTTACATCTAGCTATATGTGCACCTGCTGCTCTAGCTAGCACGTAGAAAATTCAGTTGCAGCAGACACAATACTTTCGTATAAAGAAAAGTATAGTAAAGTTATAAGACAGTGAAAAGGAGTGTGCAGAAAGGGTCACGCATGCAATTGGAATTGTTCAGCGGAAGTTAACTGTGGTGGAATAAGTTAGTCCCACGTTCCAATTGGAAGGAGCAACATTCCATGCAATAATAGTTTCCCTGGTGGTGTACGAAGTAATCCTGAAAGAAAGAGCTTGGCCACCAAGAGTTGCAAATGCTTGATATGAAGCACCCCAGTTGTGGCTCATGCTGATCCATCCACTCCTGCTTCCTCTCACCGACATGCTTGAAATATCTCCTCCACCTCCCACGTTCATCAAGTACACCAATAGCCAATACCCATTTCCTTGAAAAGAGAATCGAAGCCCTCCCTTCGCTCCACATGGCACTCTGCATATCATCAGTAAATTAATCAGCAAACACTTCTCATACTCATCATCACACAGCCATTAGAATTAAGGCAACAAGCACTTCCAGTTGCACAAGGAAGACCCTTTTATTCGTTTGTTAAATACCTGCGGTAAAGAACAGGGATGATGCCAGCTTTCCACTGCGCAATTTTCATGAAGGCGGGTTTAGCCATGTCAAAATGGACTCGTGGTGGGTTGCACCAGCCTCCGTTGTCGGAGGGTTGAGCCCAATTAGGAGGGCAAAGATTGGTGGCAGTCACTGTGGTGAAAGCTACGTTGTTATAACACGCGCTTGATTGGTAACATTTTATCTGATAACAAGTTCCACACGCATAACCATTGTTGAACAACGTTGAACTTAAAGCCACTGTGTCTGTCCCGTAACCATTTTGAAACAAATTGCCGTACCCGCATGCTCCTCCTTCAAGTAGTCCATTGCCATTCACATAAGAAAAAAAGAAAATTTCAGTCCAATTATTGCCACAAAACACTGGTTCTGATGAGCTGTGAGAAGATATACATACCCATAGTAGCGGAAGCAGTCTCATCACCGTAAAAGGTGGCGTGGGCAAGAGCCCATTGACTGGGTCGAAATATCCCCCCTGCTAGGGCTTGCTCTGCCATGAACATGAACTTCAGTATGAAAGCAAAGAAGAAGGTAGAAGCTTGAAGAGTAGAGGCCATGGTTAAGTTGAATAACTTAATCCAAGAGTAGAAGGAATGCAATGAAGATGGTGATTGAGAGGTGCATGTAACCTTTATATAGGAAGTACAATTCCAACGCCACGTCTTGGCTTAGTGATCCCCACGACAGTAAAGTCAACAATATTCTTGTTTTGTTTTTTCCCCGCAGCAATTTGGAGAATTTTTCCCATCTAGAAATCTATTATAAAAAAAATTAAAAACCAAACATTTTCCCAATTATTTACCAAGTAGACCTGTTTCTAAATTAGGTCAAAATTTTCCTCTCCAAATATCAAATTCTGAACTTATTTTTATCGTCTTTTACGGAAAATCGGTTGATAGCCAAATTCTAATATGATTTTTTTTCTTAATTTTAAAAAAAATATTGTTAAATTGTTTTAAATTAATGGATTAAAATATTTAATTTTAAATTTTAAATTTAATATATTTTTAACAATAACTTTATAATAATTTTTTTATAATTTAATTAATAATAAGTTTAAATTAATAATAATAATAATAATAAAAGATAATTTGAATGAAAAACGTGTGGACAAGTTTAGTAGGTTGGCGTGATATGTATTTCATCCACCGAGCAGCTATTACAAAATTCATTCTTATTACTTGTTTATTGGTCAATCAAATTTTAAATGTTGCTGACTTTTGTATTTTATTTCTCTGTTCTACTATAACCACCGACACCACTCTCAAACTAATCAACTCCACCAACCCTCCCACCATGCACAAACCAAAAAACACAAACATTCATTTTGGAACCAAAAGGTTTCTTTTCCAGAAGAAAAAATATTTGAAGGAGACATTTATTTGTCATCTTATAAGTTACTGAAAAATAGAGAGCCCTTGTAACTCACCGCTTCTGGTGGTGGACGATCCTGTGTATGCTATACAAAGTTCACAGAATTACATCTTATACTAGTGTCTGTGGTGTGCCACAGTGAGAAAAATGATTAATTCCATGGTCTGTCTATATAAGAAGATCAACGATCATGTGTTCCTGACTTTAGTCGCTAGCTTCCACACGTAAGTAGCTTCTACCCATGACGATCTCAACTTATTGCAGGAAACAATAGTATCAAGCCAACCTTCAGGTATATGTATAACATGTAGATTAATTAGGATGTTTTTGAAGAAAAGTCTAAAAAGGCAATGAAAATTTTCACTTGCAGATTCTTAACCGGACACAAAAATCAAGCTTGAAGTTGTTCGTATGCCAGAAATACAATGCTACTTAGCAGTGATAATGTACCTCAGTTTAGGCACTACTTCCTTCCGGTAATGTAATCAATCTCGTTCTTGAATCATACACCATTTTGGTCTCACAGCTGATGCAAAATATAACTTGGGTGGTTAAACTAATGATCTATCATAATTCATATATTATAGTATTATTTTTTGGTGATGAGAAAATGAACAATATGGAGCGACAGGGTGGGGATAATGCAGGGGAAACTAGTGTTATACTTACTTTTCACATTTGACATTGTTGGTGGAATCGCCACTTGAAACTGACAGTATAGTCCCAAAGAAAGAGGTATTTTCAGTGCCACAGTTAGGACAGGGGCCCTTTAAAGATAAAACTTTGTTAGTACTTGTATTGGTTCAAAATAAAAGAGACAGTGTAACCAAAATTATACCTTTAAAATCAAAAAGTCTTTTACAATTGCCCTTGTAATTGCTTGAGCCAGCCACAAAATAAAGGGAATAGCGGCGAACCAAGTTAAGATAAAACTATATGGCTCTGGAATCTGCACTTAACAATTCACAACATTATAGGTGAAACATTAAAGGTGTAATAATACTATTTTCAAATTTCAAAGAAATTATTTCTGGTCTAGGAATAAATCAATCTCATTTTCCCACTATGGGTTTCTGCTCACCCTCAGATTTGACTTCTCATGGATAAATCTTGTTTGATAAATAGCAGAAACTCTTTTGGGGTTTACGACTACTGCTGATAAAGGTACTTATTTGCTCATCATGTACTACTACAATATCTACACAGGTCTTTATAATGTGCTTCTGATTTTGTTATCAAATGGTGAACCAATAGCATTTTCCTTTCTAAAGTGAACCCTGCACTCTAGAAGATCTTTTTTTGACTGGAAGACATTTTACACAATACTAATAAACTGCTTCCTTATATGAAGAGGGCAATGAATGTTAGAGGGAACTGCAAAAATAAAACTATTGCCTGTCTAATACTGTGGCATTCAGATCAAACTACATTAAGTAACCACTAAAGAATGCTAGAGCAAGGAAAAATGAGGGGAGCATATACCTTTATCAGAAATGAGATCTCAAATCCAGTCAAATCGTCAAGGAAGAAGAACCTAACATATTATGGGGAAAAAATGGAAAAAACCAAAAACAAATCAGGACCTTATTTTTGCAGCAGTAATTTCCACATTACTTGACCTTGCTATATAAAAGAACAGGCCAAGGAAGCACGTACTTTTTTCCCTTTGGGATGAAATGAAAACCTTGATTTGAGAAAGAGAAAACGATTTCGAAAATGTACATAATATGAAAAATATATTTAAATGTGGTTAGTATGACACTGTTTCGAACTTTCGGTTTCACAGCTTGTGCTGTGTCATGAAGACCAACTACTGGCAGTGGCAGGGATGAAAAATGTGGGCCAATTAAATACATGATGAGGTTATCATACACAGAAGAGAAGAGTTACTTACAATCCTAGGGCAATCACAGTTGCTGGGACGTTCAGAAGGACCATCTTTAAATAGTCAACAGATAGGTCACTGTAAACCTGTAAATCATGCCAGTTAGTAATTAAGGAATTAACATATGTAGCACACTTCCTAACTGATCTCTATCTATCTATGTAGTTTAATGTTTAGAGAATGCTTATGCCAGAAAACGGTACTAGAAATGTGTACAATTGATCATCAATATAATCACTTTTTTATACATTTCTGTATAATATTTGAATGAAGTAATCCATTAAACTATTAACATATACCTTTCTGCTACGAAGACTGCACCGTGGACCCTCAGCCACAATTTCGCTCCCGTCCATCTACAAAACACAGCATGTGTAATTAAAAACTGAAAGGTTTTTATTTAATCTGAGTTTATAGGAAAATATTTAATCTGAATATCCTTCTTTGATCTTACGCCGGTACAAAAATATGATTTTCTAACTTTACTTTAAAGTACTTATGTATTACAATTACGAGCAAACCTTTAGCTTTAGTTTCAAATCATCGAACTCTTTGTCACTCAAGATTGGTTTTCCAGACACATAAGCCATAGACGCTTCCAGAAATTTTTGCTCGTCAGAACCTACACAGCCAACCAATAATGACTCAATGATAAGATCAGGTTACATGCTAGAGGAGTTCATGTTACTCTGAGTAAAATTTCTAGCTCCATATATATACTTAGCATCACAACGGTGCTCCCTTCCCACATGAGTTCTTCCTTAAGATTATCAAATTCCTCATTTGACATAATAGCCTTCCCCTCATAATAAAAGGCCTGTTAATCAACAAAAGCAAAGCCCCATTTCAAGTTAAATAAAAAGGTCCCACTTTTCATAGCTCATGGCAATAAACAAATTAAAAAGGGTGCTAAAAAAACAAGTTTTTTATTTTTTGTCCGTACTTGCAGTGCTTGAAGAAACTCTTGCTCAAGTTCACCAACTGATTTCTTCTCCTTTTTGTCTATGCTACAATAGGGAAGGATTTTACTGTCCACAACATCATCTTCCTCAACCTTGCCTGTAAGAAAAACAGGAAACAGTGTCGTTAGAGCAATGCATGAAACAAAAAAAAAATGATGTTAGGAATAAGACCTTGATCGGCGGTGGCCTTGGGAGAAAACAGAAATAGCCTGCGGCGAAGGCATAAGTTGCGAGCATTGAATTGAAGAAGGTGGAGAGGAGAGACAGAAGTGGAGGAGAAAGAAGAGATTGGAATGAAGGGCGTTGGTGTAGGGGCAGTGAATGGACGCGGGCATGACAGTGTGAAGGTCAATTTGGTAGCCATGATTATTTGTCAACAGAGAGTATGTTGGTGTTGTTGTTGGGTTTGTTTTATGATAACGCATTTGAGAAATTCATTTTTATTGAGGATTGTTTTTAATTTGTTTGGTTGGAGGGAAAGATAAGGCATCAATGAACGTGTGGAGGGAAGTGCAACGGTTTATTCTCCCTTTCCTTCTTTGATTTTCTTGTCTTCACTGTTCACATTGTGTTCTTTCTTTTTTCATTTTCACGAAGCTTTCTGACTAACTGACATGTCTTTATCACGAGTCGAATTGAAGCCTCCCATTCCCTTACTTGTGGCCAGGTGGAGATGTTCTCTTGGCTCGTGTTTGCCATGGGATCTCACGTGGGCAGAGGTGGCTGATGTTCAAAACACGATGTGGTCACCGAAGAGGATTTAGCTAATTTCCTGTGGTTGAAAATTTCACATTTTTATGCAGATAGTTAATTGAAACTCTTAGAGGATGAAATCATCCCTGTTTTATTTTGATAATCCAGTTTAAGTTTAAGACTGTCAAACAATATTTATAACACAATATATTTTTGTTGCGTGTTAACTTTCATAACTGTGTAAGTGGTTTGTTTTTTGCATGGTTGTTTTTTCCTACTTTAACTGTGAAAAGCATTACACCTTAAGAAACATGGAGTAATCTTAAACCTTCAATAAGTGTTCGGTTGTACAAACTATGCTCATCTACTTGACGCTTAAAGGAAGAAATTGGACGTGAAGAGATAATGTGTATTCTCCTTAGAGTAACCTAAGAATCTAAAGCCTACAAATTGTAAGATCTTATTACAAATAAGCAAATTGTAAGATCTTACTACAAGAAGATTATCGTAGGTAAAGATGTGAAATTTGCATAATCTAATAAATGGAAGTTGGAAACAAAGAAGGAATAACAAAAAAGAGTGTGATAAAAAATGTCAAGTTAGTAGTAGGAAATGTTGAATAAGATGATAATAATAATACTCTTTACATAATATTTATTGAACCAAAAACTAATGCAACAGCTAATTATGTATCAAATCATATTTAAGACATTAGAAAATAACCCACCTTGTTAAAAGATGTTGCTATAGATAGACAAAGGTATAATTTTTTATTTTAAAAAATGTTGCAAATCTTGAAAATCTTAAAAAAGCAACACAAAATTTTGAAGGAAGATTATAATGTTATTGAAATAAATCATACTTTGAAACTTATTACTCTTCGTTCTTGTGCAAAATCTGCAGGAGTGAAGGGGATTTATAAGGTCAAGTAGTGCAGCGAAGATAGAAAGGTAGAAAAACCAAAAACTAATTCATCAACTTAATGTAAGAGTGTTTTACATTATGAGCTAATAGATGGTTTATTTTTATCACCTTTTAGGTTATGAAAAGTAGGATAAGAAAAAAAAAAAACGTGGTACAAGATAGAATCATACTTTAACAAACAAGGTTTTGAAAAATCTTATCAGGAACATATTTTATTTACCAAAGCAAAATCAGCAAGATAATTATTAATAGTGAGTCTATATACAATGATGAATTTAAGATTTTATATAGAGGAAGTTTAACATGACAGGTCATGAAAAAACGAAATATTTATTGAGTATAAAAGTAACTCAATGTTCTAAAAGGATATTTATATGTCAAAATGAGAATAGTTAGAATGAAAAACAACTGTGTCAATATATAAGTTGTCCAAAGATTAAACTAGTTATAGTGAATATAATTGTGTACAAACAAAATCGCGTATATACAGACGGATATTTACCGACTGAATTGTAACCGTCAGAAAATAATCATTATCGACTGAAATTACAGATCGGATATAAAATATTTGTGAAATTTGATGTTACCGACGGATATATCCGTCGGTAAAATAATAATTAGTTACCAACGGATATATCCAGTCGATAAATCCGTCGGTAATTTATAGATGAATTTACCGACGGATATATCCGTCGGTAAAATTATATAATATAATTTAATTATTCACTAATTAAAAAATAAAATATTTTTTTATTTAATAATTTAATTTAATCATAATTAGATTAATTTATAATAATTTATTAAATTAAGTAATTTTAAAAATAAATATTTAATTATATATAAATATATATAAATATATATATATATATATAAATAAAAAATATATAAAAATATAAAAATATAAAATATAAAAATATAAAAATATATATAAATATAAAATATAAAATATAAAAATATATAAATATATAAATATATAAATATATATATAAATATAAAAATATATATAAATATATATAAATATATATATAAATATATATAAATATATATAAATATATATAAATATATATAAATATATATAAATATATAAATATATATAATATATATAAATGTATATAAATATATATAAATGTATATAAATATATATAAACATATATAAACATATATAAATATATATAAATATATAAAAATATATATATAAATATATAAAAATATATATATAAATGTATATAAATATATATAAATATATATAAATATATAAAAATATATAAAAAAATATATATAAATATATATAAATGTATATAAATATATATAAATATATATAAATATATAAAAATATATAAAAAAATATATATAAATATATATAAATGTATATAAATATATATAAATATATATAAATGTATTTGTATATTTGTATATAAATATAATTTATTTGTAAATTGTTATCAAGAAATTCTAGTAGCTTAGTGGTTGGAGTATCAGCCTCAACTCTAAGGTCCTGGGTTCAATCCTGCCAATGACATTTCTCTTAATCGACAATAATTCAAAGTTATAAAAATATAATATGGAGAAATAATTGAAATAATTAATAAGAATATAAGGGGGAGGGTTCTATAAAAAAATAATGTTATAAATAAGTAAAATATTTAATAATTAATAAAATTATTACCAGACGGATCCGGATCCGTCGGTAATTTCATAACATATTTACCGACGAATTTTGACCGTCGGTAATTTTAATATTTCTTGTAGTGAAATGGTGGAAAGTTTTATATACCAAGTTAGACTGATTGTTATTTATTTTGCGGAAAAGCCAACTTAGATGCATCTAGCTGTTGTAAATAAATCCTTAAATACTTGAAGAGAACTTAGAATTAGACATTATATACACAAAAGACAAAGGAGAGAATCTATTAACCTATTCAAATTATTCAATCTAATTAAATAAAATGGATTGAAAAGAGAAAATGATTATTTATATTTGTAGAAATTAAAAGCCCCATTGGTTGGATTTAATTGTTAATGGATATTGAATACTATATATAATGGCATTTAAATGTGAAAACTAATTGATATCTTAGTGTGCATTATTATGACTAGCTAGAATATCAATAGATTGATTTATAAGGTAATAAAGATATAGATTTTGAATTGAAATTAAGTTTTATGTATTGAGGGAGTCTTTTTTAAAATTTTACTAGGATAAACTATCAATCATATGATTTATGACCACTTTCTTATATTTGAATATGATATTAATAACTTTTCTCAAAGTGGACATAAGAATAATTTCATTTTTGTATTAGATTGCCTAGAGATACTGCGACATGCTTTCATGTTTGAGGCATGTTCCAAGTTTGGGCAGGATGTTATGTCATAATTTTTTATGCTTTTATTCATGTAACCTTATAAAAAAAAATTAATGTATTTTTATATCCGAAGATAAATATTTAAAATATATTTTTCATAATTTTATTTTTTACTCTAACTTCTTCTTTTTATTTATTTATGTATAATCTCTGCATCTCCTTTCATCAGCACTTGTATGCCTTGGCTATTTTTTTTATTATCATTTCTATTAAAGGTATTTTTAGCAATTAAGTAATCGTTAATTTATGAATTACATGTTTCTGCACTTAAATATCAAAAATAAACCTAAATTGCTTAATCTAAAACAGATATTGTGAAAATAAGGTTGAATTCAGAATACTCAATTCGAAATGCATTTTTAGATTGATTTTTTTTGAAATATATTCGAAACACCTATTCGAAATACTATTACGGAGGGTGAGATGTATTTCTGGAAATCAATTTCAGAATGCACTTTCCAAAATATATTTTTGAAAAATAAATTTCAAAAATGTATCTCGGAACGCATTTTTCAAAATACATTTCCGGAATGTATTTTTAGAAAATCAATTTCATAAATATATTCTAGAAAATATATTCCATAATGTATTTCTAGAAAATCAATTCTATAAATATATTTCAGACCACTTTCGAGACATCACTTTTTATAACATATTTTTTGAAAAAAAAAAGCTCTCTGATTCCTTTGTAATGTGTAAAGATAAAATGAGGTTTAATTTAATCATGGAAGGCAAAATAAGATTTAATTTAATCATGGAGGACAATGAAAAATTATGGGGTGCCGGTAAGAAACATCCAAAATTTTAAGAAGTGATGTATCATAACTTTATCCATTACTAAAAAGAAGTATATTGTTGTATAGGAGTGAAGCTTAGACATACTAAACAAGAATCTATTATTATATATTTTTTTACAACACTTCAACAATTAAATTATTAAAGTATCTTATTCTTCATAATAAGAATAAGTATATTTATATAAAGTTTTATTTTCTTATTAATCTTAATACAATATAATGTTATTGATTTGAAGTATAGTAAGTTTAATACTCTTCTAATAAATTACGAGTAAGTCGTTGAAATCAAAATTATTTAATAGTATTAGAAAAATGTTGTAAATGATTCAATTGTATATGTAATACTAATTTGTTTAAAAATTTAATATTAAGGGAAGATGGATTATGATGTTAGTTTTTTTCTTTTAAAAAAATATATTATAATATAGGCATGACAACGGGGTGGGGGACAGGTTTTGCCTCCCCGATCCTCGTTCCCAAACTTTTTAATCATCCTCGTCTCAGTCCCGATTTCTGCAGGGTTAGAAATTAAGTCATCATCCTCATCTTCGATCTGCGTCGGGGTTAGAAATTAAGTCATCATCCCCATCCTCGATGGGTTTCGAGTTTTCGCTCCCACCCCGTCCCCGATCTATATTATTTTTAGAAAGATAAATACATTTATAATAAATTAATCTTATTATATATTTTTTATATATAAATAAATATTTATAAATTATAATTATTATTAATTAAATATATATTTTTAATTTATTATATTTATATTAAAATATGTATGTAAAAAAATATTTAATTGTTTTTTATTTATATATATATATAATATTATTATTATTATAACACTGTATTCAAATATTTGAATACTTATAACATTATTATTATTATTATTATTATTATTATTATTATTATTAGTATTATTATTATATTGTATTCAAATATTTGATTTTAATTCATTTTTAAATTGTCATTTAAAAATATGAAATATATAGTTTATAAGGAAATATTTAATAAGTTAATTCTTATTTAATTAGTTCAAAGTAATAAAAGTTTAAATTATCAATTTCTTTTAATATTTTAAAATATAATTATTTTATTAAGATAAAATTTGATATATGATAAATAAGAATAATAAAATAAAAGATTATGATATAATAAAACCTAATAAATGTAAATTATAAATAAAATAATATTAGTTATTATTAAGATTTATGTAAAATATTTAGAAAAAGATAAAGAAAAAAATTTAATTTTGTGTTCATCAAATTGGTTGAAAAGATTAAAAATAAATAAATTGATGAGAGAGATTAAGGAAATGTAAAAAACAGAAAGGTAAGAGAAAATAATGTAATAAATTAATTGATATAAAAAATTAAAAAATGGGTAGAAGAAAAATAAAAAATGATGAAATTGAAAAAAATGACCTTATATGTAATAGAAACAGAAAAGAATTTTTTTTTAAATATTAATATTTTAAAATTTAAATTTAAATATAAAGTCGGGACGGGGTCGAAATTTTATTACTCATCCCCATCCCCAACTTTTTAAAACGGACAAAACTCGAACCCACCCCGCTCCGGTTAACTTGGGTTCTCTCTGTCAATTCGAAGCGGGACAGGTCCATCTCCACGAGTACAGATTTAATTATCATCCCTAGAATTTATTAGAAGAATTTGAACTAAAATTATCTTATAAAAAGACATTATGTAATATAAAAAAAAGTGGTGCTTGTAAAAATGAGAATGATAACTAAATTATATATATTATTGTCGTGAAGACTAGTTTACCCTTAATTTTAGGTGAGTAATTAAATATTACTACAACCCACATGCATGATCCAATTAAAGTGTCAATTAGGTGAAAAAAGTAATTGACATGATTAATGATGTGTTTTGACGGATTGATTATGTTGAAGTTAGTTCCATAAACCATATGTTAGACCAACAGGGACAAAATTTATGTTTGTAGGATACAATGAAGTTATAAAGGAGATAAGAGTGATTTGATAAGAGGGACATGATATTGATAGTAAAAAGAGCAATGTAAATAGCATGAGTCTTGTTTGTGTTTTTATTTGTCCTCATTATTCTACTTGTCTAGTGGGCAGGGTAAGTGGCCCAACACAAATTTTTTTTCTTTTTGTCCCACTTTTGGGTTTCTAACAGCTACACCAGTTTTTTTATTTATTTATTATTATTATTAAAATTGGATCCAAATTATTATGAAAATCTTATATTACAAAATAGCATAGAAAAATGGCAATAAATGTACAAAAATAAAAATAAATATTAATGTTTCTTTAATTTTTTTTCTTTTTTTAGTTGGATTAAAATCATTGAATATGAAATGCCACAACACAACTCTCGTGAAATGAATGGACCGAAACATTTGTTCTAGAAACCACCATGCAAGTGGCTCATGGTTTTCGTGACATGTCTCTCACCTTATCAACCATTCTCCTATCTAATATAAAATTTATTATTTATTTATTTATCATTCTTTTATTTGTATATATATATATATATATATATATATATATATATATATATATATATTTTATAATTTTATCATCGTTCAGATGCAATCAATTGATAATCAAATTTTATTATATAATAATATATTGTGATTTCCAATTTGGTATACTTTAGTTACATGTTGTAATCATATTTTTTTTCTTAATTTTAACACGTGGCTGTAAACATAATATCAATTAAAATTTCCGAAATTAAGTATAATTTAAAATTATTTTTTATTATGTTAATTTTATTATTAAATAAAAATATAAAACTTCTAAAATGTTAATGTATTTAACTGAGTTATTATTAATATATATATAATTTTTATTTCTTGTTTATATCTTACTCTTAATGTATATACGTGTTTAAAAAATACACTTCAAAAGCGAACGTTAAGTTTTTTATATTATACAATAAATTGTTGATAAAACATTTTAAGAAAAAAGAAACAGAAAATATTATAGATAATGTGTTTTTATGCTGTAAAACAACCTAAGTTTGTTACGTACCCAATAATTTAATATATATAGTCCAAGATTATGGTAAAGTATAGGTTGGACCTATATATCTAACTCGTTTTATTTATTATTTTCTAAGTCAGGACACAATTTTGAACTAACAAACATGTTTTCTTTCGTATAAAATTAGGCTATTAAGAAACTGGGACAAGGTTTATCACTTTGACCCGATTAACCTAAAATAGTAGGGATTTTGAAATTTTTTGAATGAATAATAGTATATTTGATGAAACGTTGTAATGACATTTGTTTTAGATTGTGTGTTTTACATGTGTTGAATGATCTGTGAAATATGAAGTTCGGATTTTTTACTTTTACTACTAAAAATAATGAAATACTTTACATTGTTAGGTGCTTCCATCTTATTTTATTACATTATTTTAAGGGATGATAATTTTTATTTATAATTATTGTAGGATTATGTGTTGTTGGAACACTATAGTTAAATAAATATATATATATATATATATATATATATTTTTTTTTTTCAATAATAAGTTATTTGTTGTTTGACAGTTATGAAGCCCGAGGGGAAGTATATAATTTACGGATTAATTAAATTAAAATAATTAATTTATAATTATGATGATTACCGATCAAATATAATTTTATTAAAGTATTATAAATATGTGATGATTGTAATGTATATATTATTTCTTAATTATAATTATATTATCCAGTTTGAATGTTGAATCATCTTTATAAACACATATATCCGATTAAACATTTATTAAAAAAATACTTTTTAGACTTCGGGAAAACAATATCTCAATCTTGTAATTGGTGTAATCTATATAGAGACAAAATAAAAAAAATAATTGGGCATTAATTATTAGTCACTTTTTAAAAATAAATATATATTGAAACTTTAACTATTCTAAGATAGAATGATTAAATTATTACCTTGATAGTATATAAAAGATCACACTTAGAATGAATTTTCTAATAATGATATTTTTTTATGGTAACGTGCCAAGTGTACTAATTAACGACTGAGTTAATTGTGTTTTCATTCCTCAAACACAATATTCTTATTACGAATTACGCATGAGATCCAGATTTTTATTAAACAAATAAATAAGAATAACCCTTTGCCCTCTCATAGAAGGAGGCAAAATTGGTTGAATGTAGAATTTACTTGATGGAAGCAAGTATAATACAAGTTTCAATAAATTAATGACTAGACACAAAATACTAGCACAGAACTTGTCTTTCGTGTTTGGTTTCCTTTTTAAGCAGTGTTTGACGGAACTTAATCATGGTTGATAGAATGTGAAAGTGGAGGAAAGAAGAAAGGGGAAAGGAAAAAGAAAAAGAGAAGTGACAGAATGGTAGGGTTAGGAGGAGGGTGTGCATGCAGAACATGAGCTTAACCCCCAGTCAACTATGGTTGAATTTCTGGTTTGTTGAGGAGCTGTCACGTGATGACCAACGCATATGGTTCGCGATTGTTGTTGTTAAGGAGATTGGCAGTGGTTGCTTAGAATTAGAATATAAAGGCGAAGGGTTGGAAGTGGGAGTTCAAGAGTTGAAAGTGAAGTGAAAGAAATAACAGTAATAATAATAATATTGAAGAGATGAGTATGGTGGTGCCGAGAGTTGAAAGCTTGGCGAGCAGTGGGATAAAGCGTATCCCGAAGGAGTACGTGAGGCCGAAAGAGGAGTTGGAGAACATAGGGAACGTGTTCGAGGAGGAGAAGAAGGAAGGGCCTCAAGTTCCGACGATTGACTTGACAGAGATAGATTCGGAGGACGAGGTTGTACGAGGGAAGTGTCGGGAGAAGCTGAAGAAGGCGGCGCAGGAATGGGGGGTGATGAACTTGGTGAACCATGGCATCCCTCAGGAGCTTCTGAATAAGCTGAGGAAAGCAGGGGAAACCTTCTTCTCTCTCCCCGTGGAGGAGAAGGAGAAGTTCGCCAACGAACAAGCCTCTGGGCAGATTCAGGGTTACGGAAGCAAGCTTGCCAACAACGCCAGTGGGCAATTGGAGTGGGAAGACTACTTCTTCCACCTTATTTATCCTGAGGAGAAGCGCGACCTCTCCATCTGGCCAACCACACCTGCTGATTACACGTGAGTCCTCTCATTCCTACTCCCCTTTTCTTTCTAACACTCTTGCCATTTTCATTTCATCAATTATCTGTGTCTTATGCTTGAAGTGAGGTTACGAGCGAGTATGCAAAGCAATTGAGGAAGCTTGCCACCAAGATTCTAGAGGCACTATCTATTGGATTGGGGTTGGAGGGTGGTAGGCTGGAGAAGGAAGTCGGTGGAATGGAAGAGCTTTTGCTTCAACTGAAGATCAACTACTACCCAATTTGTCCCCAGCCAGAATTGGCTCTGGGAGTTGAAGCCCACACCGATGTAAGTTCACTCACTTTCCTCCTTCATAACATGGTGCCAGGTCTGCAACTTTTCTATGAAGGCAAATGGATCACGGCAAAATGTGTGCCTAACTCCATCTTCATGCACATTGGGGACACCATTGAGATCCTGAGTAACGGCAAGTACAAGAGTATTCTCCACAGGGGATTGGTGAACAAAGAAAAGGTAAGAATATCATGGGCAGTGTTTTGTGAACCCCACAAGGAGAAGATCATCTTGCAGCCACTTCCTGAACTTGTCACTGAGACAGAACCAGCTCGTTTTCCTCCTCGCACTTTTGCCCAACATATTCACCACAAACTCTTCAGGAAGGATCAGGAAGGTCGCCCAAACTGAGCCCGTCTCTCCTACTTCTATGGCTTACGCATATTGCGAATGAAATCGCATTGCATTCTCCGCTTGTCTTCTTCTGCACTTCTTGTTAGTTCTTATGGATTGTACCAATAAAATAGGCCCTTCATGTGGCCTCCTCATGCTAAGTTGGTTTTATCGTTTATTAAATATATTATTATTTTTGTTCATTCCACTTCTTTTTCTCTTTGGTTAACCTTTTATATATATATATATATAAAAAAAAAAACACGGCTTTCTTTATTCTTCAAACTATACCTCTTCATGTCCTTTTGTTTTTTAAAAAATAAATATGTGATATCGACTTTATTCAAACTACATACTCCTCCACTTTATTTAGTATTTTAATGGAAAAATTCAAATATATTGGTTAAATATATATTAAAAGCTTAATTGCAAGTATAACTCTATGTGTATGTTCCTCTCTCTGAGTTGTCTGCCATTAATGTGATTAGCAAACATCTTATAAATGATTAAGTTTGATTTTATTGGATTAGATAATAGTGAGTTAATATAGGTTGACTCATTTAATTCAATTCATGTGTTTCATTAAATTAATGTATCAACATCTCCTTTAATTCAAAATTTAACCTAAAACTTATATTAATATTCTTTATGATGATTATATATAAGAAATAAATCCTTACATTTGATATAAGTATAATTCATATAAGTTAGTTTATATAAATGTAAATTTATACGGATTCGTTATTAGCTCATATACTTTTTAAAGTTAATGGTAGGTTGATAGAAAAAAATAAAAAGAGATAAGAGAAATCCAGAAGAGTAATAAAGACAAAAAAATTGAAGAGAAATAAAATAGAAAAAAAAGATGTTAAGTGGAAGGAGATATAAATAAGAATAAAAAAAATTGTTGAAAAAATTAAATAAAAATAGAGATGATTTTATTAGAAATAATATTATTTGTTTATATTAAATTTTAATATTATTTTTTTATAGTATAAAAGTTTACGTATCATTTAACTATGTCAAATAATATATATATATATATATATATATATATTAAAATAGAAAAAATAAAGTTACATTTAAAATTCTAATATATAGGAATATAAATAATAAATTTATTAAATACTCTAGAAAACACAGAAATGTCCGAGCCCCACTTTTGTATCCGATTTTAAATGCACGTTAAAAAACATATTATTAATATATATATATATATATATATATATATATATATATAATATAAAATATATATTTTTTCTCGGGTAAAAAATATTGTCACAGAAAGAAATATAGTTATAGATAATACAATAATTTAATTATAAATAAATGGATAATTTTACTTATTTTTTAAAAGGGGTTAGAGTTAGAATTGACATAAAAAAGTAGGCATAAACACTGCAAAAAGAGAAGAAAGCCCAGGAAAAGAAAAGCAGCGAGTTCAGCACGGACGTTACATAAGCGATAAGGATACAACTCAGAACGCCAAACTCACGACACCGACGCTTCAGACTTCACTCTTCAATTTCGTGAGTCTCTTCAAACTTCCCTTCCAAATTCTCTTCTCCTTCATTCTACCAAAATGGAATGCGTTGCTGGATGAAGATTCTGTAACTTTGCTTTCACTTTAAGCACTACACATGTCATTACATTACATTTGCAAGTCTCTCTCTGTTGAAGGGTTTGGATTCAGGGTGTGTGTTGCTTGTTTTTGTTTTGCTTTCATTTTTCTAATTCATTATGTAAATAATTTTGGTACCTATTAATCTCTTTTCTTCGACTTTTGGCATAATGGGAAGTTGTGACCAAGGTTTCTCACGGAGGAGACTGAGTTATTTAATGATTCTGTGTTCTTTAGTGTGGTGAGTGAGAGAGAGAAAGATTATTTGGGCAGGTTCTTTATCCTATCTTGCACCAATTATATTTTAGTGCACATATATACCGAAGAAAAGGCGTGTTAATAAAGAATAGATTTGTCGGTGAGAGTCATCCATAAAAATCCCCCCTAATTGGAACGGGGGCAACAAACATAGTCCTTTTTGGTTGTTAGTGTTTCCTATGAGTGAATATGATGAAAGTAACACATGTGGGTTATCTTTTTTATTTTTTTGAAACCATGCTACTACTTTAGCAAAACAGTTATTTATGAAAATTGGTACCTGTATTCTGCATCGTTGTTTTACCGTTCTCTTCTTAAATTTTGGTATTGGGTGGTGCAATGTATACTTTGCGCTCTGATTTTAACTCATAATTTCATGACAGGTCAATTAGGATATGTCTTCTGATAGCGCAAAGGAAAATGCGTCGGTAGTTGATTCATCAGTCACTGAATGGAGGAATGACATTGGAAAATCAGATGATCCAGGTTTTGATTATATTTATCTTGTCACATGCATATAATGTGGATTAAGGAGTTTGCACTTTGGGGGGAAAATGAAGTTAGAGAAGTATAAATTTAAAATTACAAAACATTCCATGTAAGATAAAATATGTAAAACAAAATGGCTGACAAGAGAAAACAGTGAAGTCATAGATTTCTGACTAAAACCAAATTTCTTGGCATATCTGGAGGGTTAATGCATTCCCCTCAGCCCACATCCTTCCTTACATTGTTTAGGTGTACTTTCAAATGGTGAATCACATTCTCAATCCAGCAAATCTCCAAAAATCCAAACATACACTTAATTAGCAAATTTTTCTTGGAGTTTGTCCAGATGATCACTGACTTTGTTAAGGGTAGTGAAGAGTGAAATAGGGAGTTTATCATATACTAAAAATCATTTAATATTTTAGCATAAATGCATGCATCTGAGCTTTTTTCCTTTCACATATATATATATATATATATATATATATATATATATATATATATATATATATATATATATATATATATATATATATTTTACTGAGTTTTGATTTATCTGTGATCCTTTTGTTAGAGAGCTCCAGTTACAAGTTTAATGAAAACATTAATCCAAGTAGGGCAGATATAGTGGGGCACTCTCATGGTCCGATAGGGCATCCAACAAGAATTGGATTGGAAAAACGGAATGATATTAAATATTTCATCATTAAGAGTTTAAACCGTCAAAACATCGATTTGTCTATTAAGAAAGGAATTTGGGCTACTCAAATCATGAATGAACCGATTCTAGAAGAAGCTTTTCATGTAAGTAACCTCCTTTTTTGGTCTTCAATTGTATTTTTGAAATTGTTCTATACTTTATGGTCTGTCCAGAATTAGGAAAATAAATTACAGTGAGAAGAAAATAATTTTCTATAAAATTATTTGCATATTTTGCAGAACTCAGGCTGTGTAATCCTTATATTTAGTGTCAACATGAGTGGTTCCTTCCAAGGGTATGCACAAATGATATCCTCCATTGGAAGGGGGAGAGACAATGTTTGGAGTGAGGGAATTGGAAAAAGTAATCCTTGGGGCCGCAGTTTTAAGGTCCAATGGCTCTGTTTCAATGATTTGCCTTTCCACAAGACTTTACATCTCAAGAATCCATTGAATGGCTATAAGCCTGTCAAAATTAGCAGAGACTGCCAGGTTTCCTTCTATTTTAACCTTTCAGATCTTTAAAAATTTGTGCATATGTTATGTAATTGTATCTCTAAGTCAAGTTCCTTCTCATAGGAGTTATCTCCAGACATTGGTCTAGCTCTTTGTGAACTCCTTGATGGTAAGAATGATACAAATGACCTACTGACCAGGTAATTGATATTGTGTAATCAGGCAGTGTTTAGAGGAGGCTTCCTACTTATTGTTTTTTGCATGTGCAGTTCATCAAGGGATGATATTTCATTTAAGGACTGTTATGTGAATACTCCAAGTTCAACAGGAGATGAAGACTATAAATTTCCTCCATTTCATAAGTCATGGTCAATGCCCGTGCCTTATTCTTCCCTGTTTTTCCAAAATCAACCTGTATTAAATGAATTTCATCCAACAAAGCAGAGATTCAGTGGGACAACGCTTACGGAAACATTGCCTATCATATCTTCTGCGTTGCCACAAGTGTCAGGGTTTAAACGTGCTCATTATAGTGGACATCTTCCAGAGCTACAAACAAACAAGGATGTGGCTTCTCATTTTGATTTTTGTGGTGTGTCTTCAGGCTTCCCTTTAGCTAGGAGTACCCTAACTGAGGATGATTTTCTTGAAATGGTAGTGGGAATATATCTTTCTTTAATCAATTATTTTTTCTTTTGTCCTTTTTATTTCTAATTGTTAGCCAGTCAACCTTAGGAATCCTCTTGTTCTGAAAAGTGGTGCTATATTTCAAATGGCCTTTACATGGAAGGAGCTCTTATTTTTTCTATTAGGATGAAAGATTGAATCACCATTTAAACTGCCACCTGATTTGCGAAGAATTTTCGTAAAAAAAAAAAAAAAAAAAAAAATCGCATTATGGCTTTGCTTTGCAATTATAATCGCGATAAATGAATATTCTCCATTATTGGCTTTTGACGAACTGATTAGACCTGGTTAGAGTGCATACATTGGACAATTTTTCATTTGGATTGGACCATTGGATAGCTCAAAAGGCATGTGAAGTTCGAGCATGCAAGTCCTCCACTTTTCACCCATCCTGCTGCAACCCTCTATTATTATCTTTCTTGTTTGAATTTTGATGTATTTGAGTTTTGTTAACTTGATGCTTTAGAAGTGAGAATTTCCAGTTTTAATTTTTGTCTTTCCTATACTTGTTTCTTCGGCTAATTCTGATTAAGTGTATGTTGTGTTTGTTGCAGTCCTATGAAGAATACCTGGAGGAGGTCCATAGCAGAGGAAGGAAACAGTTACGCATCAGTGTCAGTATTTACATCAACGTCATTTTTCTATTTTCTTGTTTATTGTTTATCTAGACATGGTATCTATCAGTCACAGGAAATCATAACCAAGCCATCGAAATTCTCAGGCAACTAAATCATCTTGAAAGTGACTGGAATTGCTGCGAAATAATTCGCCTGATGATGATACGTGAAGATCTTTACTGTGTAACCAGATTCTGATATGTAAGTAGTCAATTCAGTGATTCCATAGCTAGGATGTATTTTGCAGGAGCATAGAAAACTCTGTTGATAGATAGAGATAGGAGCAACCCTCATGGGAGGATACATCATTCATCCTTCCCAAGGATATAACTGCTTCTCCATTATGTTGGTAACTTTTTGTGCAATGAGGCCCTTTTTCCCGTTTTCGTATAGCAAAGACGACATGGAAGTTAATTGTAATTGTCTAAAATTAGGATTTGATATTGGACCTCATATTAATGTGATTCAATTCCAAGAATTTGAGGCTCGTTGACAAATTGTACAAATTTAGATTAGAGTTGGAATGGGCAAACATACCTTGTTTATAAAATATGCCATCTATCGCTATGCTAAATTGGCATTTTTACGCCTCTGGAAAATTGTCAGCAAAGATGATGCTGATATTGGTTTAATGTGAGTAAGAATCTAAGCTGTCTTCAATTTTATTAATGTTTTGAGATTATTGGGGTCTATATAATATTGAATTCTGCATTTCATAATTTGTATGTGCTGGTTTTTTCTGTGAACATGAAGAAAACACTTTTGATTTTCCATGTATATATGCACTATTTTTGCAGATCTGAAGTTGATTGGATTTCATGTGATCGTTTGTGGGCCAAAATTGTGAAATATCATTGCTATTTGTTGCCTTCGATGCTTGAAATGTGTAGAAAATATAATATGTAAATAATTTCAAAAAATCTCTTCTACACATTTTAAACTCGACGAAAACAATGCCGAGATAAATGTAGTATTCTCCTTTTCCGGCAAGATTCATTGGCATTTATTACAAAATTGTGACAGGCAAAGTTGGTAAATATTTGGAGCTGCTTCGGATCCTTTGGTGACAGCTCAAATTAACTTGTTTGATTGGACGCATGCATTAGAAAAATAATATCTGTAACATGTTTTAACACAGTTTTATTTTAACACATTTTTAATCAGCGTGCTTAGAGACATATTTTTTTAAATATCAAATCATTGTTGAAATGAAACATGACTTTGACACACACATATAGTTAAATTTTAATATCTCAGATGAATTGGTGTCTAATTACTCTAGTTCCGTAAAAATTGAAAAAAGAAGCTAACGCTTATAATGATGACAACAAGCTGTTGCGAGGCAATACGGTTGACCTGATGTAAGATAGTAAACAGTGAAGCAAATAACGAGCTGATGTCTTATGCAGCACTAAACTATTATGATTCAAAATATTGTATAACACATATTTTCATAAAATTCCTGTAATTAGACACACGTCTTTGAAGATAATTTTAAAAAAATTTAAAAGATGTATTTTTAATAACTTAATTATAAAAAAACAAAACAAAATAAAGTTCTCAAATCAAACACAATTTCTTTATTTTCTTAAAAATTAAAATTGTGTTTAAAATATGATTTATTATTATTATTTAAAAATATAATTTAGACAATCTACAATGTTGTAATGTAAATCTTTAAAAAGAATTAAAAAAATATTTATGAATAACAAGATTAGTACTTATAAGTAAAAAAATTATTTGATTATATATATATATATATATATATATATGTTATTTAAAATTATTGAAATATGTTTATATAAATAATTTTTCAAATTTTAAATAACTTTATCCTTTTGAGAATGTTTCTAATTTAATAATTTTTAGATCGATTTTACATATTATCTTATTTTCAAGACCCTTATAATTTTTGTTTTATTTTAATAGTGAGATATTATAAGATTCATTTGTATAATTTTTCATATGCTCTTCAATTATTTAAATTTTAAAGATTAAATAAATTATCATATATTTTTAAAATTTTTAAGACGTAGGAATTTATACCATGGTCATTTCATAGACGAATCCATTGATCTACTTATTTCCAAAATTCTCTTAAAATGAATATTTAATTTTTTTATAAATGGATAAATCATGTTTCAAAATACAATTTTGAAAAAGAGAGAGGGTATATTTAAAATATGTCTTTCATTTTTATAAATAGTAAAGTCATATTTTAATATACTATTTTTTTTACATTCTAAAGGTATTTTATTTTTAATAAAATCGTATTTATATATACGATTTCACTTGTTTTTAATATTTATATAATAGCAGATTTTTTATTAATAATTATTTATAATAATAATTATTAAAATAATATTATTCTAATTTATATTATTATTATTAATTATAATAATATTTAATAGTATAAAATTTATTATTTATTGTTATAATTATAATTATATTTCTTATTTTTATTATTATGCAATTATAAATTTATTATTATTAAAATTAATAAATTTTATTATTATGATATTATTATTTTTTATTAATATATTTATTAATTTATTATTATTATTATTATTTATTTAAGATGATGATAAATATGAAAATAATAATTTGAATAAATAATAATAAATAAGTATTATAATAATAATAATAATAATAATAATAATAAAATCAATAAATCCAATAATAATAAAGTTATAATTGCATAATAATAAAAAATATAATTATAATTATAGTTATAAGAATAAATAATAAAATTAATAATATTAATGATTATAATAATTATTAATAATATTATTGTAATAATAATTTTTTATCATTATATTTATTTTGTTTATTATTATTTTTAGTATTTTTATTATTATTGTTATTTATTTAAAATTATAATAAGTGTAATAATAATTAAAAAATAATAAATATAATAATAATTTTTTTAAGTGTATAATAATTAAAAATTATAATTATAATTACAATTATTGAAATAAATAATGAATTTAATAATATTAATGATTATAATAATAATAATAATATTTATTGTAAGAATAATGTTATTATTATATTTATTAATTTTATTATTATTATTATTAGTAGTAGTAGTATATTTATTATTATTATTATTTATTTATTTAACATTATTTTAAGTTTAATTATAATAATTTAATAAATAATAAAATTAATATATATTATAATAATAGATTTAAAGTTGTATAACAATAAAAGAATATAATTATAATAATAAATAATAAAATTAGTAATATTAATAATTTTAATAATTATTTACTATTATAATTATTAGTAATGATATTAATTATTAATAAACAAATTTAAATAATATATTGAAGCACGACTTTAATATTAAAAAAAAAAATCTGTGTTTCAGTGTTACGAAAACAAATTACACCAATGTGAGTGCTTTAGCCGTTACAGTTGAGACCTGCATTTTGAGAAAATGAAATAGGTCCCAGAGCTCATTGTACTGCAATACTGCATATCTTTATTCCTTTAATTCAAAATAACATGATGTTCTAACTTGTAAAATTTTCATTGGAAAATAACAGCTAGAGGGATTCTAACAGAGTAATTGTCAGATACCCACTTGATAGACCCCTGAGAAAACTCGTCCTTCTCTCTCTTTTTGTCTTTAGGAACAAATTCAACCCAGTATGTAACCTTCTGCTTCACCTCTGTGAATGTTATCTCAGCTGGGCTTATGCTTATTCCTACTCCCAAAGGTGCATCAACTTCCACACAGTAGGTTACATTGGTGGGTCCAACATTTGTGAGTGTTCTGGTGTAGAACTGTGAAGTAGACCCCAATAGAATAGAAAAGGAGGGATAATTGAGTTGAGCTTCCGGTATGCTTTTCACCTCGGAGCAGTCCACTTTTTGTTTCAAAATCAGTTCAACTTCTTTGTCAGTGTAATTCAAGCCACACAAATAAGGAATGTAATCATTTGGTTGAATATCATAAACGAGTCCGGGATCATTCGCCTTCAAGGGGTTAACATGTCCAGCTCCTGTGGCAAACACATCAGCACGTAGATGCCTTTCGTCCAATATGGACACCCCTCTAAGGTTTACTGTATTAGCACTGGTCATGATTGCTGATTTTATGGCAGCAGGAGACCAATCTGGATGAGAGTTTTTAAGCAATGCAGCAATGCCACTGAGATGAGGACAAGACATTGAGGTGCCTGAAATTATGTTGAATGGAGGCACATTGTTGTCCAAAGACACGGTCCATGCAGCTAGAATGTTCTGTCCTGGACCAATGATGTCAGGCTTCAGAATTCCCGGGCTTGCAAAACTTGGACCCCTTGAGGAAAAGGAAGAAACTTCAGGTGCAAAGAAACTTCCAAGAATTGTTCCTCCGAACGAGATTGTTGCTGTTGGCGTTGAGGTTGAGTTTATGTAACTTTTGATGGCTAACCCAGCAGGGTAACTTAAGTGTATAGCAGGAAGAACGTGAACATCGGCAAAGGGACTGAAGTATTCAATTACTGAATTCATGAGGATCATGGCTACACCACCAGCGTTCTTAACTTCTTGTCCTTTGTCTACTCTCTTAACGAATCCACCAACCTCGCACAACACTATCTTTCCCTTCACATCCACATTCTCTAAGGATCCAGGGGCACAAAATCTCGAGAAGGAATTTTCATTTTCACCTGCATACACAAGTGGTAGTAACGTGGACGTGAAGTTGTTGGGTTGGAAAACAGATTCCCCGTTAAGCACTTGCCCGTTGCCAAGTTTTGCTGCTGCCACTATTCTTCGGTCAATGGTGCTGGCACCAACGGTGAGAATCCAGGGAGCCTCATTAGACAAAGTGAAATAACCAGGACCAGAGTTAGCAGCTGAACAACTAACGAAAATTCCCTTCTGGATTGCACTGAACGCACCAAGTGCAATTGGATCGTTAAAGAAAGGACCAGAGAGCCCTCCAAGGGAGAGAGAAAGTACATCCACACCATCCTCAACGGCAGTGTCCATTCCAGCTAGTATAGCGCTTTCAGAACAACCAAAGGCGTCACATACCTTGTACATTGCTAAGTGTGCATCAGGTGCCATGCCAACTGCTGTACCTTTGGCATTGCCAAAGGCATTAGCACCCTGCACAAACCTCCCTGCGGCTGTGCTGGCTGTGTGGGTCCCATGTCCAACATCATCCAGTGGAAGGGATGAGTTTGGGTTTTTGACGAAACTTCTTGCACCAATGAGCTTGTTGTTGCAAGTCCTCCTTCCTGAGAATTCACAGATGCCATTCCATTTTGCTGGTGGAAGTGGCATTCCTTCATCAGAGAAAGAAGGGTGATCAGGGTTTATGCCTGTGTCCAGAATTCCTATTATGATGCCTTTCCCAAAATTGGAATTTTTCCATAATCCTAGTCCTTGTTGCAATCCCAAGAACGCTGGAGTGTGAGTTGTGTGTAATGAAAAGGACCTTTCTGGACTGACTGACACAACCTCCTCCTTCTCTCGAAGAGCTTCGGCTTCTTCTGGGGTCAATTCCACGGCAAATCCATCCATCACGTTGCGGTATGAGAAAGTGATGCGCTTCTGGTTATGATAAGATTTTGTACTGGATGGAAGAAGCGAAAGGTACCAACCATGCAACTCCTCCTTCGACTGAAGAGAATAACCAGCCTCATCAGGCTTTTTAACTCGAACAACGTACGTCAACAGGTTGTTTGGAACATCGATTTCCGCTGTTGGAAAATAATGTTCCTTTAATGCTTTGGCGAATTTTTGATTTCGGTGTGCTGAAGTTGGACATATACAAAACAGAGCGAAAATAAGAGTAAGAGGCAAAACAAGTTCCATCTTCGTGGACAATACTTGCTTGTTTATCGTCATTTTCCTAGATTGGTTGTAACTGGGAACTCTATGGTTATATACTGAGGAAGACATGGGTGTTAACGATGGCTATAGCATAGGGAATATTAACATTGAAGGTAAGGTTGTGATCGACTATTCCAAGGTACATATGCATGCAAGCAGAGGGTAGCTTGTTAGGACGCATCAAGGTAACATTATTATCACGTAAACCGAGGCACTTGCATGGTGATGCCCGCTATCAACTATTACATTTCTTTGCTCCCTCCTCCTCCTGCCCAAATTTGTAGGCGCTAATGCCTCCATGCTATTATTCATATACTTCTATATTCTATATATATAATCAAAATAAAATATAATATAATATTAAATATTCACAATATCTTATCTGTAACTAACAAATTCAAAATAATAACTTAATATTTTTCTATTCTAAATAATAATAATAAAATCATTTATAATACGTAAAAGATAATTAAACATATATTAAAAATATATAGTTTTTATACTAACTTCTGTTATACCAATTTAGTCTCTCAATAATATCAGGTTCCACTCTCTTTTATAACTTGATATCTTAATGTGATTAACACTTGAGAACTCTTAAAATAGAATGTATTCTTGAAACTAATTGAGTTAACATTCAATATAAATAACTTACAACTCTTAATGGAGAAAGTTTGATAGTTCAAGAGATTATATTCATTATTATCATAAAATTTCAATACATAAAAAATATTTATATTACTTTACATAATTTTTTTTAAAATATTATTTTATTATCTTTTATTTAATAGATTTTTATTATTTTTTAAGAGAAAAAGATAAAAATATATTAAATTATTATTTTGATTTAGATAATTATGATTAAAATATTATTAATATTTAATATTTTATTTTTCATATTTTTATTCTAATATATAAAAAGAGTATATTATATATATAATACATATATACACAAGCACCCTAGAGCAAATGTGATTTGAGCTCAGAACTTGAATTCCAACGATTCTAAACAAAATCATACTCGGTAATTTCAAAGTGGTGAATTCGCTTACGAACTCAGCCAGCAGAGCTTAAGCAGATTAAGACAAACGTTTGTATCAGATCTAAGGACTAAAGATGCATTTTTGCACAAAAACACTATATATTTGATCAGAGAACAATTCCATTAAAAAAAATGACAAGTTCTGGTGCATTTCAACCATCAGAGATGACCCTAACACAACAGATTATTTGTTATATGAATTAATGTAGTACTAGGGACTTAACACACAGGACCAGCTCTTAAATTAATCTTCGAAGACATTTCGTTTCCCTTCTTTCTTTCTTTAGCATCACCACCTCACCTTCATGCATTCCCGCAAGTATGCATCACTCAAAAACAACAGATATGGGAATCCTAACAGTGTGTTTGTCAGACACCCTGACCCAAGTGAGAGAACCCTGAGCAAAAGTATGGTTGCCTCTATTTTCCTTTGTTTGTGGGGTAAACTCTACTGAGAATGTTATCTTCTGGTTCACGTCGGTGAATGTTATCTGATTAGGATTCACACTCATTCCCATGGCCAAAGGCACTTCAAGATCCAAAGTGTAAGTTGCCTCTGCAGGTCCAACATTAGTCAATGTTCTGGTGTAGTACTGTGTTGTAGGAGTAGATCCCACCAGAATAGAAAATGAAGGGTAATTCAGTTGACCTTCTGGTATGACTTTTACATCGGCGCATCTCACTTTCCTTTGCACAACAATTCCAATTTCTCTGTCCACATAACCCAAACCACACAGATAGGGAATGTAATCATCTGGCTGAATATCATAAACAAGCCCTGGATCATTTGCTTTGTTTGGGTTAACATGGCCTGCACCAGTGGCAAATATATCTGCAGGAAGATGCCTTTGGTCTAATATGGGTCGACCTCCGAGGTTGACTATGTTGGCAGTTGTCATAATAGCTGATTTTATTGCCGCAGGGGACCAATCGGGATGTGCACTTTTGAGCAATGCAGCAATACCACTAAGGTGAGGACAAGACATTGATGTTCCTGAAACAATGTTATATGGTGGGAGTTTGTTGTCTACAGAGAGAGCCCATGCTGCTAGAATGTTCACTCCAGGTCCAATAATGTCAGGTTTTAGAATCCCAGGACTTGCCTGGCTTGGACCCCTTGAAGAAAATGAAACAACTGCGGGAGCAAGTGCGTCACCAATCACAGTTCCTTTGAACGAGATTGTTGCGGTTGGTGAGATAGTTGAGTTTATGTAAGACTTTATAGCCAACCCACCAACGTAACTAACTTCCACAGCAGGCAAAACATGAGGAACAGCAAAAGTACTGAAGCCAATAGTTTCTGGATTGGCGAGAATCATGGCCGCGCCACCAGCGTTCAGAACTACTTGTCCTTTGTCAACACTTGGAAAGCCTCCACCTATGTCGCACACCACCACTTTTCCCTTCACATCAACGTTGTCTAAGGAATCTGGGAAACAGAAGCTGGAGCTGAGGTTTCCATTTGCACCAGGATACACAAGTGGCAACAGAGTAGGGGAAAAGTCTAGGGGTTGGATCAAAGATTCCCCTTCATATTCTTCTTCATTTCCAAGCACTGCTGATGCTGCTATCTTTCTGTCAATGGTGCTGGCACCAACGGTGAGGATCCAGGGGGCTTCGTTAGAGAGAGTGCTGTAGTCAGGGCCGGCGTTTGCGGCTGAGCAACTAACAAAAATTCCGTTCTGAATAGCGGCAAATGCACCAATGGCAATAGGGTCTTCAGAGAATGGAAGAGAGCCTAATCCAAGGGAAAGAGACAGAACATCAACACCATCATCAATGGCTATGTCCATTGCAGCTAAGATGGCACTTTCAGTGCACCCTTCTTTATCATTGCACACTTTGTACATTGCTAAGTGAGCATTCGGTGCCATGCCAGCGGCAGTTCCCTGAGCGTTGCCGAAAACGCTAGCGTTCTCTACAAATCTTCCAGCGGCTTCGGCAGATGTGTGAGTTCCGTGGAAGAAGTTTTCAAAAGGAGGCTCTTCACTAGAGCTTTTGAGTAAGTTCCTTGCACCAATGAGTTTATTGTTGCACGTGCTTTGCCCTGTGAATTCACAGAATCCTTTCCATTTTGCTGGTGGTGGTGGCATCCCTTCATCATTGAAAGATGGGTGGAAAGGGTATATACCGGTGTCTATGACTCCAATTATAACGCCTTGGCCAAGGTTGGAACTACCCCACAATCCTCCTCCTTGTCGCAGCCCCAAGAATGTTGGAGTGTGTGTTGTGTGCAGAGAAAGTTTCCTTTCGGGACGAGCTGACACAATCTCATCTTTCTCTAGAAGGGCTTTGGCTTCTTCTGGGGTTAACTTCACCGCAAATCCAGAGGCCACGTTGCGGTAAGAGAAAACCATTCGATCCTTGTTGGAGGTTTGTGGAAGGAACGAGTGGTACCAGTTGTGTAACTCTTCTGATTCCATAGTAGGTCTAGTTTCTGGCTTTTTGACGTGAACAATGTAAGTTTGCAAGTCGTTGCCATGGTCTTTGGCAAATGAAGTTGCGTTGGTGCCAAGCATGAAAATGAGACCGAGAAGAAACGCAAGCTCCATTACGTACTTGCTTTTCTCCATCGTTGGGAGTTTAATTTGCTAAAGAAATGTTAATTATTTGGGTTGTGCTTGGCTCAATGCCATGCATGTATATATATATATATATATATATATATATATATATATATATGCAGTGGAAAACAAAATGGGTGTGATTAACAATGGCCAATTGGTAACGTTCCACTGCTCAGCAAACAAGGAAATGGCCTGCAATATAGTTAAGGAATATTGATGTGTGTCATAGTAATTATTTTGTCCCAACATTCTCTCTCTCTCTTCTTTTCCAGGTTGTAAGTGTAATTTCTTGCAGTGATTTGCTGGCCTAGGACGGTTTATGTGCAAAGTACAATTAGCTTGGTGTTTGTTTGGCCCTAACAAATTATTAAGAAAATGTGTACTTAAAATTAAGCAATTCACATGGTAATGCTCGCTCCGACTCTCGTGTGATGATTTACATGCGGAGAGTACACTCCACCAACAGCTGTGTTCTATAATTTAACATATATATCGTATGCTCCTCTCCTTCTCATGAGTTAAACACAAAAGGACAAGTTACATATTTATACATAGAATTCATTCTTAGAACTATTTCTTAACAAGGACAAGTCTCTAATGCTATAAATAAGATTTTTATTATATTTTTTTTAGATATTTCTTACTATAGTTCTATTCATTTTATTTTTGTCTTACAATAATTAACACACCAATCTCTATATCTTTTTAAAACAATGACATATTGACGATCGTGTGGAAAAAAAAAACTAATAGACAATGAATACAGCAATAATAGTATATAGTATAATAGATGGATTCAAACACTACAAAAAAAAACCCTATTACCTACGGAATATTACCTACGATACAAATCCGTAGGTAAATTTTACATTACCTACGGATATTACCCACGGATAAAAATCCGTAAGTAAATTTTACATTACCTACGGATATTACCCACGGATGAAAATTCGTAGGTAAATTGTACATTACCTACGGAATTCTATCCGTAGGTAATTATCCATAGGTAATGTAATCCGTGAATAATTTCGTAGGTAATTACCTACGTAATTACTATCCGTAGGTAAAGTGTACATTATCTACGGATATTACCTACGGAATTCTATCCGTGAGTAATTATCCATTACCTACGGATATTATCCGTAGGTAATATCATCCGTGGATAATTCCGTAGGTAATTACCTACGGAATTACTATCCGTAGATAAATTATATTAAACTAAAAGAATTGTCACTAGCAAGAATCATCCACTAAACTATTAGGATATTCTAATAATAATTTACAACTAAATTATACTTATATTAATTCGTGTAAATATATAAATATATAAATATATAAATATAAAATATATAAATATATAAATATAAAATATAAAATATATAAATATATAAATATAAAATATAAAATATATAAATATAAAATATATAAATATATAAATATATAAATATATAAATATATAAATATATAAATATATAAATATAAAATATATAAATATATAAATATAAAATATATAAATATATAAATATTAAATATATAAATATATAAATATAAAATATATAAATATTAAATATATAAATATATAAATATATAAATATATAAATATATAAATATATAAATATATAAATATATAAATATATAAATATATAAATATATAAATATATAAATATATAAATATATAAATATATAAATATATAAATATATAAATATATAAATATATAAATATATAAATATATAAATATATAAATATATAAATATACAAATATATAAATATACAAATATATAAATATATTTATATATAAATATATAAATACATAAATACATAAATACATAAATACATAAATACATAAATACATAAATAGATAAATATATAAATATTTAAATATTTAAATATTTAAATATATAAATATATAAATATTTAAATATATAAATATATAAATACATAAATACATAAATACATAAATATATAAATACATAAATATATAAATACATAAATAAATAAATACATAAATATATAAATACATAAATATATGAATACATAAATACATAAATATATAAATAGATAAATATATAAATATATAAATACATAAATATATAAATACATAAATATATAAATACATAAATATATAAATATATAAATATAAATATATAAATACAAATGTATAAATGTATAAATATATAAATATATCAAAATATAAATATATTTTATATTTATATATTTTATATTTATATATATTTCATATTTATATATATTTTTATATATTTTATATTTATATATATATTTTATATTTATATATATTTTTTATATTTATATATTTAGACGGATAAATATAAATATAATTTATTTGTAAATTATTTTCAAAATATCCTAATAGCTTAGTGGTTGGAGTATCAGCCTCCAATTCGAAGTACTGGGTTCGAATCCTGCCAATGACAATTCCCTTAATCTAATAATAATTCAAAGTTTCAAAAATATAATAAATAATAAAAATATAATATAAAGGGGAGGGGTTCTAGGTAATAATAAAAAATATTTTGTTTTGTTAAGGTGAGTGCATTACCTACGGATTTTACCCGTAGATAATAAGCGTTTTTTTTAGTGAAAATTAAAAATAAAAATAAATGGTTTTCATTTACAAACGTTTATGTTGATGGGTTAATTCATTTTATAAAATAATAATTATTTTTTAAATAAAAATAAAAACTAATATTATTTATTATATAAATATGTAGTATAAATTAATTCGACCAAAGATTAACTTATTCCTAGAAAAAATATTATAATAAAATTCTAATAACTTATTTTAATATATAATTATTAAATTAATTATTAATTTAAATTAACTAATTACTTAAAAAAATAAATATTAATAACAAAGAGTAAGTTTTTAATTTTTATTTTAAAATTAAATAAATATATTATTTTATAATTTATATATTAAATTATTATATTTTAATAAAATTAATTTTATTAATAAAATTTAAAATTTTAAAATATTTTTTTATTTAAATATATTTTAATTAATTTATTTTATATAAATATGTTAATATTATTTTTTAAAATTTACTCAAATCAAAATTGATCTGTTAGTGGTTGATGATAGGATCAAAATAATTAAAATTTTTAGTCTATTTTAATATATAGGACAAATTGCATTGTTAAAATTTTTTATATTTGATTCGTAAAATCATATTAGACTATAACATCCGTTTTAACAGTTTTACTAATAACATTTATATTTAATTGAAAATAAAAAATATCACAATATAATATTAGATAATGATATTTAGGTTGTTCCAGCTGTAACCAAACATCTCCCAAATCAAAATCAGAGAAATATAATATATATATATATATATATATATATATATATATATCTATAATAAGTATAAAAGCACTTATAAAAAGTAAAAATAATTTTAAATTATTATTATATTATTAAAAAAGGTTGTAGAAGTAGTTGTTTTTGAGGAAGGTTTTCAAAATAGTTTTTTCTTAAATCAATTATAAGAATGAAAATTTTAAGTTAAAATAATAAAGACAGCTTTATTTATTGCCACTTTTTATTAATGGAAATTCTTTTAGATCTTTGAAAAATGAAGTTTTAAAATAATGGACTTAAATTGATAGTTTTTATTTGTGTACAAAAATTTAAATATTGTCACTTTTATATCCATTTCAGTATTTTTTTATATTTTATTTTGAAAATAAAAAAATACCAAAAAATTTTATACACTTTTAATTAAAATAACATTTTTTTTACAAAAAAAAAACAAATGCATATCATTTTCTGCTTATATAAAGAATTACTTAATAGTAAATCGTTTTTCATAAATTTGTTTTTTAAGCACAAATAACATAACCATTATGTATATTATAGTAGAAGTAGAAAACAAAGTGTGAGAGAATAGCCCAATATTGAGGCCTCTTTCTTTCCTCATTCTCGAACATCCTCGCTGACCTGCATCAAAATATTCCATCCTGTCTCTCTTCTATGTGCAGTATATAATGTGGTATTTGTAAACACATGACATGAGAAATATAGGCTTTCTCTGCTGCATTTTAAGTTTTAAGCTTATATCCGAAGTTTTTGTAATGGTATCAGAGCTCTCACTGGAGCTATGCTGATACAGTCTAATTAAACCTTGGCACAGAGTCTTGCTGTTGCCACCATGGATTAATACCCTTCGAGTCCCTACTATATTCTGTTACGAAGAAAAACTTCCAAACCGATACAATATCACGCAAATAAGTGCTCTGCTTCTTACTTCTGAATTCCCCTGATGCCGGAATCCCAAGTCACAAAATCATAAAAGATTTTCACTCGCAGGGTGTTCTGCTTCTGCATATTTTAACCAAATTTCTTTTTCAAAAATAAATAAATAAATAAAGGAATAGTAATTAATTATCATGTTCACAACTTTATGTAATATTATATTATTATTTTAAGGTTAAAGATTGATAACTTTTATATAATTATATAATAATCTAATAATATTTATTATGTTATTATTCAGTTATCAACTTATTATATATTATACCGATTATATATTATATAAACCAAACATTTTCCTGAATAAAACTAAAGCAGTGGCGTGGCTTCACTTCATTGTCCTACCAAACAATCATCTCCATCACTCCCAATTTGAATTTTTAGTCTATGCACAACTGATTCAGATTGGTTCAAATGTTCAGATTTGATAATTCAGAGCTATGAATTTTGGCTGGCTGATCAGTGCTTTTTATCAGTTCTACAAGTATAATATTTCATTAATATCTATTTATTGATCAACTATTATATTGACACTAATTAGATGGAAGAATATGGGCATGAAAGATACAAGTGATGCATGACACTAATTCAGCTAACTTCCGTCCTAACAGCAATTTTCCAAGATTCTATGTACTGAAAAATAAAGTCCGAGAAAAGTTGTTGGGCGCGGGCGCCTGTTAGATTCAGCTACGTTGTAATACACTTGCCTGTTAACGATTTTATTAATGGATTGTGACCTAGGGGAAGTTGTACAAGATACAAGGGATACAGAATTTAGTATGCTAGCTTCTTTCCTAACAGTAATTTTCAAAGATTCTGTGTACTGAAAAGAAAATTCTGACAAAAAGTTGTTAGGCTCCTGTTAGAATCAGCTATGTTGTCATCGATGTTCAACTCAGTAGAGAAAATATTTTCTCAGCTATCTTTCTGCACATTGGCCGGTGTTTATTGCCGTCATCGAATTCCCAAGCTCCTGCACCATTTAAGTTGAAAGTGGACAATATAGCTAATCAAATTACCGAACATAAACAGTAGCAGTAGCAGCAGCAATAATGCATACCTCCGTGCAGTTAGTAGAGTACCAGCTTCACGGTCGCAACCTTCTCTCCCACTATGATTTTGCTTTCCTCCAAATATGAAAGGCGTTACCTACACCAATTGTGTCAGCTAAATGGGTGAGAGAAAAAAATGGATATGAATGAAAATCATAGGCTAAATGTATTCTTCATGCAGCACAATTACCTTTGCATCCAGATGAAAAGAACTCCCTATATTTTCTTTTGAATCCTTGCATCCAGAAACAAACAACTCAGTATGATACCAAGACAAATAAAAAATAATAGATGTTCGTCATCTTCAAAATTATAGAAGGAAAACCTCTCTACACACTCTGGAATGTCGGGGCAGTTTCAACTGGGATCCATTATTTGACTCGACTTCGGATGTTAGAGACATCTGCTAACATTTTACAATAGAAAAATGAATGAGAATAAACGGAATTAAAAATCTTGTACCAAAAGTAACTACTGGTTAAAGTAAAGAACCTTTGATGCAAAAATGGCTCAGTAGTAAATTTATAGATATTGTAGGTAAAGGAAAAAATATTAGCATAATTCACCTTGCTAAAGAGTTCAATTGGTGGGTTATGCTGAATTCTCTTTTCAGTATGGAAATTAAATTCCTGTATGAATTGAAGCAAGATGCGAAATCGATTAGTTCTTTATACATATAGCGTTGTTAGTAAAGGACGAAAAAGCAAGCAAACCAACTCACCATTGGCACAGTGGTTTCCTGCTTTCTGTTCCGGAAAACACCAATATCACCTTTACTTGAAAGAATCTGCACTGACACTTGGTATTGAAGCAGATCAAACAAATAACAGGGGAAAGAAAGGTAGAACATACTTCATACAGATAATAGAATGAAAATAAACTATTTCTAATAGAAATTCATGTCAATTCCCCCACCTTTTCATTGAAATCTTTCACAGAACAAACTATTTCAATTACACCAAAATCAAAAGCAAAAGAAAGTTTTATAAACAAATTAGTTACCACACTTTCATTCACATTATTTATATTGACTTTGAGATTAAGCACACTGACTTTAGTTTCACGGGAAATTCTCTAGACGAACTGTTTTAAGAAATAATTTTATGTTAATCTTAAGATTGATTCTTTTAAATAAAATATCTTCTGAATTCACAAAAAATGAAAATAAAAAAGGTAGAACATACTTGATACAAATAACAGAATGAAAATGAACTATTCTAATAGAAAATAAGTGTGAAAACTTGTATACAAAGCAGCAATTTAAGATTCAATGTCGACCAGACCACCCACTAGGTTATGATATGGTAATGCCTGGCATAACTTGTTTGGATTTTCCTACTCATTAAAAGGAGAAGTTATACGAAACAGAATTTTAAGATACGGAACTTTAAAAAAAAAATCTCATTTTAAAGAGAAAAGATTTAAAACGGAACTACTAAAGAAACTAGTTTTGGGATCTTTGGATTTTGACTTCTTCTTCCTTCGTTATTTCCATTTGAAATTATCTTTTAAGCTTAATTAGTTACAGAAATACCAAAAATCTTTAACTTACATTTAGAGTTGTTATTTTTAATGTTAAATTTAAAGGAGATTAAGTCCTAAAAAATTCGAGCCAGAGACTACATCAACATTTTAATATCTAGACATAGATGGCAAGTATATTACATAATATAATAATTGTAACAAATTTCTTATTTTCACAGTAACTTCTTTTCTACATGAAATTGAAGTTAATTCATCTTCAATATGAATTACACTGAAGACCAAGGGCCTATTTGTTTTACACCAAGAATTAGTTTGACCGGTAATATATCTTGAGACTGAAACTGTATTGAATTATTGATATATACGCATGTTTTATGATTAGAAAACCAATATTTGTTATGCTATATGTATATGTATATATATATATATATATATATATATATTCATTAAAGTGATACAAATTGTATAAATTATTTTAATTGGGGATGCATGCTTGGTTAAAAGTAAGAAATTTAAAAATCTTAAATCATACAACAACTAGAATATAATTTGAAGTTTATTGTTTTGTGTCTTCACAAGACTGAAGTCCAGGTATCTTCATACCAAATTTATTGCTAATGTCTAGTTACCTTCTTATTAAGCGGTCGAGCTTTAAAACTATGCACAAAGTCCAACCCATCATGTTTTGGAGCACCCATGGCAGATGGCCTGTGCAAAGGGAGTATTTTGAGGTTAGAAACATAGTTACATGATTTATGGAGTTAGAATGTTAATTTTGCATTTATCATCATATTACCTTCTCAAATCCCTGATTCTATTTTCTTGAGCAGAAACAGCAGTATGTTTGTCCAAATCCTGCAATGTAACCACCAAAGTTCAGTTACCCAGAGATCACCAATCATATCTATTTTGAAACAATGGTTTGACATATCTAAATTTTATAACAAAAAACTAAAGCAAGAAAATTCAGATAAAAGATCACAAGCAATGCAGCGCCAGAAATTTCATAACCAATGAAATTCATATATCAGCTGAATAACAGAATACAATTATGTGAAGAGACATTAATATTACAACTTAAAAATTGTGTGAACTAAATTGACCTTATTAGAATCATTGCAATGAAATGAAGATGATGAAGTCGCAGATGTATGCTGCATGGCCCTCTCCTGTGTCTTGAGATGAAATTCCTGAGAAGCAAGAGATAAAAAGAACATGAGCTCAAGATAAAAGTTGCTTTGTCCGGTAAATCATTGGTTCAATTCTTTTTCACTTATTGTATTATACTGTCAAAGTTTTGTGTAAGGTTCTAGAATCAACATATAGTGTGTGTACAATAGTTAGGAAAACTGAATCTTTGTGTTTATTATATTCACTAAATAAATATCAAGTACATGGTGTAACTGAAACATATAGTTCAGCCTGTGCTTCTCTTTGCATGCTCTGCATGATGAAAAGTTCATGAAACTGTATTAAGTACAAAAGAAAGTCTCAAGAGCTTACTTGAAATTCAGGCAATCGCGGTGTGCTCCTCTTAGAAATTGGTAACAAAGGAGCATTTAGAATCTAGATTATGAACATAATTAGTTAGGGGTAAAGGATATAAAAGGTACAAACAAAATTAACCTAAATGCAGCAAGTACCAACTTTTCTGTTTAATGGACGTGCTTTGAATCTGCGGGCAGCCACTGTCACAACTTCCGCTTCTGCAGCATATTTCGGTCTGGAAAGCACGTGTATAATAAATTGACTTCAATTATGTGAGGAAGAAAAATCATCTTCAAAAAATTTACTACACTAGAATCACCAACCTAATCCTTTGTGCTCTGTGAGCTGTTTCTAGGTCAGGCTCTCTAGGAATAGTGATCTTCAGCTTAGAATGTCCAGAATTTAGATCAGCAGTTGCAACCTGCAAGAATATACAAATTTATAGAGCAGCATTTGCCCAATTCCCAATCCCTAATATGATCCTCTTTGCCCTAAGGAATTTAACTACTTTTGCTACTCAAATTTGTAAAACAATGAGGATAGAACTTTTGTTCTTTGTTTACAAAAAGTCAGATAGGGAAAGCAATAATGAACAAATATATATATATATATATATATATATATATATGGGACAGAATATGAGCATCATACAGGTCAAGAATATATTTGTCAAGTACAATCTACTCAAGCAGTCTGCATTACAATCCTTACCTTTTTAGGTGCCTTGTGGACAAAATTAACTTGCTGCTTCACATCACCAACCTATCATAAGAAGATACAGTTAGCAATTTCATTCGGGAGCCAAAACATGGAGACAAAATTGATTCTAATAATCTATAATCCAATTGTTCACAATGAAAAATCAATAAGTTCTCATAACATCCGTAGAGCATTTCTTGTAAATTAGAATGGAAAAAAATTTGAACAACTAATGTATCATCAGCAACGAATTAAGAGCCGCACAAAATTTTACAGTACTAAACATTCATTTTGCGGCTTATATCCAAGCATTCATGCAGAGAGAAAAGTAACAATCAATACTTCAGCAATAAGATAATCACAGGCAGAAGTAGAATAGTAAAAAATTTACATACCTTGTGCAAGCTTCCACCTTCTAATTTCTGTCGTTTGGCAGCTTGACACTCTATCCCAGAAGAGGTAGACATATTCATTTTTTTGTTATGATCTTGTACTTTCAGAAACCTGAGGACAATGAAATAGTTGAGTCCTAGATGATATAAGGAAAAACAATTTTTTTGGCATCCATAGATTAGAAAGCTAGATACTACAATTGTACCATAAAACATCATGGCACTTAAGAGAAAAAGTAGGGAATAAATGCAGCAATACTCCGGCATACTTGATAAGAATTTGTAACTTCATAATGAAAGAGTGATCATCCAAGCAAGAGAGCATTTAAATAAGTGCACCATGTTGAGCAAACATATATCTATCTTATGGAAAAATGCAGTGACATAATTCATTTTAAAAAAATGCTTGCCAACTAATCAAGTGATGCTTGATTTTTTTATTTATTTCACTGACAATTCATGCCTTAAACATTATAATGGGGCAAGTTTCTCCAATGATCACCTTGAGCTAACAATATGATGGGGCCGATTTTGTTTAGCCAACTGACTAGCAGTAGGTTTCATTAGTGTTGAACCCTTCACGACAGCAGGTTTAACTTTAGACCTCAAAGTGTCATGGATTGTTTTGCTCTTAAAGGCCAGTCCTGGAAAGACATAATTACATGTTAAGCTCAAAAAAGTGGTAAAAAACAGGTCGAGATAGAGGGTAAAGGATAAAGATTGAAGAAATATGCAAACACATTATGTCCTAAATATTGAAGCAGAAGCTAATGAATAATAAATTAAAAACAATAATGTTAAAAAAAAAACCATGGAACAAAGAAATTAATTTCGGCATACACCACCAGGTTCATTATTCAAACAACAGTATGAGTGCCTCGAAGCTATCCCATCCCTCCTTACTCAGCACATCAATCATCATGCCATCTATAAGATTGGTTACCTGTAGTTACTTGTAACAGTTTCATATTAACATCCCGTGGATCTCCACTCAGCAAGCCCGAGATGTTCCCGCTCCCACCGCTTCCTTTTGAACCTGGTGAGTAGAAAACATACATCAGTGAACTCTCCTTCTATCTTATTAATTATTAGTAGAAAATTGGAGTTAACTCCCCTTCTAGTCCTGACATTGAAAATGTAGGTTATATTAGTCACTTACAAAATTCTCACATTAATCCCTGATCTTATGCATAAAAAGGTTTAGATCAAAGTGAATGTCGTTTTAAGACAAGCATAAAGTTAACGATTGAAGTGTTTAGCGGCGGGAGAGTAAAGTCAAGACAACTAGGGAAGAAGATTGCATACCGTCATGCTGAAAATCAGTGGGGGAAAATCCAATCCCCGACGGAACGTTATTAGGCTTGCCATCATGAACGGTGGTTGCGCATTCCACACGCTCTGATTCGTCCTCTCTCACCACTAGCTTCGCCACAAAAGCTGAAATAATAATTAAAAAAAAATTAGTGATTAGCAAACAACTCGCATTTATGAAGAGGAATGAATGAAAAGAGAGGGTGAAACGGACGGGAAGGAGGGTAGCTGGCAGCGGATTGAAACCAGAGTTCGGCTTGGCAAGCTTTAGTAGGAGTTTCTTGTGCACTGAAATCGAAGAACCGAACTGCGTCGAACTCGTAATCCAAGTCAATCTCGTGAGCAAAAAACACATGTGGCTCTTCCATTTCCATATCTTCCTCCTCCATTGACATCATCATGATACCGTTTCTTCTTCTTCTCCTTCTTCCTCCTCGCTGAGATAGGTTTTAGTTCAAATGTCAAATCGCACCGCCATCATTAATATTATATTATATTTAATGTAAATAATAAATGTTTTGTGTGCGTTCAAACTGCGAACTGAAAGAAATGTTGGCAGTGCCACTCTAGAAGTGTTTCAGTTCAGTGTCGAGGTTTTGTAATTACACCACAACCACAGGGAATAGAAATATAAATAGTATTATATTATTAATTAATTGAATAAATAATAATTAATTAACAATTAGGACGAGTGTAAAATATAAATGTAGCACTAGGCTTAGGCTCTCACCTGACCCTGGGAAGAGAAGGAAAGGCATCGGGTTTGTAATTTTGTTTGTCTGGTTTGTGTGGGACCCGCGTGAAGTAAGTGAGTAACGACCAACGATCCAAAATTTGAATTGTATGGGAGAGTGTGTTTGGACGGATTCACCCTTGCCCTACAATTTGAAGGGAAGTGATGCTTTGGGCTGCGTCGTATGTGGTCACTGCTCAGACTCTGCAATTTCGGCGCCCCTCCTTTACCTTTCGCAATGCATCATATTTACAAACCAAACTCTCCCTAACGGCTCTATTTCTTCCTTCTTGGGCTGGGCTGAGCTGGGCTTGGGTACACTGATATGCAGTCCAAACAAAAAGTGACATTTAATAATCGCACATCCAGTTTGATTTTCCCAATCCCTAGCATTTCACGGAATTTAGAAATTGTCACTTACACAATTTGAAAAATTGTTTTCGTTGTTTATTAAGTTAAAGAGGGAGACTCTTACGCTGAGTTACGCTAAATTATTAGTTCTATCCTTTTACAAAAAAAAAAAAAAACACATTTAATTTAATAATTAACTTTCAAACTGTGTACAAAAGTAACCATAAAGTAAACACATGGGTGCAAAAGTGGAGCTAGCCAAGAATTAAATGATGGATAAGTGAAGGACAAATTTAATAAAGTTTTTAATTTTTTTTTTATGGTAAACTTTTAGCATCTAATGGCTACTTGCAGACGAATTGGGACATATTTGTATGAGGAGACAAAACTCATCCTTATCAACTATTAACTTGTTCCGGGAAACTTGTCCTTCGCTTCAGGATTCTTAGGAGATTACGTATAAAGATTCTTTCTATGCAAACGCTGAAGATGGAATGAAATAGACTCTTCATCTGGATTGAAGAGGCGACGAGAGGGAGTAAAAAAGAAACAAAAGAAAATAAGATTATTTAGATTGAAAAAATAATAATAAAAAGTGATAGAAAAAATAATGAGAATATTATAAAAGATAAAATTAATATAATTAATTAAAATATTATTTTATTAATTTTAATATTTATTATTATAATAATTAAAACATAAAAAAATATTTTATAAAAAATGTGATACATAATCGATTATACAGTTACAAACACTTGATTATGTATTTGTAATTGTAGTGTTGTTTTTCTTCTCTTTTTCTCTCAAGGAGGAAAGAATTAAAGCTATATTTTTTTTTCTTTTTCTCATGTTAGTGATTGCTCCATTTATAAATAATATTGTGTCTTTAAATTTAACAGTGAGAAAAATAAATTATTAAATTTCTTTGTTATCTTTAAATATTTTTTTAAAAGAAAATATATGTTTTGATAATTAGTTAATTATAATTTTAAATATTTGCTTGGTAAAAATATATTCTTAACTTTATTTTAATATAGTTTATTCAGACAAAGTTAGGCACGTTTTTTTTTTTAATTTATGAATTTTAGTATAGTTTTTTCTTTTTTATATTTTTTTTCACATAATAAACATTCTCTAAAATATCAACTAGAATTTTTATATTTATATTTTTACACATTCATATTTATTAAAAAAAAACTCAAAACAACTCAAAACAATTAAAATGAAATTAATTGAAACTAATTCTAATCGATTTTATATGAGTACATTTAATTTTATTTAAGTCAGTGATAAAACTTTTTTATACAATTTATGTGCAAAGAATTTTTAATTTCAATATAAGTAAAAAGTCCAATAAAAATATATTAAGTAGTGTATATATTTATTTATTTATTTTACATTGATATATATATATATATATATATATATATATATATATATAATTCTAATTGAATTATAAGTTTAGTTTCCATACCATGTAGAGCTTTATAGTGTTAATTAATTAACATCGAACATAAATATATATTTTGAAGTAATGATTATATAAAAAAAACTATGATTTTAGTTAGATGACAATGCAAATGATTTTCACATTGTAATGTATTAAAATACATTTCTTAAATCATTTAATTAGATGGATCTAAATCAAGGTTAATAACATAATCTAAAATAATTTAATCGGAGACAAATATATTTAATAATTAAAAATCAATTGAACGACATCTAGCAATTCTCAAAAACCAATTTCATATTTGAATATTTAAAAGAAAAATTATGGTATATTGAGATATCGGGTATGCTACGGTGAACGGTTTGTTTGGTAGCAATAAGTCTCTACACGCAACCGGAATCTCATCCAAGCCTCAACCGCAAACGTCCACGTCTGCGTTTTTTATACACAAATAAAAGATCACAACAACGATAAAATAATCACCATGCTAGGTTTAATCACTTGCTAGTGTACGGAAGAATTGAAACAGTGGAAATAATAGTTAACACATTTTTATAATTTACTTTTTTTAATATTTCTTCCCTGTATGTTTCAGTATAATTTTATTTTGGATGTTAATCATATATTCGAGTTCATCTAATATGTGCTTAGTTTAATTGGATGCAAAACCAACTGTGTATTGAAATGATGGAGTGGTGAGATTCAGAGTTTGATGAATTGCAGAGGTCGTTCCTCCACTCAATGATGTTTTTTGTTTGTTTCTCCTCCTACCTGAATCATTGCATTGATTGTGCGTGAGCGATGTCAGTTTGTGGCCTTGACACTCTCTCTTTTTGTTTCTTTACTTCCATTTGTGTTTCATATTTGCCGTTCATTTCGCTGATTCTTCTTCTCATCACTCACGATAAACCCTGTATCTATCTATCTTTCTAATCAACCAATGCATTGAACGGTGCATAAACCAATTGGCCACATCATGAATTGTGTGCGTAGCACACGTGTATAATTTTTAATTTTAGCTATGGTAAAACGATGTGAGTTTGAAAAGCGAAAGGTGATAGGGTAAAAAGAGTGAGAAATTGAGAGGCTATTTTGGCGCTGAGAATATACCAGAGAAAGAGATTAGAGTATATTCAATTGGTTGGGTTGAGTCGAGTTCAGTGTCCACACGCTACTAACGAATAACAACAAGAACACTTTGTTTTGCAATGCATTGGCCTCCATCTAGTAACCATTGATTTGATTATAGCAGTGACATAACCGAGGAATGGTTTTAGAAGAATAATAGTCAGAGAGAGATGAGAGTGATAGTGCCTCTACAAGGGGTTGTTCAGGGCACAGGAGGTCTTTTCTGGGGTTCTGTCATTCCTTGTGCCCTCTTCTACTTTCTTCAACTCTTCTTCAAAACCAAGACACGTCACCACCGCCCTCCACCTTCCCACAACCACAAGGAGGATTCCACCACCTTCCACCGCTCTCTTTCTCTCAGCCCAAGGCACTCCTCTGCCTCTGCTTATGTGTCCCCTCGCGCCAATTCCATAACCGCTGCTAACTCTTCTTACCATCTAGGTTTGAACAAGGTCGCTGATGATCCATACCACGAAACTCATAATCCCGATGGTGTTATTCAACTTGCTTTGCACCAAAGCACTGTGAGTTACTTCTTCTCTTCTCTTCTATTCGCAATTAAACTATAATTCACTCTGTCATGTATCGCTTTTTCAGCTATCTCTTGATTTGGTTCAAGATTGGATTCACTGCAACGGAAGCGCTGCTATACTGGGGACAACTCTCACCATTTCTAGGATTGTTCCTTACCAACCTCTCGATGGATTGATGGAGCTTAAAGTGGTAAATCTTGTCTTTTTCCTTCTATTCTACCCGTGCTGTCTTTTTATAAGATGAAGTGATTGTTGCTGAAAAGGTTAGCTGAACAAACAATCTATGTTGATCCTTTGATCCTGCAGGCTGTGGCTGGTTTCATTACTCAAGTGTTGGAAAAGCCGATTTTCTTCAACACTTCGCGCATGGTGCTGACTGCAGGTACCACCTCTGCCATTGAGATTCTGAGCTTCTGCCTAGCAGATCATGGAAATGCATTCCTTGTTCCCACGCCTCTTAGCCCCTGGTAAAAATCACTTCCCCGTCTCCCGTCTCCCAATTCCTCAATTTATGTCGCAGACAAGGTTTTAAGTTGGAGCTACAGTGGCAGTTTTGTCGTCATCCTTGTCATGATGCTATAAATAATGGCCTATGTGGCCGCAACTAGTTCCCGTAACTCCAAAAAAAATATGGAAGTTGTAGTCAAAACCTGAGTGACGGGCAGTTTTCCAAATCTTTTATAGGCTTTAAATTGGGATTGTAATCGCATTTTGTCATAATTTTTTATATTTAGAAAATTGCATATGCAGTGATGTAACCTTAATTACCAGTAATTATGGTTGCAGACTGTTTTTAAAAGCCTTATCTGCCATGACAGTTTTAAATACATGTGCAGTTTTGACGGGGTTGTAAAATGGCGCACTGGCGTTGAGATAGTACCTGTTCCCTGTCGCAGCACTGATGACTTCAATTTAAGTATAACTTCACTAGAGAGAACCTTCAATCAAGCAAAGATGCGCGGTAAAAAAGTTCGTGGAATCATTATAACCAACCCCTCAGATCCTGCTGGCAAATTGTTGAATCGGGAAACACTGTTGGATCTTTTGGACTTCGCTAGAGAGAAGAACCTTCACATAATCTCTAATGAAATGTTTTCAGGCTCTTCTTATGGTGATGAAGAGTTTGTGAGCATGGCAGAAATCATGGAGGCAGAAGATCATGACCGGGACAGAGTTCATATAGTGTTTGGTTTATCCAATGAGCTTTCTGTTCCAGGTTTGGAGGCGGCTGTTATCTACTCCTATAATGACAATGTCTTGGCTGCTTCTAGCAAATTGGCAAGGTTCTCCACTGTTTCTGCCCCAACCCAAAGATTGCTTGTCTCCATGCTTTCAGATACAAGTTTTGTGCAAAAATTTATTGAGGTTAACAGATTGAGGCTGCGAAAAATGTATAATTTATTTGTGACAGGGTTGAAGCAGTTGGGAATTGAGTGCACTAGAAGCAGTGGTGGTTTCTGCTGCTGGGCTGACATGAGCGGGTTGATTCGGTCTTACAGTGAAAAGGGGGAACTTGAGTTGTGGGATAGATTGTTGAATGTAGTTAAGATCAATGTTACCCCGGGTTCTTCATGTCACTGTAGCGAACCTGGATGGTTTCGTTTTTGTTTTGCTACATCAACTGAAAAAGATGTATCTGTAGTGATGGAACGGATTTGGAGAATTGTTGATTCCACGAAGTGAACGTAGTTGACGTGCGGTTAATTAGTTTTACAAATTTAGTTGGTTTATTTATTCTTTATTCTTTTGGAAAACCCAGCATCATCCTCGGAGGAGTAATCAATTACGAAGGCGAGTTGAATGGCATGCTATGCAATGGAGTAGCTTCAAAATGATAGGTTGTAAATTATAATTTAAAAAACCTACTCTTCAAGACTTAAATATTTCAATGTTGAGTCAGAACCTGGTAGACGATTTCTCATGTCTTCAAATTTGGGTTCACTTGCAATCAAAGGAGAGTGTTCAGCTCCAATAGAGAAGAGTGTGAAAGTAAAGGAAAGATAAAAACTCTTGGCAATGGCCTTGTGGGCATGATAATAGTTTTTTATTTTTCATTTTTCACCTTTATCTTATACATTTGTTTTATTTTTCTTGTAAAATTATATTAGAGAATCACATATCCTTCCAGCTTTGTAAATTTCAGGGGGAAGGTCACACTATTGTAGTATATTTGGTGAACAAAAAAAAATCTGACGGCCGACAGTTTCACATATAGTCGTTCATGACATGTTACCAAAGCCAAAACAGAAAGAATAGAATATGAATCACAGGAAGCTTTGTTTTCCTCTTCAAAACACGCAAAGTAATGGAATAAACAAATGCCTTTATTTGCAGATGTTACAAATTTATGAAAAAAAAAATGGCAATATAAAAAAATGAATACAAAAGAATTTTTGTCCCTCGTCCTTTTTATGCTTTGAATGCCTGAGTAACCCTCCTTCTCCCTTGTCCTCTTGCATACACAGTCGATCCCGATCCAAATCTCCTTCCATGTATGCTCCTAAATCTGATGCCTCCGTTCCATGAAGAACTTTGACAAATTAAACAATCACCTTAATTCAGAGCTGCACTGCATTCAGAGCTGCACTGCATGGAAAAAGCTCTAACTTGTTAATGGGAATCAAATCCATTTCTAATGGACTCAAGGACCTGGACAACCTCAGCCATGCTTGGTCTCCTTAATGGATCCTCCGAAGTACAAATTAGTCCCAATCTCATAACTTGAATTAATTCGATCTCAGTAAAGCCCAGTAAATTTCTGTCAAAGCAATCTGAAGCTGAGCTAGTCTCTAACAAACCTCTTACATATTCACACAAGACCACCACTTCATTCGTGGTTGGACTTTCCACAGGCTTCCTCCCTGTAACCAGCTCCAAAAGAATGACTCCAAAACTATAAACATCACATTTCTCACTCTGCCTCAGGCCTTGAGCCAACTCTGGTGCAACATATCCCACAGCATTGTGGAATTTGGTCAGACCATAATTATCCAAAATGGGAAGTAACTTTCCTAAGCCATAATCAGACAACTTAGCTTCATACTTGTCATCTAGGAGGATGTTAGAGGATTTAATGTTGAGATGAAGAATTGGAGGTCTACAGTCATGGTGGAGATAAGCAAGGGCTCTTGCGGTTCCCACTGCAATTTGAAACCTTCTAGACCAATACAACTCCCTATTTCCTCTACTAGTGCTGGTTCCAGCATAGCCCAACCCGTGTAGATTATCATAGAGATTCCCATTTGGGACAAACTCCGATAAAATCAACTGCATAGAAGAAGACCAATAATAACCTTGAAAAGCAACTAAATTAGGGTGTTGAAGGTTGCCTAGTCGCCCAATTTCATGCTCAAATTCCTCCTGGTTTCTGATCCTTCCCAAAGTCTCTAGCTTTTTCACTGCGATTGAGATCCCGCCTTCAAAATCAGTTCGGTAGACTGTACCAATTGATCCACCACCTATCAAAGACTCTTTGTCGAGCAGTGCTTTGGTTCCTGCCTCCCAATCTTCATATTTCGATGGTAAACTTTTGCTGAAGAGAACCAGCTTTCCAATTATAAGATTTGATTCTGTTGATCCAAGTGGTGTGCTCTCAACAATCATGATCTGATCATCTTCTTTTTTTCTACTTCGGGCCGTCATATTCATGATGGTCACCAAACAAACCCCAGTGAGAATTACAGCTGCAGCAACGATTGCAACAATTGCTGAGGTGCTTAGAACTTTAGCCTTCCCAGGAGATGAAGGTGATGTAGTTCTGTTTAGCAAGCAAGGGGTGTCCAAAGGACGACCACAGAGAAAAGGATTATTGGAAAATGCTGTCTCACCAAAACGCTGTATGTTTACAAGCTCAGGAATGAAACCAGAGAGGTTATTGAATGAGAGATCAAAATGTGTCAATTTATTTAAATTTCCAAGGGAAGCAGGGATTGGGCCAGAAAGTGAATTATGGGACAGATCTAGGTACTGGATCCTTGATAGGTTTCCAAGGTTTGGGGGTATGCTTCCATTAAGCTGGTTATGATGTAGATTAAGAGATTCAAGGTTTGTCAAGTTGTAAAGAGTCTGAGGAATCTCACCTTCTAATTTATTACCAGAAACGTCCCTGCAGCGACATAAAAGAATGAACTCAGATTTTATTCAGAGGGTTTAAGATAATGTAGAGCAGTTAGAGAAAGTTGAAAAACTCACAGCCCCAGGAGAAACTTGCAATTGCTTATATCATCAGGAATTTGGCCAATGAGGTTTAGATTGTGCAAATCCAGCAACTCAAGAAGCTCAACGTTGCCAAAACCCTTGGGGATCATTCCACCAATGGAATTATTACCCAATTTGATAACTATTAGTCCCCGCAATTCCTGGATATCCACTGGGATATTCCCCTCCAGCCTATTCAACTCCAACGCCAAGAGTTTTAGGCTCTTGCATTTTGTTATGCTGGAGGGAATCTCCCCATCCAAAGAATTCCCTGAAACATCAAAGATTTCCAATCTCCCACTACAGGCACTGATCTCAGGAATATGTCCTCCAAATCCGTTATAAGATAAATTGAGATAGGTAAGATTTTGTGTTCCAAGGACACTAAATGGAGCCAAATCAGTGAACCTATTACTTCCAAAATCCAAATGTTCCAGACTTTGGCATGAGGAAATGAGCTCCTGCACGCTCCCTGACAAGGCATTGCTTCTCAGCGACACATATGACAACCTTGGAATGCCACAAAGCCGTGAAGGGACGACCCCACTGAGGTTGTTGAAGGAAAAATCAAAACCTTCAAGGTTATAGCAGTTCACCAAGGAGGCAGGAATTGAACTAGCTAGGTTGTTATGCGAAAGAGAAACGAACTTGGTTTTGTAGCAGTACCTAAACAAAGCCGAAGGTATCTCCCCAGTGAAGCCATTTTTGGATAAATCTAGAAACCGAATGCTAGGCAAATCACCAATGAACTCAGGGATCGAACCAGATAAAGCATTGGAACTCAAATTGATCTTCCACAGTGAGTGAAGATCACCATACCCTTCAGGAATACGACCCGAGAAACGGTTCCCGAACAACGTCAATATCCTCAACCTCTTCAACCCCGAAAGTGACGAGGATAACACCCCTCCCAAACTAGTGTTCCATAGTACGATTCTCTCCACAAACCCTTCAGAGTTACACGAAACACCTTTGTAATCATGGCACGGGTTCCCACTTGAAACCCACGAACTCAAGCTGGCCCATGGATCGTCCGTGATGTTTCCCTTGAATTCAAGCAAAATTTCCTTCTCAGTCATTGCAGAAGCTGTCACAAGACAACAAAAAACGGTGCACAGTAGAGCATGAGAGAGATGAATATCACAATGTCTTCTCATGCTCGAAACAATGTGATCACCCCTTTGACATCCTAGCCGTCACAACTGAACTGGATTCGATTCCGAGGCGTTGCTTCCTCAGGTAAAACGTTCGAGGTATCGTAAAGTCGGTCCAATAAGAAACAAAACATCACGATCATCACCGACGGGGAGCATTCTCATTAAGAAGACTGGAATTGCAGGAGAGAGAAACAAACCCAAGAAAAAAAAAGAATAAAAATAGTACCCGTTTAATCTCTCTCTACTTTTCCTTCTGGGCTCTCCGTGTAAGCATCAGGAACAAAGATTCAATAATGCCCATGTTGTGTTCCGTGTTTTTTAATGGTTTGTTTATTGTTCAGTGACATAAAAACGGGAGCTTTTGGAGAGGAAGAGAGAGAAGGAATGGAGGGCAGGGTGGAATGGAGGGGGGAAGGGAAGAGTAAATGGGATGAAATGAAGAAGGTGGAAATGGTGGCTGTACCTTTGCTGGAAAGGAAGCAGGTGAGACAGTGGGAGGGGAATTAAATAAACTTCTTTTAATAGGTTGTGATATATAAATTCAGAGATTGCCATCAAATGAAGGCTGAACCACGTGCATGAGAGAGTAGGAGAGACCCTCTTTCTCTCTCTCTCTCTCTCTAGACTTTCTAAGCCAATGATGCCCTTTAACAATGAAAACCCAATCTGTGTCTGTGAGCTTGATGAGGTGCTACAAATCTCACCACCATCTCTTGTGTTGCTGTGTAGGGCCTGTTTCTCTTACCCGGCATTTATTCTTCCCTACCAACCAAGCCACCACCTCCCCCGTCGCTATCAACAGCACCATCCCAATTAATATGCAAGAAGGGAAAGGTAATGGTAATGAAGTAGTAGGAATATTGAGGAAAAAAAAAAGAAAAATTGAAGAAAGAAGATGAGAGTGGAAAGGAAAAGAGTTAAGGAGTGTGTTTGTTTGTCTGTAGTACCGATTCCCAGCCCACTTTTCATTGGAATTCGTCGCAATTAGCAGCTGATTACTTAATCTCCTGCAGTGCCAACAGAAAAGAAAAATAGTCACTTCAAAACATTTTGCAACATCATTTGCTTTTGATATGTCGGTGTAATTAATTATCCTTAAGTTAATAGTTAAAGCATTATTATTATTATGTTTTAATTAATGTTATTAGGTCCTTTTGTTTTTTCGAATGTCTTAAAAATTATCACGAGAATATTCTATATAACAGTTAACGCAGCACTGCGATGCGACCACCATGAGAAAGGGGAAGGCAAAGTAGAAAATGACCCGATTCTTGACACGTGGCACTTGCTCCTGATGATAGGTGATTTTGGCCGTCCGATTGAAATAGAAAAAGATTGGTCTTTCCCGTTATTACGTCTTCTAAACGTTTTATTTTTCTTTATTAGGTATTTCAATGGTCTGAAAAGTCCTTCTCTAAAACGTTATTCCCTTTTGTTCAAATTTGTCTTTTAGCATTTGAGTAGTAAAGAGGGACCAGAATCTCTTCTCTTCTGTTCTTCTTTTCCTTTTGTGTAAAGGGGGATTTTTCTTACTTAATCAACGGATAAAAAGATCAACTTTTGCAAATGACACATACAATGTAAGCATAAATCAACGTCTCCAAAAGGTAGGTTTCCATGGTGCCATGGTTTGAAAATGCATTTAATTCAATGTATTTTTTTTATGTAATAATCAACCACAATAATAATAGTAAAAGCCATGGCTGACACTCATTGTTCACTGGTGGTCCCACGTCCCAATCAAGCCTTGTCCACTGTCCAATCTTTGGATCCTTCTCTTCTCCCTCTTTAGTTTTACAAAATTATACCTTTACAGCCTCTAATTTCATGTTCTATTCAGTATTCTAGAAATGAAGTAGTTAAACTGCAGAAGGGAAAAATTGATCTAACAAGTTCATAGTTCATCATTGGTTGGTGTCTGAGTGGCTCTATTATCTTATGGATCTCACGAAAGATTACACACCAGTATTGACCCATGTTCCCCAAAAGAAAACAAATAAGAGGGCCAACTGACATCAACAGTTCAATGTCATTTATGGAATCCACGTCATACACCCCCTTTCATTTTGCAATCAAATTCGAATCTGGACCTCTATGATTATGTCACTGTGAAACAGTGGATACACGTTGAGACAATTGTTAAAGACACTTTAAGCACTTGTAATATATGAAGGAACCAACGGTGAATACAACCAAGGAGAACAAACACAGATTGCTCTTTCGAGTTGTGCCGCACTGAATTTGAAACAGAGTAAGAGAACCTACCTCACACCACATATGTTGTTTCAGAGATCCATGCACCACACTCAATAATAGTTTATTGACATGTATACTTAATATTTAATACAATTCAAACTCATAAAATGTACTATTGATTGAGCAACTACATACAAACAAAATGTACATTAATGACTCTACTTAGATAGTCAATATCTATTTGAAGCTATCCATGTACAATTCTGGATCAGCTGACTGATATCGATGAGACAATAACAACGAATATGTGGAATTAAAAAATATGTATACAAAAAACCACTCAAACTCTCACCACCAATCTTAAAAGGGTCAATGACATCAAGATAATTTAACTATTATATCAGTAAGCTTAGAACTGTTATATTGTTGAAATCTGCTACATATATCCCCAAGATAACCGTTCCAAGCCAAATCTATTGCACGACTCCACAACAAATACTAGGTGTTTAACAAGTGAGATCTTATAATAAAAAATATTCCAACATTGATACAAGTGAGATTTTATCAGCAATGCAAGAGAATCATAACATCGTCTAAGTTTGTTAAAATAAAAGGAAACATTTTGAAAAGGTAATTTCTCAGAGCAGGATTAATACAAAAGAAAATTTGTGTAATTTAGAGACATCAACGGTGGTATGAGTTAATAGGATCGATGGAAACAAATTCCACTCTAAGAAAACCAATATTTAATTCTGTAATTCATGTTAATCCTTGCATTTCTTGTAACTTACGTGACATTTATGTAGTTGATTAAGCATGACATGCGTCCAATTTCCCCGCATCGAGCTTTCACTAACTCACGATTTCTATATTTCTTTAGTAGATTATTTACATTTTGCAACTAATCAGAAAATGTGAATGTGATAGCTACACCTATACGACAAACCAATGAAGACATTAGATCATCAGTGGACAAGTATGTATAGCTGGAAAAAGACAAGAAACATTAATATAACTTGTCAAATTCAGGGGAAATGAATAAATTCCATGTGAATCGTGCTCAGAGTGTAAATAATAATACATTCAATCAAAATTTAACTGAATCCAGTTCATTAAACCTAAAATATCGTACACAGCAGAATCTAAAAATGTGGAGCATTAAGGAGTACGAAAAGAAAGTCATGGCTCACAAAAATTCATTCCTCCCGTCATAGTTTTCATTTTGAAATAACATATAAAAAAGTTTAAGTTAGGCACGGGACTTTCGATCAACATTTCTATCTCAAAATTTTAAGATATTAAATTTTGGGTTATTTTTTCTTATGTTACACAATTTTTTCATTTTTATTTAATATGTAATTTAGATTCTTACATTTGAATTTCTCTTTAGTGCGAGTTTCCTTTACATTATTACAAGAAAATTTTCAATTTAATAATCATTCTTAAATTATCAATCATTACACAAATTATCGGTTCATTAAGATTTTCCAAGAAAATTTTCTTATATTTCTCAAGTTATTTTATAAAGTTGAACTAGAGTAAAGTTCAACATAGTCTTCTCTCTTAATTAATCCCGCCAAATCTCCTTTGACAATAATTTCATTGATAATAGATTTGAATAGTCGAAATCTTGTTAATCTATCACGTGACTAATCTCTTATATACTATTTAAATTTTTTTATTATTACCAATGTAAAAAACAGAATAGATGGTAAATAAAAGTATAAATAGATAAAGAAAAAAAATAAAGTAAAAATAAAACATGTAATTTTCCATATAACTGTAATTTGCATCATTTTATTGTTGGTTCTTGTGCTTTCCGTCATAACATAACGAAAAGGTTAAAAGGAAAATGCCAAAACGAAGAGGACTAAAACATTGAATCCATCTTATGACAAGTAAAAAAAAAATATACTTGACTTATACAGACGAATCTTGACGAGTTAAAAACGATCGCTCAAAAAGTGAGAATTTAATTAAAAAACAGTGTCTGGAAATCCATTGAGAATGAAAATTACATTTAGAATGTGGGTAGTTTTTTTAATATCACATTCAAGATGTGGAAAATAACATCCAAAATGTAGATCCAAACATGCTAATTAATAGTGTAATGATAGGGAAGCACCATCACAGAAAACAGCTATTGCAGGCCACATATGGAAAACAGAAATAGAAATGGTGATGTTAGCTTGTTCTACGCGAGCCTTTAAGATATTTGACTTTCAACCCTCCCATATAGATGAGGTTATTTAATAAATAAAACCTCACTCGACTGTGAGCGTGGATCATCAATATGTGCCAGTATAAGATATTGATAATAACTGCCTCGTGTAGCCAGCAAATAAACCCAGACTAAACCTATATTGGATTATTGCAACAACAGATCATCCCCTTTTCGTAACTCCTTGAGCTGCCTCTTAGCATAGACTGTGAAAAAGATTACTGTACCAACAGTTACGCAGAAGCCAAAAACATTGAGGATAATATCCGGAGCAGATAGAGTGTGATGTTCATGTGTAGCATTAGCCAATGTTTTTATCAACGTTCCCCTTCAATGGAAAACAATGAATTCAATACGATATTTCGCATCATTAGTTCTTAATTGCTATTTTATAAACAGTATAAATAAATCAACATTTAAAATAGCTAACAACATGGAATACATGTCAAAATGCAATGATGGACGTATCAGGTAAGGGCAATCATCGTTGATACTTGCTTATAGAAAGATTTTAATGGAGATTGATGAAGACAACTTAGACAAGCAAAGGAACGACAGATCAAGTGCATGTGAGTTTTTTTTAAAATATTATGCAGGGGAGGGCAGGGCATAAGAGGAAATACTCCATAACATTATTAATAACACACTACTACTACTCAAAGAAAATCAGAAAATAGTAAGGACGGAGAGACACACAATAAAAGATGCACTTGTTTCAAAGATGAAAGTGTAACATTTATGAAAGAAAATGTATCGACAAGTATTGATCTGTTAAATGAACAAATTTTAAAGACAACAAACAATGAGTTTGGTCTGAAGTACAAATAAAGAATTTTTATATGTTTAAAGACAGCATGCACAGAAAAAATCAGAGGTGAGAAAAATCTCGGCAGATATGAAATTAAAAAATAAAAACGGAAAGATTATGTCAATTATAGCATCACATATTTGTTGGGCGTACAAAAGCAATTGAGGTTTCAACTTATAAAACCTCACCCAAACTACCAAAACCCCTCCCTACTATTAAGGCCAGTCCAAATGGATTGTTAAGATTAATTAATCCACCCAATCATTTCTAGATATATTTATTTTACTTAACTAATCATGAGCAATAACATATTACAATTTACAACAAAAATACTGTAAAGCAGGTTAGAGAATATCCATAATATCAGGTGTTGATATAAGTCATGGTGTAAGTAAATATCTTTTCCTGAAATAACCATACTATGGTCAATATACTCATACTGGAGGAGCAAAGTAAGCTGAACCAATTACACAACTAAATCCAAAGTTTGATATGGGCACTAAAAAATTATGCAAAAACTGGTCATTTTCTCTATTTTCTGATGCGCATGCCAACTTCTACATCTATTCACAATTATTATATATTCAAGAAGTAAACCAGTATGTAAATGGCCGGGCGTAACAAAAGCAAAGTAGTAAAATAAAGTGTCACACACACACACACACACACACACATATATATATATATATATATAGAGAGAGAGAGAGATGAAGACCCTACGTATAGATTGAAATAAATATTTCTGGCACCATTCCTACCAAGGATCCGATCAAGTAAGGCCAATACTTAACACTGGTTGCCACAGCACAATAGTTGTAGATTATGTATGGGAATGGAGAAACCCTGATTAAAGCAACTGCCCGAAATTGACGAAACCAATTTCCCCCACCGGCAGATCTTAACACAGTAGCTCTCTTTGGATACTTTTCTAACCACTCCTACAAAAAAATCAGGAAATGTCGAGTCCTAATTAATTAGCACATGTGAGGCCAACGCACCAAGATAGATACCAACTTATACTAAAGTCACTATGTACTTGAATTTTACGATGGAAGAGTGAACCGATCAAGAAAGGAAGGGATACTCCGATTGCTGCTGCAGAAACAATCAGCAAGAATCCAAAGCCATAGCCAAATGTCATCCCAGCCACCCACATAGAAGGCGAGGAGGGCAAAATTAGGGTAGGAAATACCGCTATAGAAGCAAACACCATTACAGCTAACACCGGATAACTGAATGTCTTCGTCTCCCAATTTATCATCGGAATAATAGCCTGAAATAAAAATAAGGCATCATGAGATAGGAGTTCCATCATTCAATATTGCCATTTACAAGTACAAGATACTTTTTGTGATGTATTCTCTTTTCAAAATAAGTTTCATTTCATCTCTACAACTTATATTGACATTTAATCATCATACGTATTACCAACGTGTTCTCCGGACAGAATTGAAATTTATCTCTATAACTTAAATTTATCTTTAGAAGAAACTTTCGTTATGTAGATTAACAAGATGGAACTCCAATTCCAAATAGAGATCATTACCGAAAACACTTAAACGCATGTACAGTTTACAAATGATGTGAACGATGAAAGGACATTGCATTGAAAGAAAAATAAAAGAGCATATGCAAATGCAATTCATATGGTATTTGAAAGGACGAATGAGAGGAAACCTTTTCTACGAACAAAGGGCCAATCCATTTGAAAACAATGAGAGCAATGAGGCCGAGACATAGGAAACAGAGCCCAGATTTGACCCAATACCAGAGACGCGATCCTCTCTGGTCGGTGGTAGTGGCCTCCGATTGAGGGTCCCACCTCAATTTGACGTATTCTCCACCGTCTTGATTACGCTGTACATCCCTCGTGTGATCACCGTCAACGTGAATGTCAGCCTCATCAACATAAAAAGTCATTGGAATTCGGAAGGCTCGAATGGATTCGACGGTGTCAACGGTGGCTGCACCGCCACCGGAAATGAAACCGAATGGAGAAACGGCGATTGTGGGGCCCAGTAACGGTTTGGATTCGGCACAACAGAAACTACAACAGCTAACACCCGCCAAGGAATGTAGTGGGACGAGGAAGGAAGATAATAATAGCAATAATAATAATAATTATTATTATTATATTATAATCAAATCCAATGTGGACCCCATCTCTCTGCTTTCTTTCCTTTGTTTACTACAAGAGTCAGAAAATATTTTGTTTTTCAGCGGCTGGCTTATTCTTTTATATTCATTGCTTTTATGTTTTAAAATAAATAAATAAATTTAATAATATAACATGATTCTTTTTACATGTAATTTTTATATTTTCCATATAATAAAAATATTATCTATAATTTATATTTTTTTATGTAAGAAAAATATAATTTATATATATATATATATTATCTTACTTTCTCTATTTTTTTAATCATATATTTTAATTAATTTTTTATTTATTATAAATAAAAAATATTATTTTTTATTGTTTTATTTCTCAATCTTTTTAAAATTATGTCTCATGTTTATTTATCTTAAATAATTAATAATTTATAAATAAATATTAATATTTTAAAATCAATGTATACATTAATTTTTAATTAATTAAAATAGAAAATATAATAAAAATGAGACGCGCTGATGTTTCTGCTGGTCTCTATAATTTAGATAAAGATGCTGACGATGTATGATATACATGTCCCTTGTAGTTTATGTTAATGTGCATACATGTCTCCTACAATATAAGTAAATATATGTTTTTTAATTTAACATTAATACAATTGTATATAAAATTTTGATGTTTTTTTTATAGAAAAACAACATTATTTTCTAAAATAGTAAAATATATATACTCTACCTTATATTTGGCTTCTCTAAATTTTTGAGGAAATAAGTAACATAAATATAAACAAATTGAAAAAAAGTTGTGTAGATGAAGCATGAATAACTGTAAAAAAAATGTGGGAAAATATATAACAATCAATAAACATGTGATATATATATATATATATATATATATATATATATATATATAGGGAGAGAGATTGTTAAACATACCGTTTTTCTCAAAAATCATATAAATAAATACAAAATTGGCAAAAAATATTTAAAATCTTCTACCGTATCATGTATAAAGTTTTCTCTCTATAAAGTTGTAATGTATTTTTAATTTATTTTTAACATTTTATTACCTTTTTTACTAATCATTTTGTCGCCCTTGATTTTTTTGTATTACATCAAATAATATAAAATATATCATTTTTAATAATTTTAAAAGTAAATTATTTTTCTGTACCTATATAAATCTTGAAAATTAAAAAAAAGTATTCATAAGAAACCATTTAAAAAAAATATTAAAATTATTCAATCATAAATTAAATTAATCTAATTGTCTCTTAAAAATCAAAATTTAATTGGAATATTAGAATGTGAGTCAAGTAAGCTGAGGATCAATAAAAAAATACTTTTTAAATGATGATGTTCGTCACTTATGAAATTAGGTGAAACATCAAAATATTTATTCTTCTGATAATAAATAAAACATGAAATTTATATAAATATGTTTTAATTAAAATCTTCTATTGATAAATATGAATATCTTATTAGAGGTTTTAAAAATGGTTTGTAATGATAATTATTATATAAATATTATTCTCTTACTCCTTACATATGTGTATTTTAATTTTGTATGAACTTACTGTAATTTTGAAAATCATTTCAAGAAGATGTTCCACTCATTGTATTAATAAGTCTCGTATTGTCAGATACTGTAAAATTTTTACATGTGATTTCAAATGAAGTAATTTTTAAGATTTTTATAGAAAGGTTATTGTAGTATATATATTATGCTGTTATTTCCAATGGTCTTGTTGTAAATTTTTTTGTTACGATGATTATCTTTAAATATGTAAAATAAATTGTCTAACTTAATATTTGATTGGAATGTGTATTTTAAGATTCTAATATTGTATCTAAAAATTTAGAAAAAACATGGTTATTAAATATTTTATTATCTTTATGTATTATCATATTTATATGAAATAATATATATATATATATATATATATATATATTTAATTAATCATAATCTTGAGATAATTTTATTCGATACAAAAATATTCTCGATTTTATTATGTATTCTCTTAAAAATAAATAAAACCTACTAAATCTAATCCTCGTATAAATTTAATCAATTATAATATCCATAGTATAATACTTTTTTCATATCAACCTTATAATATATATCAATAAACTACGTCAGCAAGAAAAATACTATATATTGGCGGAAATATATGTGTATTTATTATTTATTTTAGTTTATTAAAATTGAATATACATTACTTTTAAAATATAAATATCTATTTATAAAATGATAAATAATTTAAAAAACTGAGAGACAGGGTTTTAAAGTAGTCAGAAAAACTATTTTTATTCAAATGAAAATTGAGAGAATTATATAATTAAAATAAACAGATATATATATATATATATATATATATATTATGTTTTTAATATAAAAAATGGTTATAAATTTATTTATTCATATATATATATATATATATATATATATATATTATGATATGTATTAAAATTATACTCTATTATTTTAATTTATATTTAATATTAAGAAACCAAATTCTTAAACTTGATTTCTTGAAAAATTATAAATATATAAAGACATTTTTAGTTAAATAAATATATTTTAATTTATTAATAAAGTGAACACTTGTTAAAATGATACTACAGTACAATATGAGTCAAATAAAAAATTATTAATGATCAATTCACCTATATTTAAAAAAAAAACTCAATTTTTTTGTTTAACTTGATTAATGAGTATTTTTTCTTAATTAAAAAAAATTATTTATATAAAATTTAATTGTTTTTTAAATAACATTTTATTTTATTTATTTATTTAAATTAATTAAGATAAAATTAAATCATAAAATATTATTGTACAAAATTTTATCGGATAAAATCATTGCGTTGAAGAGATGTAATTGTCTATACATCAAGTAAACATATCCTACTAAAACTTTAGATAACACATTTTTAAAATTTTTGTTTTCTATTAAATGTATGTTATAAACATATGTAATATAATTGTTTATAGTAATTGATTTAAAATCATGATTCAAAATTTTATTTATCTCCAAACTCTTTTATACTCAACATAGTTAAATTGAAGATAATGTTTTTAGTATGTATATCTCGATAAATTTTATAGTCAAAATCTCATTGTTTTAACAAGCTAGTCTTATTATCCAAGATAACTTTCATGTCATGATATTTTGAAAATACAATATATTTATGAATATATCATCTTAAATTATTGGTTATTGAAAACAAATGCGACACCAATCATACATAAGAAGATGACAAAAATAAATGAATTTTATGTTAAAAAAAAATATATATATATATATATATAACAAAATATATTATCAAAATAATTTATTATACATATGTTTTCTAATAAAATAATATTATTTTTATTTTATTGTAAAAATAATTAATATTTTATAAAACAGACCTACCTATAAGTCTACTGGATAACTGACCTAAATAAGTCAAAACCAAAATTGATCGGTTCTATTTAGGTCATAAATATTTTGACCTATCTAACCTTTTTTTTTTTTTTGCATTTTAAATTTTTTCATTGTGTTAAGCCTATTTTAACACTCATTTTTTATACTCATCAAAATTTAGTATATAATATTTTGTTTTAGTAATAAAAAAAATAAAAAATTCATATATTTTGAAACGATAAATATAAGAAAGTTCTTATATATATAAAAAAAATCCTTTTTTTTATACAGAAAAAACTCATATTGTAGCATAATAAAAGTTTTAAAGAAATAACTTCTTTGGCATAATTTTTTTTAAAAATTGTTATTAAAGATATTATAAATTATATAAAATAGGCAAATTTTACGACATAAAATTACAAGCTAATAATGATGAAGATGTTGTTAAGATTAATTTTTAGAATTTTAGTTTATTCGTAATTTTGTCTTTAAAAACGTGGAACCAATACTTATTTATTGTTATTTTTTAACAAATGAATTGGTTTTTGGTAAGGAATAGAAGTTGATGTGTTGTCGTGGTGTTGGATGGTATCCGAGAGCAACAAAATAGTTCCATTTTTAGAATAAAATTCCTAGTTAGTTAGCTGTCTTAAGGTATATTAATTGTGTCAGGTGTGGTATAAAAAAAAATGCATGTTGCACCAGGCTAACATTTTAAACTTCATATTAAGCTTCTGATGTTACTACTCCTGTGATTTAATGAATTTCACCTTGTATTGTAATTTCAAGTTAAACTGTGATGAGTATGAATTACCTGATAATTATAGTGATTTTAGGTTGTGTTTTAAAAATTACGATGGTTGTGTAATATATAGTTTACTCTTCAGTTTTTAAATATATAACATTTTTTTTATATATATGTTGTTTATTAAATATATATATATATTAATTATATTTATTATATTTATTATAAAAAGAATTTGAATAGAAAAATAGTAAGATAATAAAAATATTAAGAATAAGTTGTTAAAAAAATAACAATGAATAAGTTTATAACAAGTTCAACCCATAAATTTAGACAGTTAATTGAGTTGTGGTTTTGAAATTTACTGGACCAAGTTTTATTTAATGTTAGAAAAAAAGAAAGATTTATTTACTTAATGTTAGAAAATCATTCCTATAATTAAGTAAGTCCAACAAAATAATAATTAAGATAATAAAAAATACTGCATATTATAATATTAAACCCAAACAATATTAAAATGGTTCTAAATAATAAACTATGAGAAAGTCAACCTATGTTCACCTGCCGCAGAATGTTTAGTTCTGAAAAAAAATATTAACATAATAAAGTGAGAAAAGTAGAAGTGTCGTCATCACACGTTGAAAAGAACAGGAGAAAGAAGAAAAAGATTGAGGTGCAGTCAACCAGTTTCACAATTCTCAGCAGCGTCACGTTTTCAGGGGTAGAATGATTTCAAGTGCAGTGAAGCAGTTTCACAGCGTTCATTCCCCGCGTCTCTCCCTCTTCCATCTTCCCAAACCCAAACCCCAACCCCCAATTGTACTCCCATCATCATCATCATCATCATCTTCATCATCATCCTCCCCCACCAACAATAACATCTCTTCTCCATTCTCCATTCGCTTCAATTCACAATTCCCATGTACTTTACGCTACTATCTATACTTTTCTTTTTGCAAATACAATATTGCATTTCATAATACTAGTTTCTGTTTCGTGTCTCTGCTGTTGTTCTGTTTTTGTAGACCGGACCTCCAAGATTCCTAACCTAAAATGTGCATCGCTCAACTCTTCGGATTCCCTCCCACCCGATCCCTCCCAGATTCAAACGTCTGCTCCCACCCAGGTATTTTTTATTTTCTGTTACCACCATTCCACAACTGAAATGAAAAATTGGCACCAGCAATTCACTCGTGACTGACATAATTTGAAAATCTTTAAACCGTTTCTGCAAAAGACAAAGCACAGATGCAGCCGTTTTCCAATTACCTCAATTCTAATTGGAGAAAGCACCAACAATAGCTCTGGAATTGCATTATTAACTTTTCCCCATTTTTAAAAATTCTCTCTTGTTCATAGATTTTAACTATTATACTTAATATCAATTTTGAAATATAAACTAACAAATTCATTATTCCTCTAAACTAGGCAATATTTTTTTATTGTTTTAATTGGTTTTTATTTTTTCTATTTGATTAATAAATGGTTAGGATTATTTAGCGGGATTATTGTATTTCTAAAACATGACAAGGACAATTAGTTGATGTTGATGCAGACCTCTTTTGTGTTTGTTCTAATAAAAGAAAGTCAGCAGCAGACAGTTAATTAGGAGATAGACCTCGCTAGAGTCCAGAAACATCGTTTTAACCCCAACCAATTAAGCATGGCCTGATCATAACCTAGAGCAACCAATAATTTATATTCTACAATGGCACAGCTAGACCTCTATTTGTCCACTAAACTACTGTACCGGAGCATGAAATCTTTTAGCCCAGATAGTGGCTGAGGTATAATTGTGACATAACAAGGGTGAATTTATTAGTTGAAAATTGGAATGATGCATGATTGCCATCCTTAATCATTTACATGATATTATATGCTGCAGTTCTTCTTTGTTTCATCTGTTAAAGTATTTTCCCTCCTGGTCTATACATTTACATAATCAGATTTATTTTCTCAAAATGCTAGTGATTGAGTGAAACTCATGTGCAAGCACAATCCACCGAATCATTTGGGCTCCACTTCCTATGTAACGATACTCACATACAATTTACCCAATAATAGTGTTGAAAATAGTATGTTGCTAACATTTCTTATGCTGACATTTTTCTTTGTGCATGCATATGATGGGAAATCTGCTGAAATATCAGTTAGTACATTTTGCAGTTTTTTTCTTTTCTACCTTTTCCATCAAGATTCAGAGCATCTTTCGTGTAATCAAGTTTGACTTGCAGATACTATGCATCTGCACTATGTAGGCTTATCCCATGCATGTAATAAAATAAAAATGGAATAAGACATTTTCATTTTTGGTTATTTTCTTTTTATTTTTTTCTCAGATGGAGCAAAATTCAATTTCTATTCTGGAGATTCTGAAGCAATCAAATTCATATCTGCCTCATGTGCTCATTGCTAGTATACTGCTTGCTCTTACCTACCCACGGTCTTTGACGTGGTTTACCAGCAGGTCTGTACAGGTTCTGATGAATTGATAGATCAAAAGATTGTTTTACTATTAATAGCAATTTTGCAAATTCAAATAGTAAGATGATTTGCAGTGAAGGAATAACAATTAGTTCTGATAGAGAATTTCGTGCTGCATATCTTCGAAGTTTAAACTGAAAATGCAAAAAGTAATATAATGCTGAGAACTAGTGATGTATGAAATCCAGAATGCAACACAGACAAATAACTTCTTTTCAAAATTTACAGCCATAAAGTCATCATCATCATTATTATTCAGTAATTTTCTTGCAGATACTATGCACCTGCACTAGGTTTTTTGATGTTTGCAGTTGGGGTTAATTCAAATGAAAATGACTTTATTGAGGCATTTAAGAGGCCAGCAGAAATTGTCACTGGTTATTTTGGCCAGTTTGTTGTGAAGCCTATTCTTGGATATCTGTTTTGCCTGATTGCAGTAACTGCTTTAGGCCTACCAACAACAGTTGGTGAGAATGCTTTCTCTTAACAATAAAAATTGCCGCTTGGATGAACTTTCTAATTATTGGCTGTAAAACGAATCAGGTGCAGGAATTGTATTGGTGGCTTGTGTTAGTGGTGCCCAGCTTTCAAGTTATGCTACTTTCCTGACGGATCCACCAATGGCACCTTTAAGCATAGTTATGACATCCCTGTCCACTGCTTCTGCAGTTTTTGTCACGCCACTCTTATTACTGTTGCTCATTGGGAAGAAATTGCCTATAGATGTAAAAGGAATGGTGTATAGCATTACACAGATTGTGGTGGTACCTATTGCAGTTGGCCTGCTTCTTAATAGGTAACACCGTGGTTTTAGACATATGTTAACATTAGTGTTTTTTTGAAGGTGCCATCTTCTTACCCATTCATTTTTACAGATTCTTTCCTCGTATTTGTAATGTTATTCGACCATTTTTGCCTCCCCTGTCAGTATTGGTGGCAGCTATCTGTGCTGGAGCACCACTTGCCTTTAATGTTGAGACTATGAAATCCTCCATGGGAATCGCTATCTTGTTTCTTGTTGTTGCTTTTCATTTGTCATCTTTCATAGCTGGTTATTTCCTCAGTGGATTTGTCTTCCGTGATTCTCTTGATGCTAAGGCACTGCAACGAACAATTTCCTATGAGACAGGTACAAAGTTTCTGTATTTTCATACATAAAAAACCTGTAATAGCATGTTTACTTCAATAACTTCATTTATCTAATGGCAGGAATGCAAAGTAGCCTGCTAGCCCTGGCTCTTGCTAATAAATTCTTTGAAGATCCAGTTGTGGCTATACCTCCAGCAATTTCTGTAAGTTTCTCCTCCAGTTAAACTTCAATTATTGTCATATGTCTGGTAATATAAATCCTCTTACATGTCTCTTTCCTGTGACATGTATGTTGGACTCTCTGTACATATGTCTAATTCAATGATATATGATTTTAAATCTCTAGGAAAGAGGAATAGAATGATGTATGATTTGAATGCCTTCACTACATACTTATTGCAACACAGATGATAGCTTTGATGATTTGAAAAAATGCAAATCTTTACATTTTTCAACAAAATATAAGGCATTTGTATCTACTTGTTTATAATGCTTTTAGTTACTATTGGGCAGTTTTGCATTTAGTAGCCATTTTATAGTTATGTATGCGTGTTTTTCTGTATATGGCATGCCAGTTTCTGCATCCAGTGGGGGTTGCAATGTTCAGTGTGATCCAGAGAGTAAGACTTGCTTTGGGGGCTTATGCCTATGTATTGTTTATTGAGAGATGTTACTCTGTGAGGGAACTTGTCCCGTGTTCTTCGTTTACCCTCTGGAATTTGTTGTAACCTTTTCTCTGGTTTAATCCAAAGAAAATACAAATAAAACTACCAAGTTTGTGTGTGTAATTCTCTTGACTAACATATATTATTGCATGACTAGTCAGTCTTCCTAGAGAAGTGGGGTGTAGTGCTGTTAAAAAGTTATTATTCTATTGCAATATAAGTTTCTAAATTTGTTTGCAGACTTCAATTATGTCTTTGATGGGATTTGCTCTTGTTCTGATTTGGACCAGAAGGGGAAAGAGAGAGACAAAATAATACTCTTGAAAGGTATTGGTAAAGGGATATGTACTGAAAATTGGTTCATCTTGTATTGAAGCGAGCATTGGTTCTGCTTACTAGGAAGGACCGATGACAGTCACAGTGATAATATCACATGCTCCATTCATGACTGACCAGTGGCCTGATCGTTCTAGATTTTCGGAATCTCAAATTAAATTAACTTGGTGATCAATAAGATCCAGCTCATCAGTAACTTGTGTGATTTAATATGTATTTCTTTGAACGCACAAACCAAGGTGCTGTGCTGTCTAACATACACCAGATCCTCCTCAAGCGTTAGTTCCCATTACATTATATAAATGTATAATTGATGCCTGAGGTTCGTTACCTGCAACTGAGTGAACTGGTTCGGTGATGGCCACCTTTCAATGAACATAGTTTAAAAGAAAGTTTATCTAAAAACATAGCATCTAGTGTCTGGATACAAAGTATATCTGAAAGGGCATTGAATTTTATTAGTTCTATATAAAATTATTTTAAATTAGAATCGTTTTTTAATGAGTAATTAATTCCTCGACTTGAAATAAAATATGTCAAAATTTATCTATATCATAACTATTGATATTTTAATGCAAATTAAAATGTTCTAATATGAAACTAAAGAGACACTGAATACCTGTGTCGATATTTTTTCTTCTGTATTATCTTTTTCAACTAGAAATAACTAAAATATAGGCCTTAAAAATGTTTGAAATGAAAATTTTAAAGTTATTGAATATTTTTCAAATAAATTTTAATTAGTTATATTATTTTTATTAAATTATTAGACATAATGAAATTAAATTACAAAAAATTAATAATTTATAAAAACAAGTTGGTTTGAAAATAATTAAAAAATTATAAATTTTCCATTCTCCAACAAAAAAAAAATATAAGTATTAAGTTACTCTTTTAAATTCCGATGATCTATTAATTTATTTTCAAATTATAAAATAACATTTTAATTTATAAGTTTGTCTAATAATGATTATTTTCATTTTTAAAATTAGTTTAAAGTACCGATTTACATAATTTTCTGCATAATTAATTTTAAAAAAATATATTTTATTTTATTTTTTAAATGCATTGACCTTTTTCTTCATTAATTATATATTATATTTTTTCTTTTATATATTTATTACTTTTTAAAATATAAATTATAATAACAAATTTTCTTTTAAATTATGATAATTTTATTACTCTTGTAAAAATTGAAAGTTTTACATTACAGAGAATTCAGAACTTTATAATGGGCTCTGATTAATTTTGTTTGTTTTAAATAATTATTTATTTTCACAGATGAAAATGCAGGAAGGAGAAAGGGTGTTGTGTTATCCGAAGCAGGGTGCACTGAAAACAAAGATGCAATATTAGAAGCAGTTACAGTTACTGCTCCAACTCCAACCATGGCGGCGGCAACGTTGTACTTGGCAAAACCATTTTGTGCTTCCAAAATTCCGTTACCGAGAGTGAGCGACAGTAGAATTGGAACCGTCAAGTGTGAAGTCCAAACCAAATTGAAAACGGGTTTCTTGGGACTGGGTCTGTTCCACTTCCTCACCTTCGTCGAACCTGCTTCATGTCTCCAACTGCAGCTGCAACTCCAGGAACCCCCCAATGCCCTCTCTCTGCCCACATGGGCCATTCACGTCTCTAGTGTCGCTGAATGGTAACTTTCCTTTCTCCATCGTTTCAATTGGCTTTAGCGTTATTATCACTCACAATCACACCATGATGCATGCATTTGCGTATTATACTTACTCTATGCTTTAATTTTTATCCAATTCCAAAGGATTATAGCCATGGCTTTGGTGTGGCAATACGGGCACAATTCTAAATACCCAGCTTGGAAGGGCCTTTCTTGGGGTATGGTGAGTGACTTCGGTTTCTTCACTCTCCATTTTTCTTCCCTCATTTCTACTATCATTTATTTCATTGCTATTCCTGCATCTCATACTTTCTGATTGTTGTAGGTACCTCTACTTGGTGGAGCTTTTTGTGCGTGCACATGGCATTTCTTTTATAACGCTGAGTCCCTTGAGGTAAAAGGGCTTTTTCATCTTTAATACAGAACTATTACTATTATTATTACTTAGAACAACCTTAATTGACACAAATTAATATTAAAAGCTCAAATGCTTCCTGTTGTACAAACTGTGCAACATTTGCTTTATCGAAGCTCAGAAATCATCATGATTTATCTATTGTAGATTTTGAGCCAGAATCTCTCTCTCAAAACATTGGACATGTCATACATATATTATAATTTTTAAGAACATCCAGTTTGACATTTTATTTGTGGCAGTAATGATCACTAAACTCCACATGCTGACTAGAGAATTTTTTAATTATATTTTGCAATGCACTTCCATCAAGTCTTGACTTCTAGATCCTACGAGACCAATTCAATAACACTCTTAGCTATGGCTTTGGAGCTTAGCTACGCTTGGATTGATGGAAAGGAATGACATAGAACGAGACTGTGTTCTATTGATGGTGTAAAATTACATGAAATGTTATGGAATGCATTCCATTCCATTCCATCAAATGAACTTTTTTGTCCTACCCTTCCACTTTGAACCTGTCTTTAATTCCTTTCCATCAATCTAAATAATGGAATGATAATGTTGCTCCATCTCATTCCATCTTGTTTTATCTCATTCATTCTACTCACCATTAGATATATAGAAATAGCTTTAGTGCCTGCAGTTGTATGCCTAAGTGTTGTTTTAAGAACATTCCAAAACTCAGCATTGACTTTGCACCAATTCCTTTGGAAGTTTCCTAATTACATAATTTTGCATAATACTGTTGCTATTCAGTATTTAGATTATAAATCAGGTATACCCGATGTCCTTGAAAGTATTTTGTTGTCCAGGAATATTCAAATTAGCGAAACATTAAATATGTTCTCTCTGTGTATGTTGGGGGAAGGGCAAGTTTGACTTTGGACAGCGGGCAGGTAGAGCATCTTGTCTAGCCCAACCATGCTTTGCCAATTTCCTTTGCTACCATAACCACTTATCATTCTGTTTTATGAACTGAAATCTAATTTAATTCATCAGAACAGTGTGAAATTAAACTAGTTTTCCCTTTTTAAAGTTTAGAAGCTGAATAAAGACCTGCATTAAATTGAAACATATAATACAATTTAGAAAGGTCTCTGAAAAGTAAGAAGTGTTGGTGGTGTGGTGGACTTATGGTAGATTTGAAATGTCAAATTTCTCTCCATTTAGTTAGTAAAAGCAGAATACTCAACTGTTAGAAAAAGTAAGAATTAGAGACAATGTAAGAGTATTCTTTGTGCGGTGATGTTACTTCGATCTGAACACTGACTTAAAATTTGGTCTTTCTCTCCAAATAAACTAATCGCATGTACCGATTTACCAGTACCATCGATTTCTAGCAGAACACAGCAAACTATAAATTTTGGGTTGCTGAGTTGTTCTGTGAAATAATTCATATCCTGTTGAGAAAATTGTCTTGTTGGATTGCAATAATAGACCACACATGTTCCTTCCATCTTGTAATCAAATGTGATTGACTGTGAAATATGCTGAAGATGTGAAATGTTGGTGGTTCTCTAATGGGTTGTTGCAGGTATTGGTGGCTCTTCAAGCGGCACTGACTGTTATAGGTAATGCCACAATGTGCATAGCTGCATATAGGATATACAAATCATCCCAAGGCTCCTAGAACTTTTGTATTGTATGTACTTGAGTATCTGGAAGCATGTATATAAGTCTGAATGAAAGTCAAAGGCTTCTTCTGCTGGTTGGTAAATTATCCTTCATGATCTGGATGAATGTGAGAAGAGTCTGCTGACATACTAAAATATTTAGTGACAAAAACAGAATCCATATTTCCTGATTTCTATTTTCTGTGACAGAATAAACATGCTAGGAGATGCTCATTCTTTCTGATTTTTATGCATGTTAGTAGATTCTTTAATTTTATGTAAGTTGCCATTTCATGTTGAAACGAATTTTTATTTACGACAGGCTTATTAATTCCTAAGTCTGAAGAAGTCTCAGTTCAACATTGAATCACTTTTTTTGAACTTTTAAGATCTTTTTTATGGTGAAAAACTTCCATTGTCTAGCATGCTTGTACATCCATCAAGTGTATCTTCTAAGAAATTTATGGGATGGAGGAAGAAACATCCAAGAAGCTAACGTAGGAACATTATATATACTCACGAAATTTCATGAGCTTGAAAAAGAAATCGACATAAAGCTTAGCTCGAGACAGCAATGAGTATTATATTATAGTATGGTTTATTTCATTTCAGTTTGATATTTTTTATTAGTTCAATTCAAAATCTAAATCAAACCAAAGGGTTATAAGATTAAATAAATTAAATAAAAATTTAATTTAATTAATTTTTTATTTATTTTTTACATTAATTCAATTTTGAATATCCATAATCAAAATATTGTGGAATATTAGATATTGACACAAGTGTTAAGTAATTTAAAAAAAAAAATATATATATATATATATATATATATATATATATAATTATTTTTGTATGTTGAGATGTTTTCATAGGTTAATGAGAAATGTTTCCTGTTAAGTCAAAAGTATTTCTAAGAAAACTTTATATTATGGGTCCAATTTAATACTTATAAGAGATATGAGTGAAGTAATTAATTTGTAATAAAAAACTATATATTTTTTCGATTTTTATTTATTTATAATATTAAAATGAATTTTTATTTATGGATTTTAAGTTTGTGATTAAGATATTTCAATAACTACATAATCTTATTCTTTATTGGAATTAATCCCATCAATTGCTAATAAAATCTAAATAAGAAATTGATTAATAATAATATATTATTATATTAAATATGTAACAAATATATATTGTTATTACACATTAATATATAAAGCCATATAAATGGTCTTTTAAGTGTCTAAATCTCTAATTCTAAAAAAAAATTAAAATTGTAATTCAAGAAACACTTATCACATTCTTAACAATCACAATTTAAATAGAGATGAAAATAGTATGTACAGTATCTCAGACACGATGGTGGACACGACATAGTGACGCAAAGACGTTTTGAGCAAAGGGTGACAAACACAGTGATGGGTGACAATTTCGTGGCACACTGGTGGGCGACACAGTGACACAACAAATATGGTTTGGTGGTGGTGACGCAGATGGTGAATAGTGTCGGGTGTGACACAATGGTGGATGATTAACTACAATGGTAGAACAACAAAAATGGTAGCAAATGATAGTGAAAGGTAATACAACAAATTGTTAACAAATGGTGGTCACACGTCGCAATAAGAATTGTGTTGCAACGAGTTACAATGTAGTGGGATGGAGTGGGTGAGGAAAGAATTGAAACATTTTTAAGAATTCCCCTTGAACCGATGTAGCATCTCGCAACAAAAACGGTGCCAAATGGTGGTCACACGTTGCAACAAAATTTTAATATTATCAACGGTCAAAATCCGTCGGTAATATTTTTATTATTTATTAAATATTTTACTTATATAGCTTATTTATTTTATAGAAATTTTTTTCTTATTATTTATTAAATATTTTACTTATTGGTCTACTCCTTCATATACATCGTGCAATGCATGCAGTTATCGACAGACAAAAGAATCATGGTATGCACTTTCGTGTACTAGCTAAAGCATTACGTTTGTCTGGTGGAGATCATGTTCACTCCGGTACCGTAGTAGGTAAACTTGAAGGGGAAAGAGAAATCACTTTAGGTTTTGTTGATTTACTGCGTGATGATTTTATTGAAAAAGATCGAAGTCGCGGTATTTATTTCACTCAGGATTGGGTTTCTCTACCAGGTGTTCTGCCTGTTGCTTCGGGAGGTATTCATGTTTGGCATATGCCTGCTCTGACCGAAATCTTTGGAGATGATTCCGTACTTCAATTTGGTGGAGGAACTTTAGGACACCCTTGGGGAAATGCACCAGGTGCTGTAGCTAATCGAGTAGCTCTTGAAGCATGTGTGCAGGCTCGAAATGAAGGACGTGATCTTGCTCGTGAAGGTAATGAAATTATCCGTGAGGCTAGCAAATGGAGTGCTGAATTAGCTGCTGCTTGCGAAGTATGGAAGGAGATCAAATTTGAATTCCAAGCAATGGATACTTTGGATTAATTGCAATTAAACTCGGCACAATCTTTTCCTCAAAGAAGGATTGAGCCGAATACAAAGATACTTAATTATGAAATAGATTTATATGTTTGGTATTGGAATAGAAGTGTAGTAAGTAGACGAGATTTTACGAAAAAAGTTATTACAAGGAAACCGGCTATTTCCTTTTTCGATGTGAATTTCACATAATAGGGAGGTTGCTCCATTTCTATATTAAATTTTTATTCTAGATATATTCAATTTTTATTTTCATATTTATTTCTATATTTTTAGAATTTTATACGTTTTTTTAGTTTAGAATAGAATTTTCGAATATAAAAAATTTTAGAAAAAAAAGATATATATCTTTTTTTTAAGATTTAAAATGGAAAATAGAATATTTCATTAATATTCTATTTTCCATTTTAAATCTTATTTTGATTTTATTCGATTGTCTTTTTTTTCAATACTAATATTGACAATAGTGTATCAAAGAAATAGAATCCGATCGTGAATAAATTAATCAAATTATTTACATTAAATAGGCGTTATTACTTCATCAAATGGTAGGTTCATTGGGTTTTTTCTGCGATACAAACAAGAAAATCTTTCTTGATTAATAGGTAAGTAAGTGATTTGAAAGGTAAAGACGAATATATATATATAGTATTCTATATATAAGAATAATGTATAACATAGTAGATAAAGGGGTGGTATATCATTTTTTATTATTAATATTACTGACGGTCAAAATCGCGTCGGTAATATTTTTATTATTTATTAAATATTTTACTTATATAGCTTATTTATTTTATAGAAATTTTTTTCTTATTTATTATTAATTATTTTCCCTTATTACATTTTTATAGCCTTCAATTATTTGTTAGAGATGATACTCCTACCACTAAGTTACTGAGAATTTTTTGATAATAATTTACAAATAAAATATATTTATATATTTATATATTTATATATTTATATATAATTAAATATTTATTTTTTAAAAATTATTTAATTTAAGAAATTATTATAAATTAATCTAATTATGATTAAATTAAATTATTAAATAAAAAATATTTAATTTTTTAATTAGGTGAATATTTACTAATTGTTAATTTATCGACGAATATATCCGTCGAGTAATTAATTGTTAATTTATCGACTGATTTACCGAACGGATATATATGTTGGTAAATTTATCCGTAAATTACCGATGGATTTATCGATGGATATATTCGTCGGTAACTAATTATTATTTTACCGACGGATATATCCGTCGATAAAATCAAATTCCACAAATATTTTATATCTATTGGTAATTTCCGTCGGTAATAATTATTTTCTAACGGTTACAAATCCATCGGTAAATATCCGTCGGTAATATGCGATTTTCTTGTAGTGGAAATAATTGAAACATTTTTAAGAATAGATACTACATCAATTCCCTCTTGAACCGATGTAAGCATCTCACAACAAAAATGGTGATAAATGGTAGCAAAAGGTAGTACAACAAAAATTGTTAGACAAATTATGATCGCAAATATAATGGGGATGGAGTGAGTGAGGAAAAGATTAAAACATTTTTAAGAATAGATACTACATGAGTTACTCCTTGAACCAATGTAGCATCTCCTCTCATATTTTCAAAAATGTCACCACACCTTATATTACATTGATGTATTAAATACTCTTTCATCACTAGTGATTGTGAATATATAAATCTTCTTCAACATTATAATTATATGAACAAGATGTATTAAATATATTAAGAGTATATAATTGAAACATGATTGAGATATTAAGTATACAATTATCCAAAAAAAAAAAAAAGACAAGAGAGAAAGAAAATATTGTGAAATAAAAATTTTAAAATTTATGAGATACCTAATTTAACCATATATACTCACATTGAAAAATATTTTTCATCACACCCCTACTGATGGAATGGAGTGATCAAATATTATTCTAAAATGTGACTTTAATACTATATTACAAATAATAAAATACTTAATTCAATTTTATAAAATTATCTTAATAAATAAAAATTATATTCACATATATTATATATTATCATAGATTACTAGATTTATGAAAAAATTTTATAAATGAACTTCAATATAATATAATATAATAGTGAAATAGAAGCACATGCATAAATGATTTGAAGTTGTGGTCCATTCCATAATTAGCGATGTGATTCTTCACGTGCCCTACTTCTTTTGGAGTTAACAAAACCTGTTCCATCCATCTCTACGGAAACTCATTACCTTCCACATCGTTGATGAGAGACTTCACGGCTTCTGTCATAACTCCAATCTAAAGTTCCTCTCATTGCTCGCCCTTTTTTGGAACAAAGCAAATTCTTCATGTTGCCACCGATTCTGAACTCTCATTCATAACAGCATGCTCCTCATTAATTGCCCATGATGCCTATGCCTATGCCTTCTCAACATTTGATTACTTTCACGAACATGCTAAACGTTGTGATTGCTCGCGTAAATCTAACAATGCTCCAAATGGAACCTGAAGGATTTAATGATATATGGTAGGAAAAGTGTTCAAAGGTGTGGGGTTTCACCACCCACTTACCAAATTTCTCAATTCTCCATCCACTAGCTACATTTTCAAACTTCGTTTGGGGTGTGGTTTTGGAGAGGAAAAAAGAAAGAAAGAATAAAATAAATAAAAATTAGTGTGAGCAGAGAATTTTCCTTGCATTTTCTCCACCTTCTTACAAAGCAACATACTAACAAGTATAAAAGAGAAAAGTCTGCATAAAGGAAAATAACAGAAAAAACAAAAGTGAAAAGTGGGAAAAATGAGAGAAAATTTGAAAAAAGAAAAAACAGAACGTGATAAACGGAGGAAGAAAAATGAGATAAACATCAGGAAAATGTGGAAGCGGACAAAGAATATAATGAAGAGGATGATGATGAAGTGGTGGAGTGTTGCAATTATGAGTGGCTGTCACGTGAGTTGGCTTAGACATGGTTGGAGTTTGAGAGTGGTATTGAAGTTTGGTTCGTGTGAAATTACGAGGGACAAAGATGGGAAAATATAACATGTACATTCAGTTCGGCCATGATTAAGTTGGGACCACACCACTCAGTTCACTTTGGACGTTGAACTTTTGAAACTCTTTTTCGATGAGTCTTCATCGTGGAAGTTGAATCCAAGGTGGATGAACCTCACCCTTTGTCATAAGGCCTGCACTAAGAAAAAGATAAAGCACAAGCTCCACTTTATGCCTTTAGCTTAGACATATCCCACTGCCGAAACTATCTAGGGCCATCTATTCGTGTGTTACGTCCTTCTTGGTAAACTCATTATTGAGACAGGTCGAAAGATTCTACATATAAGATCTTTATTTATATTATAATAATAAACAACACATTAGTGAGTATCCTAATGAGACAACACCTGTAATATTTGAATCGATTTGGAGGGCAAAAACCAATAAAAAGACAAATAGCCAGAGGACCTTGAAAGGGATTTATATCGTTTGTTAAACCCTGATAAACACTAACACTCGTCATTTTTCTTCTTTTATATATGATGTTATATAATCCTCACCTACCAAAGTTTTTTTCTTCTTTTCCCTTTTAAGTTTTTTAGCCAAGACAAGTATGATTCAACATACAAGCAACCGATAAGATTCTGGTTATCATGTCCATTACATCTGGGGCCATCATATTCAATGAGGTTACTCAACATGAAATCCAATATTGTTTAAGCCAGCAACAATGAAACTCATTATTACAAATGTATTGCTTCAACCATAATAATTATGCAGGTTGATGATAGCTGACAAGTGCTAACAACGGACAATAATTTAAGGAAACTGGTCCATTATTAACACTCACATACTATAAATCATATGTATATGATGCAACCTCCGACAAACTGCCAAAATCTTTTCGTATTCTTTCTGTTTTGGTAACAGCAGATTGATCTGCTCCACGGGGAATGCTGGTCCATACATGGTAAAAATGGTTGAGAAATCTCCAGTCGACAGGAGATACCATAATATTATAGTAGTGATAATATTATAGTACGTATAATTAAGTTCAATTCAATTTTCACCTTACCGAATGAATTTTCGTACATCGTCAATTCTGAGATGTTATCAAAACCAATTAGAATAATGTTAAAACATTAATTTGTTTGATGAAAAAAGTTCTCACAATTTGAGAAGATGTAATAAAAAATTCTAATAGATATGAAAGAATGTGAATTAAATATGTCATAATTTGTAAGATAATGTCATATTTGTATAAACTAAAAAATCATTAAGTTAACCTACATGGATACACCTTGTTATATAAATACACCTTATATTAGGATTTTCTGATACACCCCATGTCCTTAATAATTAATTTAAAGGTCATAACAAATATTAAAGACATAAATAATCTAATAATGAATAATATAAATTCTAAAAATCCTAACAAAAAAATTTTAAACAAGTAATTTTAACATATAATAATCTAAAATTACTTAAAACTTAATTTCCAAAGTCCAATAGTTTGAGAATATATTAGACATACGAGTTTTTATTGTGTTTTTTGGAAGTTTATATTATTGGTGTTAAAGTTGCTTAACAAATAAAAAAAAAAAAAAGTCAAAGTGAAAGCTTTTGTATGAATGGGAGACTAAAATGAAACATTACAAATAAATTAAGAACTCAAGTTGAATTTTACCGTTAAAGTGAAAAATAATGGAATTAATAAATTTAGGATTACAAAGAGAGATATACTAAAAAAGATTTAAAGACCCAAATTGAAATTTTGCATTGAAAAGGCTATTGTAATTAATATCAATTACTACATGAATTAACATTTAAAAAATGTTATATCCTATAAAACAAACTCCATTTAAGCTAGTTAAATAAGTTAAAAAATAATTAAATAACTAGTTTTTATCGGACATTTAGAAAGTTAAATTAGCTTTTTTATTAATTCCAACTAAATAATAGTGTCTTATATAGTTTTGGGCTTACTTGTAATTTTGTCATATGTTTAACTTTTATCAAATGCATTAAATAAAAGCTTCTAATTAAGTTTTCCACTTTCAAAGAAAACTAGCCGTTTTACCATTTATTACTTTTATCAAGCACAATTAATCAATGAAATTGCCATATAAGTTTTAAACTATTAACTAGTTTTCAGTTATTCAGAATCATGAAGATATAACTTTAAATTTGTTTATTAAATACTTATTATACATCTTGCTGCAAAGTTTTCAACAAGAACATTTAATAAATGAAATAATAAATTTGAAAAAAAAAATCATGAAAAACTGCAGAAGCTGGACCAATTGATCAGAAGGGGAAAAAGTGAGAAAGTGTAGGACATAAAGTTGCATATTATATATTTTCAAAGCTTAATGGAGGTTGATGCTTCTTCCCTCCATAGTTTATTGAATTTGAATCTACATATACACAGATTTAAAGGGATTCATCTTTATTCACTTGTTGCCCCTTTTTGTGACAACTGCATAGTCTTCAGTCCCTCTTTGCCTCTCCATGGCATTTTTTAGGAATTTCTCAAATCCTTGCATTTGTTCCTCAATACAACCCTTGTTTGGATGCTACTTCAAAAATAATGTCAGAAATTTAATTACAATTAATTTTAATTTTTTAAGATCTTTTTTAAAATTTTTATTATATTTCCCAAACTAATTTTTAATTTATTAAAAAAAAGTATTATCTTAATCTTTTGTATTATTAACAATAACATGAAATTCAATGCACCTTAACAAAAAAAATAATAAAATATACGTTTTTACAAAACTAGGATAACAAATGTACTGTTTCACCAAAATCTACACTATTTATTATATTTTTCCTTTTCTTAATTATAGTGTAATGATTAATTAACCATTGAAACTATTTGTTGTACATATAATATTAATGGCAGAGGAATTTATTTGATTATATGGCAACCAATTTTATCAAATTATATATATATATATATATATATATATATATATATAAATTTTCATAAATATAGATTTATTGTAATAAAATATTCAAAACGTTAATCCCAATAATCAAATGACAGCAGTTATAAGATATATCAATATTTTTCAAATAAAATCTAATATTATAAATATTAATTACTAATTTCACATGTTACACATGAATATTTATAATTTTTAATATGTGTTGATTATAATTTTTTTAAGAAAATAAGATATTAAATTTAAAAAAATATAAAAATATCTAATTCTATCCTATAAAATCAAGTTTCTAAATTGTTGAGAGATTTTTTATATATTATTATAATTTATTAAATAAAAAAAGAGTGTTATTTTTTTAAAATAATATAAAAAATTATCTAATAATTTATAAGTTTATTGTTACGGATTAAAAATTAAATATTATAAATATAAATTAAAAACGATAATAATACTACGATGAAAGTTGATACAATCATTTGAATTCATACTTTTAAATAAATAAAATCCATTGAAAGATGATAATAAATGTCCTAAAACTAAATAAAAAAATATATTAAAAAGTGATAAAAATGCTTTTCTTTTTTGTTTATTCGAACCTCAAACTATCAATCTTATGGATAATATTTTAAATTAAACTTGGCAAAAGTCAGTAAATAATCTTTATTTCATAAATAATTTATAATAAAATTTTATAGTAAATACTAGGAAAACCTTCAAAAATAAATTATACTAAAATATTTTATTTTAAAATGAGAATAATAATAGTAATTGTATGTACATGAAATTTGTAAAATAAAATGGTACATTTATGTATAAAATTAAAGAGTATTATTATTTTCACTATAATAATAATAATAAAAAAAATATTTTAAAGAAGAAAAAATTAACTTATAAATAAAATATTCTTCATTTTATTGTTATTTTTTATAATATAATAATAAAAAGATTAACTCATTCTTATATTTAAAGAAAATGAATGAAAAACAAAATTAGTAGAAGTGAATTCATTTTCTTTATAGATAATATTATTGTTTAATTTAAAAATATAAATTATTTTTAATATATATATATATATATATATATATATATATATAAATTTAAATTGGAAAAATTCAGAAGACAAAGGCCCCTAACTCCATGTGGGTATGGCTCTGCATATACTGTAATTTGACAAAACCTAACCATGGAGCTAGACCATGTGATAATTTGTGTATTTTTTTAACAATACAGTAGAGAGATTTAAGATAGAGGTAGAAAGAATGTAAATTTTTTTAGAATAAACATGTGCAGATAACATTGTTTGAAGGACTAATGGGGTACCTGAATTGAACATACATTGTTTATTATGTTTGACTCAGTTTAACCCCTCAAGCATTATTCAATTTCAGGAAACATGAATGTTCTTCTAGGTTGGACGTACATGCTGCGTGTAGCTGTCGAGACACTTCTGTGAGTCTGAGCAAGTATTGCGAAATGGACAAAATCTCGAATAGGAAACGGCACAAAAGACAGTTTAATTGAAACAAACCAATTCTTCCAAAAAAATAAAAAATAAAAAAACACCCAAACCTTCCATGCATGTTACATTTGACCTTTATGTTTTTATAACACACTTAAATACACCTAATTCTGTTAATAATGATTTTTTTAATGAACATCAATATTGTTGTTATATAACACAATAGAGATATAAAAAATAGCAGTAATCCTTGAAGAGAAAGTGAATAGAGCGGTTGGGAGAGTTGAAAGAAATTGAATGCTGCCGGCATACGATTCATTGTGGGTGTGAGGTGACACCTCCTTTTCTATCGAAAGAAAAGTAAATTAAATTTGATTCCGATTCTGTCCATGTTTAAAGAGCTTTAATTTGAAATAAGGAAGGGTGAATTGGTACTTTAAGCAAATCTTCTCAAGAGTTAGAAATGGTTGGGAGATAAAAAATGGGACCCGCGAGAAGGAGCATGAGGCCCAGTCTCATGTTGCCATTGCTAATTTTTATGCCCCTGCGACTACGTATGAGCTAATGGTAAGTCGAGCAGAATTTATTATGCGAGTCACATCTCGTGGATTGAACAAGTGCAGTGCAATGCTACAAAGAGCACAACAATAAGCTTATTGTGGTTTCTTTAATGAGCAAGGCATACCAAACCCTCTCATCTTGAAAATTTTTCCAACAGCAATGGCCACCTCTCAGGGTGGTAGCAGTTACAGGAATGGGACGCACACTCACAGAACCTCTCTCAAACCTCAGGTCAAGTCAAAGCCTGGGCAACGCCGTAATAGCACCGGCAAGGACCACGCTGCTGGTGAGTTCTCTCTCACTCTGAGATCTTTGTTTTGTATTTTTCCCCTTTTCTGTTATTTCTGTGCATATTCTATATGTGAAAGATAAATGTCAGTTATGCTTTAATTTTGTGATTGTATGATATGTTCCGATTCCTAGTTAGGGATGAATGATTTTCTGCTTCTGGAGGAAAAATCTTTCAGGATCCGTTAATTTGATAAGAGAAATGCATAAACAGTGTTCGTTGAAGATTAATTGGAAGTAATGTTGTTTTTGTTGTTCTCACTTTGGTTTGTTCCTGACATCAAATTATGCTTGGGTGAAGTTCCTGGAAGAGTTAGAGTGGCTGTTAGATTGCGGCCACGGAACGCAGAGGAATCTGTGGCGGATGCTGACTTTGCTGATTGTGTGGAACTGCAGCCGGAGGTATGGTAAATGTATTCCGTGACTTCGTTGAAATCTTGTTGTTTGTTTGAGAACTATCTTCTTGTTGATGTCCGTGTCTTTGTCCGGTTGTTGGATTGTGAATCGTACTTGTTTGTCTGGTTTATTTGCAGCTCAAGAGGTTGAAACTTCGGAAAAACAACTGGGATGCTGATACCTATGAATTTGATGAGGTGCTAACCGAATTTTCATCACAAAAACGTGTTTATGAAGTTGTGGCCAGGCCTGTTGTGGAGGTGGGTATTCATCCAACAGCCGTTTTGCGTTCAAACTCTGTAGTCATTTGATAATCAAGTCCATTGATGTCTAAGGGTGCAAGAACAAGTCGTTTCAGTGTCTATGCTAGACATTTAATTGCTTTTGTTTTATGTCAAATTGATCAGAATATGTATGTTTTCGTGTTCAGCAATTAAAAGCTAGTTCGAGTGAAGTGATGTGGGTTAACTGTGTGCCTTCTTGCTTGGGATTGTCCTATTTTCTCAAGCTCGTCATTATTGATTTCCTCAACAGTTAATCTTTACATTTACTTTGGTGCATGTATCTTGTCACAGAGAAACGTGGAAGAGTGTTCATTTATCAAAACAAATATGAATTTGAGCAACTATGCTCTTACTGTGGAACTTCCTTGTATTAAATCCCTTACTTTGACCTTCTGCAGAGTGTACTGGATGGCTACAATGGGACAATTATGGCGTATGGGCAAACTGGTACTGGTAAAACTTATACTCTTGGACGACTTGGAGAGGAAGACAATGCTGCACGTGGAATAATGGTGCGGGCCATGGAGGATATTCTTGCAGATGTTTCTTTGGAAACTGATTCAGTCTCAGTCTCTTATTTTCAGGTGCTTTGCAGTGAAAAAATATTTGGTATATCTTTCTAACTTAGTGTCAATGTCTGTGATGTATGATGATGTTTCTTAATTTCATTGTGCAGCTTTATATGGAGACCATACAAGATCTGCTTGACCCTGCTAATGATAACATAACCATCGTAGAAGATCCCAAAACTGGTGATGTTTCATTACCTGGTGCAAGCCTAGTGGACATTAGGGACCAGCGGAGTTTTGTAGAACTATTAAGATTAGGAGAGGCTCACCGATTTGCTGCAAATACAAAATTGAATACAGAATCGTCTAGAAGTCATGCTATTCTGATGGTAAATCAATTTGCATATCTTGTTTATGGGACTCTTGTTATTGTCTTCGGAGTTATTGTTCACTTTCCAATATTCGTATTTTAATTTTATTGGAGGATTGAATATAACTATAATCCTACAGGTTCATGTAAGGAGATTCGTGAAAGGGAGAGATCCTTCTCTTTCAAGTGAAAATGGCAATCATCCACACATGGTTAAATCAATAAAGCCACCTGTTGTTAGGAAAGGCAAGTTGGTTGTTGTAGATCTTGCTGGTTCAGAGCGAATTGACAAGTCAGGTTTGTACATTTAAAAAAGTGGATTTTGTGATCTCTCCGTACATTATCAGAGGCTTTACTTTCAGGGAAGGGAACAATCCGTATTTGTCTCCCTTCTTTTTCCTTTACATTCTATACATCTTGATATAAAAATGCTTTGAAACAACATGAATTCTTTCTAATGTCTGATTGATGTAATTCAAGCTTCCATACTCAAGTTAAATATTGATTATCCAAGATGAAAAGATGTGCAGTTCTATTTCTGCTTGGAATTTGGAGAGAAAATATGCAAATTTGTCAAAATAAAACAATCGCTTAAGTAAAACCATCAGATGTCAAAGACCTATTACTCAGGCAATCGGGATTGTTATTCTTGGTACAACAACTATTCTGCTTAATGAGATCACTTTATTTTTATTTTTTTACTTAATAGGAAGTGAAGGACATACATTAGAGGAAGCCAAATCTATCAACCTGTCCTTGAGTGCACTGGGGAAGTGTATTAATGCACTTGCAGAGAATAGTGCACATGTGCCATTTCGTGACTCAAAGCTTACTCGATTATTACGTGATTCATTTGGAGGTAAGATTCACCTAGTATAAGAATTCATATTTTCTCTTCGTTTTTTTGTTTTTTTTCCTTTTATTACTATTATTACTATAGAGCAGCAGATTCTAAATTATGGCATGCTATATAGGAGATGGTGGCTGGGAAAACACACTGGTATCCTGGATCAGTCACATGTTTCTGCATGTGGGAATGAAAAGGAGGCCTAATAATTAAAGAATTATTCCATATACATTCAATTTGTATATAGATAACATGTGGTGAAGCTTGGGCACTTGGGTGTTGTAGTAATTTAATCTAACAAATAAGAATAAATTACTGACCCACTGTTAATGCTTGTATATACTTTCTAGATAAATCTTTGAAATGGGTTTGTGCTAAATGTCTCAGAAGTCACCCCTTTTGAAGTCCCATGGATATTGGATGGAAATCTTGGGTTAAAGAAGCTCATAAGTAAATTGTTCCATTCTAATATTATGAGACACATATTTTGTTAAAGTTGTCAATCATCTTTAAATTTTATGAAACACGTCTGTGCTGTGTATTTTTCTGAGATCTAAAAGTTTTAACAGGTACAGCAAGAACTTCACTAGTCATTACTATTGGTCCATCACCACGACATAGGGGAGAGACTGCCAGTACTATAATGTTTGGACAGAGGGTGGGTTCCAATTTCAGTAGTCTACTTTCTTCTTTCTTTCCCTACTTTTAAGATTATTCTAGCTGCTCAAATGCCCTATGCTCTTTTTGTGGGTTGTCTTGACCTTTTCTGTGAAAAAAATTTAAGCCCTCTAAGCAAATTTATATTTGAGGATATTTGTAGAATAAGAGATAGTTGGCTGCCTTGTAACCATTATGGAAACGCTGATCATTTGTGCCTCTTGTAGGCTATGAAGGTGGAAAACATGGTAAAATTGAAGGAGGAATTTGATTACAAAAGCTTATCTAGGAGGTTAGATATAGAATTAGACAAACTCATTGTGGAACATGAAAGACAGCAGAAGGCATTTGAAGATGAGGTTGAAAGGTTAGCCACTGAAGCACAACAACGAATAGCTGATGCTGAACGAAACTATGTAGATTCATTGGAGGTTGGTTCAATATCATCTTTATATATCTCTTTTATTAGTATTGCAATTTGTATGAAAGAGTTTCGTAAACATGGTTTAACGAATTAAATAGTTTCTGGCACAGTGAAGCTATAGCATCAGATGCAACCAGTCTTTTGCCCATATTGGCACAATATGTGATTGATTTGATGTTGATGATTTCCTGGTGAAAATGTACTGACACTTATTTTCCTTTCTCAGAAGGAAAGATCAAAATATCAGAAGGACTATATGGAGTCAATTAAGAAGCTTGAAGAGCAGTTAGTGATGAATCAACGGAAGAACGAGGAGCCTCATATGAAATCTAGTGGAGAGGTAGTCGTTTTTACTATACTATATTTGTCTTAAACTTATTAAAATAGATAAATTACTAAGAACTGCAGAGTAGAGGGCAATTTCTCTTGAAAACATAAAAGGAGGACAAATATGACTTGGGGGAAAATTATCATGTAAAGAAATATCTGGATAAGAACTTCTGCAGCCAAACTTGTTAGTTTAATGATTTTTCCCTGTGACTTTATGATATGAATTTTTCACTTGAGTGATACGTGGGGCATTTTTCCTCATAGATTTTAGGACTTAAAATATTCCAATGAAGCCAAAATAAATTGCAATTTGTGAATTTGAAAAAACTGATATTATCTCCTTATGAAATAGTAAAGTTTGCCCCACATAGTTATTGCGGATTTTCTTCAATTGACCATTGGGGCTCAGTGGATTTATCTTTTCCTAGACTCCCAGAGTCTCTGTTGAGGAACTGGCTGATTTGAAAAAAATGCTTCAGAAAGAGGCTCATCTAAGAAAAGCTGCTGAAGGGGAAGTAAACAATCTAAAGAGTCAGGTGGTGGAACTAAAAAAGTCAGAGGTTTGTTTTTCTGCCTCCAATAGTTATATTTTTTCATTTGCATGTCTTCTTTTCCCCTTGTTAGTATCTAGATTAATTTTCACTATTTATTGTAATAGGCATCAGGAAAGTCGGAGATCTTAAACCTTCACAACATTTTGGAAGATAAGGAACATCAAATAAAGAAACTTGAAGGAGAAATAGCAATTTTACAGAGTCATTTGTTGCAGTTAAGACTTGAAGTAGATGAGGTAAGCTATATGAAAAGTGGAAAAATGCTTCAGTTATTTGGCTTTTATCTAGCAGCAGGTGTTTCATTAAATGATGACCACTTTTACATTGTATCTTGCTTTCCTCTTGCTACTAAAGACAACTACTATGGTCTAAAAAATATGCCAATTTCATTTGGTTAGCACAAAGATAAATTATTAAACTACGGTACTATTTAATATCTTTAATTCCGCTTGGGCTAGATATGACTATGTCAAACAAGTCTTTATCTCCCTCTTTTATCTCAGTTTTTGCTTGGAAACGATATTTTTGCCAATGGTAGGCAATGCCATCTTTTTGTAGGCTGAAACCTGAAAGCTAAACTTGCTGGTTGCCTCATATGTCAGAAGTCATGATTTATGTCCATTGTCATCTGTGGGGAAGTCTATTCATTGGTTTCTGGCCAATTAAAGAAGCCATGAATAAACCGTTTGTGTCTTTATGGTAGCTAGCTGCTGGAAACATTTACATTGATATTGCAGAAGTTGATACTGCAGAATGTGAACGTAACTAGGTGAAAAACATTAGGTGTAACTACAAGTAAACCAACCTTGTTGTTCTTTCCTATTTTTTTATCATTATGTACACTGCTCATGAATCTTCATGTATGATCAAGTGCTGGAATCATATTTGGTTGATCTAATTTGCATTTAACCTACAGACAAAACGGCACTCTGACAGAGGTGGGTTTGAAAAAGAAACCGGTGGTCTTAATTCTCTCACTTCTCAAGTTAAGCAACAGCAGCAGCAGCAAACTTCAGCAAATGGAGAGAAGCCCTCAATAGCCAAACTGTTTGAGCAAGGTAGTAATTAATTAGATATATGGCTTGTGTTGAAACTTGACATATATGTTGTTAGTAGATTGTTGTGTCGATTTGGATTTATTCTTCCTGATCAAATAAATATTTTTACAGTGGGATTGCAGAAAATTTTGTCTTTGCTTGAAGCTGAAGATGCTGATGTGCGAATTCATGCTGTGAAAGTTGTAGCAAATCTAGCTGCTGAAGGTTGTTTTACCTGTTTTTTTTTTTTTTTTCTTCATCATTTAAACGAATGAAAAAAGAAGGGAAAAAGTAATTAGTATGACCTGTAAATTATTTGATTTGGAGTCAATGAGTTTGTGGAGAAAGTCAAAATTTAATATTTTGAAATATTTGTTAAAAACAAATATCACCACAAAATCATATTAAATCTTCTTTAGCTTATTCCTCCTCTTATACATATCATCAATTTTGCTTGGTTTATTAATGCACTGATTCAAATAAGGAAAGAAGCTCTTTCTCAACTATGTTAAATTTATAGAATTTAGTGTTATAAGGATCTATATAGATAAACTTATTAGTATCAGTTGTAGAAGAAGACTGATATATGAAAAAAAACTTGTACAAAAATTAAAATTTTTGAAGAAGCTAATATATGAAAACCTCTACAAATAATTTATGCATAAGCTAATTTTAACTTGTTGAAAAATTTGTTTTTTTTTTTTTTCATTTTTTCTTGTTATTTTCTTTTTATGGAAGTGTTTGTGAAAACAAACCATAAGAACCCACTGGCCCTAACATCTATCCGACTTGATATTACAGAAACAAATCAAGGGAAGATTGTGGAAGCAGGAGGGCTCACATCCTTACTTAACCTGCTTAAGAGCTCACAAGATGAGACCATTCATAGGGTTGCTGCTGGTGCAATTGCAAATTTGGCAATGAATGGTAAACTTGAGTTTCCTTTTCTTTTCAAATAGTATTTTTATGAAATAAATTTATTTATTGCTTAGTTATCTTTTTCCTGGTCTCTGCACCTTTATTCTGTCTCAACAGAAGCCAACCAAGAACTCATTATGGCCCAAGGGGGCATTAGTTTGCTGTCAATGACTGCAGCTAATGCTGAAGATCCTCAAACCCTTCGAATGGTTGCTGGAGCTATTGCTAATCTTTGTGGCAATGGTAAACTGCTGATTATTCTATTTTAAATTGTTTCTTATTGTCTGTGATTGCATTCGATCTCACATATTTATGAAAGATCCTTCTAGTCTGGTGAGGTTTACAGACAACAAATTTGTTTAGGCACCTGCTTTACTCCATATTTCCATCTTTTCTATTTTGGATGAGTACAACAAGATATAGAATGAACCATTTGCTTATGCTATCTAATTATACAACCATACTTCATTGATGGTAACTTTAAGTAAAACTTTTCTCTTGTTAGTTGATAATCCTGTTTTTGAAAGGGTACGAATGTATGAAGCCATCTGTTGAAAACAAATATATTTTAATAATTAGAATCACTGTCAAACTAAATCTTTGAAAGTTAAGCTGCATGAGTAAGGTGTTTGGTGTCATTTTATTGAGATACTGATCATGATGTTAAGTTCATCTGTTTTTTAAAGTCAAGTTGTTTGTCTTCCATAATATTTTTGTCCATGTTATGCCTGGTGGTGAAAGCTCTGAAAATTTTCATGTTGATGAGTAAAGAAAAAATAAGAAATATATGTTGGGCATATTTTGAAAATGTCATACAGTTGCTCTATGTGAGGTTTCATGAAGCCGTTCAGGAGTTGCTAAAGTTAATTGATCTGTGGAGAATAGGAGTAATTCTGGTCCTAGGCATATCATGTATCAATTTGATTCTCTTGAAACACATAACCTGCTTTGACTTAAATTTTGGTGTCCCTGTACCTAGATAAACTACAAACAAAACTAAGGAGCGAAGGTGGTATCAAGGCCCTGCTGGGAATGGTCAGATGCAGACATCCCGATGTACATGCACAAGTTGCTCGTGGAATAGCAAATTTTGCGAAGTGCGAGTCAAGAGCATCTAGTCAAGGTAACCTATGTAAGCAGCTTGCCAAGTCTCATAACATCAATATGTTCATTGAAACAAGTCTTTATCATTTAACCGCAATGAAGCTGTTAAGGGTTTAGATATTTTCCCACATTAGGTGTTCTGTTACAAGCTAGAAATATGAAAATATCTCAGATGATCAATTTTTCACTAGGCTGATTACAATATATACATTTTAGGGAGTTATTCTAACTTAAGAATTACAGACCACAAATCTGCTATTACAAGAGAAGGAAATTTGTCCAAAATTATAAAATTAAGGAAATTGTTAAACTGAACAAGAAAATAAAACAGAGTTTTTACTTTCTGCAAAAGGAAAAGAAAAACGAAAGTTGGACAGTATCTATTCCACAGAGAACATTACAACCTTTTTTTCAACCTTTGCAGACAAAAACAACTGTAAAGCCTGATAACCACCCACTAAAATCACGGTCCTAAAAATATGCCAGATCACAAACTGAACAGCAAATGAAAAATAACTAAAAGTAGATATTATAAACATTTGACTGAGTAATTTGACTCCACCAACAAAGGTTGGTCTAATTGGTATTATCAAGTTCGTATCTAATAAGGATGTGAATTTAAATCTCACTGTGTGAAAATTTGTTGTCAAATAATCTGTAAGTTCCTTTATAAGAGTTTTGAATCCAGTTCACCTAAATTTAATGAAAAACACAACAAATTGACTCCACATCATGTCAGAATTAAATTCAAATAAATCCCCTAACTGAATCTATATACATAAAAAGTGGAAAGAGAGTAAACAATGCACATGCTGCAACTAAAATGATACACATACCTCCACTTTTTTTTGTCCATTACTACCGCATTTTTCACTGTTGCACCTAGGCATACTTTGGCTTTGCAAAATCATGCTCCATCGAGTGTCTATTACTGCCTGAGTTAATGTTTTGCCATATTGTATAGGGACAAAGAGTGGTAGATCTTTCCTCATTGAGGATGGTGCCCTTCCATGGATTGTGCAAAATGCAAACAACGAAGCCTCATCAGTTAGGCGTCATATAGAGCTTGCACTCTGTCACTTAGCACAACATGGTAAGTACTAAGTAAACTCTATCTGTGAACTAGACACTAAACTTTCACTGGCGTACGGCCGTAAGAGCCTCTGATTGATGCATTCCAGAAATAAATGCAAGAGACATGATTAGTGGGGGTGCATTGTGGGAACTAGTTCGTATCTCCCGAGATTGTTCAAGAGAAGATATAAAGACTCTTGCACATCGAACACTAGTCTCCAGCCCCACTTTCCAAGCTGAAATGAGGCGTTTGCGGGTAAATTACTGAAGAATTCTGCACAGAGTAAACTAAAGTGGGCTGAAGATCCGAAGACAAACAAGCGTGAGTTCAGTGTTCAAGCAGGAAGTCTTTGTTCAGTGTTCTAGCTGAAATTGTAAACAAGCGTGATCTTGTTTGTGGTTGATCCATCAATGAATGACCATAATTTAATCAAGTCAATGTGGCGTCTTTCCGGTCCAGCGACTGGATGTAAATTGATTTGTATATTAAATAAATAAATAGAGGTAAGGGTAGTGACAGTTTTGAATTTCTTTTTATGCAATAGGTCGTTGTCATTCATAGGAACAATAGTTGATTAGCGATGATTTGAATCGTTTTAACATAATTCTGTTTGTTAAGAGTGTGGACCCCGTGAACATTTATTTTTTCACAACGAGTGCCCCTTCATAGCTGTGAAATTCAATGTATTATTATAAATTATTGCCTGTGATTATTTGACATGACTTGAGTTGGTATGACATAAAGGCACATGCGCCTCACATATTTGGGGTAGTCTTTTGGGTAAAATACTATCATGGGTAAATCACACTCCATACTTTTTGAAATTTAAAAAAAAAAATCATTTAATAATTTTATCTTATATTCTGACACAAATCTTCCTTAACTCTATACAGCATTAAAATGTAGTATATCCTTTTCTTTTAATAGAAACTGTCAGATGTCTGTGAATTTATATAGATTGGGAGGTCAAAATAATATAAAAAGAAAAAATTACCATATATAGGATCAGTTTATTCAAATCTAAAATAAATATTTCTGAAATAAATTATTTTAAAGAAAAATTACTTATTTAATAAGTAGATAAACTTCATTTCTGCTGAAATGAGTATAATTTGTAACGTAATTGGATAATGTGCCGGCCTTCATCAGATGGTTATCTAAACACGATATTTAGTCGCACTAGACAAGCGTTTGCATCTGAATTTGATTGGTACTGCCAAAACAAATTTGGTCCAATGGATGTTGTCGTAGCAAGGGAAATATGCAGACATAATATTAGTATTGTTGTCAAATGGGCAAAGATTTAAGTAGAACGTTGGTGATCCTCACAATCTATCGTTAATCTATTATATGCTAATGATAGACTCACGTCTAACAGGTAATTGCTGGCTGATTTACTATAATTATAATATAGTCAATGGAGGGAGGAAAATTATCAATTAGAACAAAATGCACCCCTTTTTAATGGAAACATCGTTTTCAAATTAATTGTTTGCTATAGCCTATGATACGCAGAACTTGTTTCGTGCACATTATTTTGTCTTTACATCATATTTTTACGTTCAAATCCATGCTTATTAGTCCCTGTGTATTAAAAAAAAATCAAGGCCCGTGATATATACACATTTGGTCAATCTAAAGCGGAAAGTGAGCCAGAATTCACGTAGTTATTTTTCTTTTTAATTTATTTTGTTTGCTGTGTATTTTATTACAAGTTTTGAAATAGTGAATGATATAAAAAAAGAAATCAAAGTTAGATGCTGTTTCTTTTCTTTTTTGTCTCCATTATGAACAACTAGTTGATTGGCCTCTCAACTTGGTTACCAACTCTTTAGTAGTTAGGGATGGAATTATTAATAGATTCATATATATGAATTCTGACACCCCGGCACTGTTAAATACTTCTGTAATTGGTAAAAAAAACAAAAAATATCGATTTTACTATTTAATTATATTCGATCATTTGAACTGTAATGAAAATTTATAATTTGAATTGTAATAAACCATTATAATCTCGACAAAGGAGATATTTTTTTTAATAATAAATAAAACCTTAGAATTTATAATTAAAGTACAATAGTTTATTTATTTTAACTTTATTTTCTTATTTTACTTCTAATAATTTATTCATTCATTTAAATATAAAATCAATTATTAAAAATAACTTTATAATATAGTAATTTTGCTTTTACAACTAATATTCTTATAGTCTTGTTTATTTTTTCTTTATATAAAATTATTTTTAAAGAAATTAAAACTAATATCATGTAAATTTAGTAGAGAAATACTTTCTCCCAAGTTTCCTTTTTTTTTTCACTTCTCAGCAAATTACAAAAATGTCCGAAAACAATTAAGAAAGCAAGCGAAAAAAAGAAAAAGGTACGTGTGTTTCTTTCCTTAAAGAGAAAAAGGTAATGAGAGGAGTAGAAAGTGAAGCATGGGTATGATTCAGATAGATTAGACAAGCGAGGGTCGTCTGAGTGCACGGATGCAAATTTTAACGGGGTTTGGTTTTGGGCTTCAGATTGAGGGGTGTGATGAGTTCAGAAAGATGAACGTCATAATGAAAGAGACAAGAATGGCGTGAAGGAGACAGGTTCTATATAACGTTGTTGTCTTGGTATCGTTGCCTTTTAATCAAAGTGTGCCTGAATGCCTCGAAAAACAGCTCTCATCAGACACTGCATGTGTCAATCCAGTTGCCAAACTTTCATGTTTATCTTCTACTTGTACTAACTACTGTGTACCGTCTGCTCCAACAGCATTATAATAATCTTTTTCTCTTTATCTTATATATGTCTTAGGGGCATCAAGTTAAACAACTATTTTCGATTAACAAATTTATTATATTATATGAAAGATATCATGCACGAGGTAGATCAAAATCTATGAATCATATTCACATTAAATAATTTTAAAATTTCCTACCATCATATTATAAGAATGGCAGTTAACCCTTAATTTTTTTTATTTAAAGAAGACAAAACTATATTTATACTCAAACAAGGCAATCACAACATTTTCTTTAAATTTTAATATATATTAAAGTCTTATTATTTAATTCGAATTTGAATAACCTAACCTAACTAAGATCATAAATGCATATGCTCTTTATCAAGTGCTTCCTCAAGAAACCACTATATATCACTATTCACTGTTAGCATATTAACAAAATCTGAAACAACAAAAGGACGTTACCTTCAGTTCGGAAATACGAGATATATATACTCAAAACCATTGTTCTTCGGTTGCTAAACCTGCTTCATGATGCGCTGATATATAACAACTAACACAGAAAACGAGAACGAGGAATATTGTTACGATTCAATGAATAACAACCTGAAAATGTGAGTTTTCAAACACGAAGTGTTCGATTGAAGAGATGAAATACAGTAGCGATCGGTCGAGAATGTCTTCGTCCTCTACGTGGTTCTCTTCTTTATTGTGGTCTGCATTCGTTCCTCGTACTACTACGACTTGCTAGTGAGTAAGACCAACTTGTTTGTAGTACTTTTTACCTCGAAGTGGATGATGGATAGAAGCAAATTGATGCACCCATTTTTGTTTTCTCATAAATAGAATAAAACTCGGCAATGATGCATCCATCCATGAATTTAATTACAGTCGCAAATACACGTAAACATATACGAACTGGATCACCTAAGTAATAAGCAAAACGACACAAATACTAGAAAAGAAGCAAATGGAACCTGAATGGAACGTTGGTTCAACTTAATCACTGTTCCTAGCTTTTTCGTAACATGACGGTTTGGTGAATCTCTTGCTACGTACGTACCCGACCCACCCAAAAAAGCTAAAAACAAAAGGCATTAATCAAGGAAATTAAGCAGGCAACAGCGATTGATAGATAGCGTTTCACTTACACCAACGATCCACACTGTTACTGTTACTGCCACTGTTACATATCAGTAAGGAGAGCGACCCGTTGCCCAGAACGTTTCCGAAGGCATCTGAACGGAATTCAGAAGATTCGGATTCAAACCATGAAAAAGAGGCGCAGTGGAATCCCCCATAAGCTGCTGAGGTGTCTGAGGTTGACCAACGCCACCGCCACCGCCGGGTGACCCAATTGAACCTCCCTGAAGCGGCATCGATGGGTCTTCATCTTCCAACGGAAGTCTCTCATACGCAGCGTTGCTGAACGAAGCTGACATGATAACCACCGGCCCCGAAGCAATGAGTGCGCCAACCACGCTTCCTCCAACCACCTGCCCTTGTCCTCCGGCAAGGTATATGGTCAATCCGGAGGCTGCTGGCGGTGCCGGTGGCGGGAGGTAAGATCCAGCAAGGGACAAGATCTCGAACCTTCCGTGGAGCGTGACGACGGCACCGGAAGAAGCGGGTTGGCGTAGGGTGACGTTGGTGACGGTTCCGGTTCCGCTCATGATGCAAACACCTCGCTGGCGGCGGCGGGCGAAGGTGGAGACACTTTCTACGATGTCGCAGCCGTCGGCGACTTCCATAACGTGAGTTTTGAGCGCGTTGGCGCTGTCGCGCGTGATGATGATGGGGGGTTTGGGCTTGTTCTTGGATCCGGTGGGTCTTCCGCGAGGTCTTCTTGAAATCTCGGTTTCGCCGGAGCCGCCACCTCCTCCTTCCTTTCCGTCACTGTTGTTGCTGTTGGTGGTGGTGTTTTCTTCACGTTCTCTTTTGTGAGTGAGGTTTAGGCCTCCGCTGCTTCCACTTTGCTCGTCTTCTGTGTTTTGTTGTAAGGAGTGAAACTGGTGTTGGTGGTGCAGGTGGAGATCTCTTGCCGCGTGGAAAGGAGGTGGAAGAGAATGGGCGTGTGTTGTTATAGGATCCATCAATTGTTTCTCTTTTCTGCTATCTATTTCTTTCCTTGTGTATACGTAGTGATGAATATCTCAATCCGATGATGGGCTCTGTGTGAGGAGCAGAAGGTGAATTGAATTGGTGAAGTCCAATCAGATGTGAAGCTGTGAGCTTGCAATAATCTTCAATTTGATGAGCTTGTTTTGAAATGATCGAAGCAGTGGAAGGAAGAGAACATGGAGGGTGAGATTGAAATTGGCGTGGAAGATGAGGCTGAATTGGAGGGTGTGGAAATTGAAGTTGGTCTGCAAGAATGATGAAGAAAAAGAAAGAAAAAGAAGAAGAAGTAGCGAGTGCTGTGTTGTGTGTTGTGTGTTGGGTTAGGGTTAGATTCAGAAAACAGATAGAAGGTTTGGGTAAGACTTGGAGTTTAAGGGCGGTGAATGGTCCCCCCCACCAATGCACTACACTTCTCTTTCATTTTTTATTTCATATACATGGAAGATGGTATTCTTAAATTATTCGCTCATCTTCTTCTACCATCATTCTTTATTTAACATACATGTTTAGACGTTATTTGTTTTTTAAACTGTAAAATATGTAAATATTCATTAGAATAGTTCTTATTTGTGATACAAAATTACTAATACTTTCATGTTAGACATTCTTCCTGTGTCTACCAACATATTATAAGCGATACAGAGCAAATTATATAATATAGTCTGTAAAAAAAAAGTATTATTAATATTTATAATTTATTCTGTATCTCTCCTTCTATTACATAATTTAATTTGTCATGCTAAAAATTCTCTCTTTTATTCATTATTAATTTTTCCTACTTAGATTCAATATTTTCGATAAAAGGATAGTGTTTTTTTTTTTAAACTACATGCATTTTTATTAAAACACAACCTTCAAATATTAGATTAATCTTTATAAACAATAAAACTCATTTTTTTGTCTAATTATTTAACACCAAATTATGTGTTTAAGATTTAAACTTAAGAATTTTGGTTAAATAGAAACCATCGCATATAAGTTGATGCGTTGGAGTTAATATGTAGCGCTTGCTTTAATTTCCTCGTATTAGACTTTAAAGTTTAGTGTTTTTTTTTTATTATTATTTTATTAAAAGAGCTAATTCTATTATACTGATTTAGCTAAAAAAACTTAGTCTTAGTTTGAAAACAATAATTCTTCAGTATTAAAATATTTGTAATCTTTTAGTAATCAAAATGGAGAAATTATGCTAACTACAACTAACCAGATCGATTTGATGGATAATTATTTTAGTCAAGTACATTAATTAGGGGAGACATAAAATTGTAACATGAATTATATTCAATCTATATGTTCATCGAATTTTTTATTTGTTTTTAAATTTTTATCATTATTTTTCCACTTTTATATTTATTATTAATAATAACATATATATATATATATAGTCATGTCTTCAACAGGATATATAGAAGAAGAAAAAAATAAATTTATGAAAATTATAAAATTTCTTATATATAAAACCAAATTTTTAAAAAACTTATATCATATAACAGAGACAAGAAGTAATTTTTAATTATATAGTTTCTCACAGTTCAGTGTTCAATCAAAAGCTTTTTAATATATATAAAAATTAATATTGATATATAATTATTTAATATCTCATTTTTATACACATTAAAATAAATGTGCGCATTATGTATGTGAAAGCATATAAAAATATAAATCATTTAAATATTTAAATAAACGTGTGCAATTAATATGCCATTCGAAACCATATAATTTTATTTAAAGTTGTTGATAATATAATAATTAGAATAATTCACTCCAATATAATTTAATAGCCACTATTAAAAAGTTAGTCTCTAATATGTCCAACATATCATAATATAAATGAAAATAAAATAACCTCATCCTTCAAACATATAATTAAATGTTGAATCTTCAAATAGGAAAAATATCTATCAATATCAACTCTTGCATAGATTTTAGAATCTCTAAATATTAGTTTTTTTGTTGTTCAGATTAATAGTCCAGTTTTGATAAAATGAGAAATAAAAGAAGGAAAAATAACATAATCGGTTGGTAATATCAAACTAAATTATTAAGGGCCCTTTTTCTAACTCTACTAATCAACATCAAAACTCTATCTAATCTAAAAAGAAGATATATCTGGTGAAGAGGTCATACACACACTCAACCATAAATCGTGCTCAATCATCAACCAATAGTAGAATTTTTCATGTGCAAAATTGAGACCAATTTATCTTATTTTATCCAACTTTTACTAAATTTTATGAATAGATTAGCTCAAAATTAGCTAGAATACAAGCTTCCGTAGATTAATATTATTATTCTTTTTTTTTTTTGGATAAGCATAAATTATTCAACTGTGTTTTAATGTGTTATCGCATCATCAAAAGTATCAAAATTATAAAATGCCAGTTGAAGAAAAACAAAACCTATAAAACCAACTACACTAACTACAAAAAAGTCCAAGTAATGGGAAAATCAAAAGAACGAGATCTCCTCGTGTTAGTTTTTGTGATGTTATGAAAAAACACAAAAGTAATTATAAATTGATATGAAAAGTTTAATATGTTTCTGAGGGTAGCTTTTTCTGTCGTTTGTGGAGAACATCCACATCACAAGACGGAAACTACGGTCATACGTGGCAGATTTGATTTTATTAATGCACCATAGCTGGCACAATTAAAACTTAACTGGACTAGTGTCATGCACACAAACACACAGAGAGTCTGAGGGTGTTTGTTTGCGCTTCAATTTTCTATGAATCACCACATGCACCACTTGGGTCTTCTGCAAACAATAACATCATTAGAGTATAAATCTTAACCAAGTCCAGCCTTAAGGTTGAGCTAGCTAGCCAGGTCCACCTCCTCTAAGCATGACGCGTGCCTCTTCCCCCACTTTTCTCGGGTCTATTCCTGTGGCCTCTGCTACTTTAATTTTAACCTCATTTGCCAAAGCATCATCAATCATGTCATCACTCTTGTGTTTTACCTTAAATGTTTCCATTATAATATAGTTTATTATATCTCTTGTCTACCACTGATTTAAACATACAAGGGTTTGCGCCAGTTCTTAATTATTAACGATTGAGGGAATTAACTGCATTAAAATATAAAGTGACTAAGAAGGCAGAATTTTATATTCAAAAAGCAAAAGGATTTAACTTGTACTGGAGCAGGCTACCATGTAGATTGGAAATTGATTTGTTTTTATCTAGTGAAGGATATGTGTGTGTGAGTGAGGTAGAATAGAAAGATGTAGGAAATGGGAAAGAGTTGCATGGTGTTGGAAATGAGATGAGATTGAGAATGGGAAGGGGCACAGACTGTGACCCACATGCACCACGCTTTGGGACAATCGGGGGCTAAACTTGAAACCTTTAAGGAGAGTGGAAGCAATGTATTTGTTTAAATTATTACTTGAAAACTGAGATTAACATGCAAGACATGAAACATTGGGTGCACTGGCACTACCAGGAAATGATAATCTTACGAAAAGAAAGATAATGTAGATTATAGCAGTTGAGTTGCAACAAGGTTGGCTGCTGTCGAACTTCAAAAAGGCTACTCCCTCTCTTTTACTTTTTAATCAATATTAAAACCAAACATCTCCCACTATTCCCTACGTATTCTCACAGACAAAACTGTCATAAATTAGTGTTACTGTCAAAAAATATTAAACATCTATGAGGATTGTTTGCAGTTTAATTTCTATCTATAATTATAACAAAAGTACTTTTATAAATATTATACTGATCTATCATATATTGTTAATTTAAACTCTCAATATTTATTTATATACTAACAGTTTAATATTCCTTAGATAAAGATTATGATGTAGAAAGCAAAATAGCATTCTTGTGTATGACCCCTGTCCGATTAAATTTTTTACAAATATTTATTAAATAAAAAATACGGCTAAACATGCACAAGTTTTTCAATAGGTTAAATTTAACATATATAAAAAAATTAATTTTCTATTTTAATTTTTTATAATAAATGTTGATGAAAAAAGTGTGCTGTGAGGAATTAGAATTAGTTGAGGTAGCTTGCCTTCTGCATATAATATAAATTTAATTAATAACTGATATAGATTGATCCTGGCAGAATTTCACAAGTTAAAATCCTTGCAATAATCAATTAGAACATGCTAGCTAGAAAGTTGAATGAAATGGATGTTTTATACAAAGTGACTCCAAATATTAACTAAACCTGATTTTCGTAATCACGGTAGGATAAGAGGATGAAAATTAATTAGAAGAATTGATTGAGATTAGTGTATAGGTAGGCCATAGTTTTTCCTTGTAACAGATTTCTTTAAATATTAAACATGAATTCTCCATTAAATGGAGACACAGTGAGGGAAAGAAAGTGTGCATTTGAATGTGACATGACATGTAGAAATGGATAGAAGAAGAAATAAAATGTGGAACTGCACAGGGTGTATGGTAGGTGGAGAGCACGGGTTGAGCGCATAATCCAGAGATGGCATGGCGTGGGTGGATAGAAAAGACGGCAGTGAAAAGCGCCGGAGAGTTTGCTGATCTGAAACTGAAACAAATTAACTAACACAAACTCAATCAAATATTAATAATAATAAAAAAAAGACGCAAAGCAGAGAGGGTGAGGTAGCTGCTGAGAATTAATTGAGAGCACAGGTAGGTCACGAGTGGAAGTTAACATGATGGATATGAAATGGTGCCATTCTGCGTAAATAAAAACTCATTCCATGCATCCAAAGATGCTCTTTGTCGGCCCCAAAACTTTATTTAACCAAACTCATGATCGTGGACCCCCCCTCCCTCCCTCTCTGTCAGATTCTTACTCCAAGTTTAACCCACTAACCATCTCTTACGCTGTCAAATGACAACCATCATGTGAAGGTTCCTGCATATATAATCTAACGCCACTCTTATTTCTATCAGTAACTTGACAACCAAATTATGCAGAATCTCGATGCTTTTCACTTCTTTAAATAATACTATTGCTGTTCCCACATTCTT